TTGAAAGGAAAATGTGATTGTGCAAACAGTGAGGGTAGATATGTAAGTGTTGATGTGTTATATCATGTGACATACCATGTGGTGTATCATGTGACCAATCATGTGATATATCATGTGGTACTATTCTTCATGTGACTTACATCTTGATATTTGATATGGTTATCATTTAACTCCATCATAATGTGTTTGGATTTGTGAAACCTGAAATAATAGTATTGTTTTATGATAGACAGTTTTGATACAGCTGTTTCGTCCGTTCTTAGACACAACATAATGCTTGACCATTTAAGGTTGATTGTGTTTGTTATCTCCCTGGCCCAGACGTCCTGTTAGGCCAGTGGAATTTTCTGATAAACAAAGCAGTTCTAAAACTATCATTCCTTAATCCATAATAACATTACATGAATATTTTCCATGTTAACAATACCAGCTCACAAAGACTCAAACGGAAATCAATATATATTTATACAGGCCTGTGTATGATAAAACACACATAATGGTACTGAGGTGTATATACTAGGTGTGTACTCTACTGATAATTCTCCTTAAACTAACAAGGGGAGTGTTTTGATTCCTAGTATCCTGTGGTTTTGTTTGTAGATGTGTTAATATATCTATCCAGTTGATTACTCTTTGTAATAAAACTACTAAGGAGACATATCAACATATTTAACCTTAGGTCACAGATTATGTTTTTCCTAAATATTCAGGGGACGAGGTTATAGCTGACTGATAGATACCTCCTTAAAACACAGATTATGTTTTTTCTGAATATTCAGGGGACGAGGTTATAGCTGACTGATATATATGTTTTTTCTGAATACAGGGGACAAGGTTATAGCTGACTGTATACCTCCTTAAAACACAGATTATGTTTTTTCTGAATATTCAGGGTAGGTTATAGCTGTGATGTACCTCCTTAAAACACAGATTATGTTTTTTCTGAATATTCAGGGGACGAGGTTATAGCTGACTGATAGATACCTCCTTAAAACACAGATTATGTTTTTTCTGAATATTCAGGGGACAAGGTTATAGCTGACTGATAGATACCTCCTTAAAACACAGATTATGTTTTTTCTGAATATTCAGGGGACGAGGTTATAGCTGACTGATAGATACCTCCTTAAAACACAGATTATGTTTTTTCTGAATATTCAGGGGACGAGGTTATAGTTGACTGATAGATACCTCCTTAAAACAAAGATTATGTTTTTTCTGAATATTCAGGGGACGAGGTTATAGCTGACTTTAACTTAAAACACAGATTATGTTTTTTCTGAATATTCACAGTTATTATGTTTTTAAAACACAGATTATGTTTTTTCTGAATATTCAGGGGACGAGGTTATAGCTGACTGATAGATACCTCCTTAAAACACAGATTATGTTTTTTCTGAATATTCAGGGGACGAGGTTATAGCTGACTGATAGATACCTCCTTAAAACACAGATTATGTTTTTTCTGAATATTCAGGGGACGAGGTTATAGCTGACTGATAGATACCTCCTTAAAACACAGATTATGTTTTTTCTGAATATTCAGGGGACGAGGTTATAGCTGACTGATAGATACCTCCTTAAAACACAGATTATGTTTTTTCTGAATATTCAGGGGACGAGGTTATAGCTGACTGATAGATACCTCCTTAAAACACAGATTATGTTTTTTCTGAATATTCAGGGGACGAGGTTATAGCTGACTGATAGATACCTCCTTAAAACACAGATTATGTTTTTTCTGAATATTCAGGGGACGAGGTTATAGCTGACTGATAGATACCTCCTTAAAACACAGATTATGTTTTTTCTGAATATTCAGGGGACGAGGTTATAGCTGACTGATAGATACCTCCTTAAAACACAGATTATGTTTTTTCTGAATATTCAGGGGACGAGGTTATAGCTGACTGATAGATACCTCCTTAAAACACAGATTATGTTTTTTCTGAATATTCAGGGGACGAGGTTATAGCTGACTGATAGATACCTCCTTAAAACACAGATTATGTTTTTTCTGAATATTCAGGGGACGAGGTTATAGCTGACTGATAGATACCTCCTTAAAACACAGATTATGTTTTTTCTGAATATTCAGGGGACGAGGTTATAGCTGACTGATAGATACCTCCTTAAAACACAGATTATGTTTTTTCTGAATATTCAGGGGACGAGGTTATAGCTGACTGATAGATACCTCCTTAAAACACAGATTATGTTTTTTCTGAATATTCAGGGGACGAGGTTATAGCTGACTGATAGATACCTCCTTAAAACACAGATTATGTTTTTTCTGAATATTCAGGGGACGAGGTTATAGCTGACTGATAGATACCTCCTTAAAACACAGATTATGGTTATAGTTATAGCTGACTGATAGATACCTCCTTAAAACACAGATTATGTTTTTTCTGAATATTCAGGGGACTGATAGATACCTCCTTAAAACAAAGATTATGTTTTTTCTGAATATTCAGGGGACGAGGTTATAGCTGACTGATAGATACCTCCTTAAAACAAATATCCCTCTGGGATAAAAAATCTTTGACTAATGGTTCTACATCAAAACCTGATGCATGGGCTTCCAGGTTTTAAGCTTAAAACAAATATCAGAAATGGAAAGAAATCACTAGATGATTTTTTTTCCAGGGAAATTTTAAGGAATGAATGATGACACAAGGGTTCATCCCATGACAGAGTTATTGAAAATATGATTATCTTTGTTTCACTACAACATTAACAACGATAAGCACTGCTACAGCTAGTAGGATCCTTATAAAGGTAGCCAGCAAAATAATTCCATTGTGCAGGTTAAAGTGATTCAACAGGTTCAGTTAATACCAGTAATTAAACAACTGAAAGCCTATAACTGCAATGTCTTACATAGTTCCGTTCTGAGGTGTTATGGATCCAACCAGTCTGAACTGATAATAGGAGGACTTCTGAGGACCAGTTAATGATTATTTTAGTAAATAAATTGGCAGTGCTTCTATTGAGTATATTTGTAGACAATTAAGGATTCCCAGTGGTCTTGTGTAATCTGGCTTGGGAAGGCTTCCCTGCAGGGCCATTTGGAAAGTATCCATCAGATAAAGGAAGGCATGTTATGAAGACTAATAGAATACTGGGGAAAACATGTCTACAACATGTGTTTCTAAATTTTCTGTAAAGAATTTTTACTTGTTTATTACCATAGCAACAAATTGACTGAAGTGGAATTGGTCACTGGAATGTTTGAATCTAGTGCAATCTTGTATGATAAGGCCTTCCTCAAAGTCTTTATCAGCACCAAAAGATTCCAGAATTATTCATTGTAGTGTTGTTAGTATATCAGTAAAATACTTAGTGAAAATATCATAAAATTTACAGAAATATTTCAATAAAAGTTCTTGATATTTACAGAAATATTTTCAGTATCACCTGCAGTAAATTCACTTTGTGTGATGTTATAGTACACTTGTCCATATTTCGTCATTGATAACAAATTACAAAATCACTTTTCCTTTCCACATCATACAAATTACTGTAGAATATCAATATGTAACATAGGTCATTTTCTATTTCAATATCTCCCCAAGAATTTTAGTCTCCGCTTCTAGCTTAATAGTCTGACACTCAACTGATCAACCAAAACAGAACCTGAGCAGTGTCTTGTATTTACCAGGATTACATTCTCTCTAGCCAATTGGAATAATGAGACCGGTCTTAACCAGGGTTACATTCTCTACCCAATGGTATATTGAGACTGGTCTTAACCAGGGTTACATTCTCTACCCAAGTGGTATATTGAGGCTGGTCTTAACCAGGGTTACATTCTCTCTAGCCAAGTGGTATATTAAGACTGGTCTTAACCAGGGTTACATTCTCTACCCAATGGTATATTTAGGCTGGTCTTAACCAGGGTTACATTCTCTCTCGCCAATTTGAATAATGAGACCGGTCTTAACCAGGGTTACATTCTCTTTAGCCATGTGGTATATTAAGGCTGGTCTTAACCAGAGTTACATTCTCTACCTAATGGTATATTGAGGCTGGTCTTAACCAGGGTTACATTCTCCCTAGCCAAGTGGTATATTAAAGCTGGTCTTAACCAGGGTTACATTCTTTCTAGCAGAGTGGTATATTGAGGCTGGTCTTAACCAGGGTTACATTCTCTCTATCCAATGGTATATTAAGGCTGGTCTTAACTAGGGTTACATTCTCTCTAGCCAAGTGGTATATTAAGGCTGGTCTTAACCAGAGTTACATTCTCTCTAGCCAAGTGGTATATTGAGGCTGGTCTTAACCAGGGTTACATTCTCTACCCAATGGTATATTGAGGCTGGTCTTAACCAGGGTTACATTCTCTCTAGCCAAGTGGTATATTAAGACTGGTCTTAACCAGGGTTACATTCTTTCTAGCAGAGTGGTATATCGAGGCTGCTCCTAACCAGGATTACATTCTTTCTAGCCATGTGGTATATTAAGGCTGTTATTTAACAGGATTACAAATTGAATTAATCTGTTATGTACACAGTAAATACAACAATCTCTGTAACAGTCAGATTTGTTTACACATTTTTGATTTGTTTACTCAGTTTATCAACATGTGAACAGCCAGGGTGATTTGAAAGTGCTTCTCTCTATAGCAGCTGGTGGCTACCTTATAGAACAACATTCAGGAGGCCCATTGCATGTCATTTATAAAAATGAGAGTATTAAGCTGAGCCCAAGAACATGACCATGTCTGCACAGACTAGTCTGCTCCTCAGCTTCCTTAAAACTTCCCAGAGATCACTTAACCTCACACCTCCATTATCACCTGAGGTTTGGGAGCAGAACAGCTTGCCATCTAAACTGTCAGGATCATAGTTACATCTATACTCGTCATAAAACATGTATTGTGTTTAACAAATGAATATGTATAAGATGCTTACAGATAAGTAATTCTTGAATTAATGATGTAACTTGATAAGTGCCTGACAGACTCATGAATGTATTTACTTTGATACTCTTTACAGCTCCACCTGGCAGCAATAACATCATTGAAAGGGGAGCTAATCGAGTTGAACAATAGGTTACAGTTTGTCACTGGAGAACGAGACAGTTTGGAAAAACAACTTAACAAGTCACAGGTATGTGTGATCTTCCTGTTGTGTCTTTGTATTGAAATGTGAGAAGGTGTCTTATATTTAAGAATAATGGTAAGTTTCAGCACATTGGAGAGGAAAGTGTATAGGAAAGTTGCTATTATCTTTTTTTTTTTTTTTTTTGTCATTTGACATAATTTCTCAATTAAAGATGCAAATGTCTGCAAAACAAAACCTCATAATAATACAATGTGTTTGTGTTTCTTCGTCCCAAGTTTAAGGTCACCATTGCTATTTATAGAATTTTGTTAAACACTTACATACATCATGTGCAGGGGCAGGACAGAGATGGTTAATCCCTATGATAAATTGATAAAGACAAGATGAAGTGTTATTTTAATGTGTTTCTAGCTTACTTGGCCTGAAGGGACAAGTGAGCTTATGCTGCAGTGCAACATTTCTCATCTGTCATACAGCATCTCATGCCAATCCGCCACCAATCTCGTGTCAACTTTTCCTTTCAATGACTTCTTCTCAATAATTAAGAGGGCAAGATTAATGATGTTTGGGTGGTAGGTTTGTGGGATGAAGCCAGTCAGAATTGGTGATAAGAAATGGTTTTATCCTTTACATAGTCTTAGGAACCAAACATTTAACTTCTTATAATTAATGAAAAGGCCTACAATCATCATATTTGATTTGTAAACTGCAGGATGAATTCAGTGGCAGTGTTTGATCTTGATCTGTGTTTTGTTGCAGACTGACCGACTCTACTTCCAGCGAGATTGTGATGACAGACTGGAACAGACCACCAGTCGATATGAGGAGAGGATCACAGAGTTACATTCTGTCATTGCAGAACTCCGAAAAAAGATTGAACGTCACCACATCAATGTCATTAAGTAAGTTTTCATGTGATTAAGTTCAAAGGTCAGGGTCACACAGTCATAAAGTCAAGATCACATCTTTGGATGTGATAATGTCAGATTATATTCAGGGCCTATAGTGTATCATAGTGCAATCAAGGCCTTCTCTCTTAGTGTAATCATTGTATTTCTTCCTAGTGTTGATGATGGCCTATTTCCCCATAGTATAATAAATAGCTTTCTCCAAGAGTGTAGTCATATCCTTTCTCCCATATTGTTATCACTGTGCTTCTACCATATTGTTATCACTGTGTTTCTACCATATTGTTATCACTGTGTTTCTACCATATTGTTGTCACTGTGTTTCTACCATATTGTTATCACTGTGTTTCTACGATATTGTTATCACTGTGTTTCTACCATATTGTTATCACTGTGTTTCTACCATATTGTTATCACTGCCATTCTACCATATTGTTATCACTGTGTTTCTACCATATTGTTTTCACTGCCATTCTACCATATTGTTATCACTGTGTTTCTACCATATTGTTATCACTGTGTTTCTACCATATTGTTATCACTGTGTTTCTACCATATTGTTATCACTGTGTTTCTACCATATTGTTGTCACTGTGTTTCTACCATATTGTTATCACTGTGTTTCTACCATATTGTTATCACTGTTTTTATACCATATTGTTGTCACTGTGTTTCTACCATATTGTTGTCACTGTGTTTTTACCATATTGTTATCACTGTGTTTCTACCATATTGTTATCACTGCCATTCTACCATATTGTTATCACTGTGTTTCTACCATATTGTTATCACTGTATTTCTACCATATTGTTATCACTGTGTTTCTCCCATATTGTTATCACTGTGTTTCTCCCATATTGTTATCACTGTGTTTTTACCATATTGTTATCACTGTGTTTCTACCATATTGTTATCACTGTGTTTCTACCATATTGTTATCACTGTGTTTCTACCATATTGTTATCACTGTATTTCTACCATATTGTTATCACTGTGTTTCTACCATATTGTTATCACTGTGTTTCTACCATATTGTTATCACTGTGTTTCTACCATATTGTTATCACTGTGTTTCTACCATATTGTTATCACTGTGTTTCTACCATATTGTTATCACTGTGTTTCTACCATATTGTTATCACTGTGTTTCTACCATATTGTTATCACTGTGTTTTTACCATATTGTTATCACTGTGTTTCTACCATATTGTTATCACTGTGTTTCTACCATATTGTTATCACTGTGTTTCTACCATATTGTTATCACTGTGTTTCTACCATATTGTTATCACTGTGTTTCTACCATATTGTTATCACTGTGTTTCTACCATATTGTTATCACTGTGTTTCTACCATATTGTTATCACTGTGTTTTTACCATATTGTTATCACTGTGTTTCTACCATATTGTTATCGCTGTGTTTCTACCATATTGTTATCACTGCCATTCTACCATATTGTTGTCACTGTGTTTCTACCATATTGTTATCACTGTGTTTCTACCATATTGTTATCACTGTGTTTCTACCATATTGTTATCACTGTGTTTCTACCATATTGTTATCACTGTGTTTCTACCATATTGTTATCACTGTGTTTCTACCATATTGTTATCACTGTGTTTCTACCATATTGTTATCACTGTGTTTCTACCATATTGTTATCACTGCCATTCTACCATATTGTTATCACTGTGTTTCTACCATATGGCTATCACTGTGTTTCTACCATATTGTTACCACTGTGTTTCTCCGATATTGTTATCACTGTGTTTCTACCATATTGTTATCACTGCCATTCTACCATATTGTTATCACTGTGTTTCTACCATATTGTTATCACTGTGTTTTTACCATATTGTTGTCACTGTGTTTCTACCATATTGTTATCACTGTGTTTTATCACTGTGTTTCTACCATATTGTTATCACTGAGTTTTTACCATATTGTTATCACTGTGTTTCTACCATATTGTTATCACTGTGTTTCTACCATATTGTTATCACTGCCATTCTACCATATTGTTGTCACTGTGTTTCTACCATATTGTTGTCATTGTGTTTCTACCATATTGTTATCACTGTGTTTCTACCATATTGTTATCACTGTGTTTCTACCATATTGTTATCACTGTGTGTTTCTACCATATTGTTATCACTGTGCTTCTACCATATTGTTATCACTGTGTTTCTACCATATTGTTATCACTGTGTTTCTACCATATTGTTATCACTGTGTTTCTACCATATTGTTATCACTGTGTTTCTACCATATTGTTATCACTGTGTTTCTACCATATTGTTATCACTGTGTTTCTACCATATTGTTACCACTGTGTTTCTCCGATATTGTTATCACTGTGTTTCTACCATATTGTTATCACTGCCATTCTACCATATTGTTATCACTGTGTTTCTACCATATTGTTATCACTGTGTTTTTACCATATTGTTGTCACTGTGTTTCTACCATATTGTTATCACTGTGTTTTATCACTGTGTTTCTACCATATTGTTATCATTACCTTTCTCCCTTTTCTGACTCCTAAATAAACCCATGTGAAGAAAACATTACTTCTGACTCCTGTAACAAGCCTGAGGGACCAACACATTATCTTTGACTTCTGAAATATGCCCAGATGATCTGCATAATTTCTCTGACTCCTAAAATAATCCACCAATAGTTTAAAGACACAATCAAGGTTTTCGTCAAAATTGGTTTACGTCAAAATAAACCCTATAATTATGTCGATATTAATGGGTGATGAATCTTCCCCTGGATGAGGACAGGAATATGTATCTTACTCATATTTGTCATCTAAACTGTCAAGAAAAAACTACACAAAATTAAGACTTTTTCTGTGGCCATTGATACAAAATGTCAGCAGCATTGAGCTGTGCAGGTCCATTTGGTCTCTTATTTGTTGAGATAAAAGAACTGAGCAGCTTTCTCCACTTCAGTTCTCCTGATATAACTAACACCCATCAAGTCAGCGTGAGGCACTGCATCAGTGGAAGTGATTACACGCTGGTGTACTGCCTCTCCTTACTGATGAAGATTAGGGTTGATTGTGTAATCAACGTTTTAGTTTTTTCCATGATTTTAACAAGAATTAGACTATTACTGGTTGCACTGTGTTTCTACAGTGATGGAAACACTAACAGGCCAATCAGAACATTGATCTGTGTGGCTGTCGGAAATCAAAATCGAGCATGGCTGTCTTACAATATTGATTGTCGTCCGAAAAGATGAGCCACTCACTTGATGGTGTGGATACTATCAGACGTTTTTAACGATTTGTCAACTAAAAAAAGACAGAGATGTGTTCTTGGTTAATGATTTGTCAACTTAAAAACTGGAAGGTGTAGAATGTGTTCTTCTGAAAGCTTTGTTTAACATGTTTTCTAGCTAAATGATTCCTTAACATAAGAAAAATACAAAGATTTATGTTCCTGCTGAGGAGATTGTCAACTGGAAAGAACCTGTCATGTTGCTTTTTCTTAAAGATTTGTCAACCTTAAAAATCATAGACTTGTGCCTTGCTTCCAAGGCCATTCCTTTGTGTGATCAATAAAAATTTACTAAGATATTATTTTTTCAAATTTAAATGTAAAACAGAATCACACGGTCTGTCGATGATGATATTAGTGTGGAAGTATCCTGAAAATTTATGTATAAATACTGTCTATATTCACCATTAATCTTTTTACTTCAGGCTGAAGTAAGAATTTCAAATATTCTTGCAATTTAAAAACATAGGTTATTTTGAAACTCTGACTGCCACATTGATGACAAGTTGTCAACTTTTACTACTCTAGAAGAATACATGTTGTCCATTTAGTTTTATTTCAATAAACATCAATGCCTCAATGGAAAAATGCCCCTATAAAACCAGACTTGTTTCGCCTGTCATTGTAGACAGTGTTGATATTCTGATAAATAAATATTATACCCTGTGATAACTTTATTTATTCTCCACCTTAATAGTTGAGGGAGTGTGTAATAGTTATTTGTCTGTGTGTCTCTCTGTCTATCCATCTGTCCATTCAGACTGTATTGTGCTCAAGTTTCTTTTTGGTTTTCAGAGAGGAAGAAGAAGATGTGGAGGAATCAGATGCTGCTGTCCACAGTACCAAAAGTAACAATGGTGGCAGTACACGAGAAAACATTGCTGGAGAATCACAGGCTAGCATGGGTAGGTCGTAGGGATTATATAAAGAGGTCATAAGGGTAGGGGTCATAGAGGTTATGAGGGTCATACAGGTCGTAGCAAACTCTATCATGAAAATCAATAAGATTATAGAGTTCAGAGGTTATAGAGGTCAAAGAGTCAATAGAGGATATAGAAGTCATAGGAATCAAAGAGGTCATGTGGTTTTTGTAGATATATTTGTAATGATATAATGTTTTCCTATTAAACATCTTATTATATGAAGTTTTGATGTTAAACATACAGTAATTTGTATCAAAGGCAAAAGTGTTCCTCATTGTCAAGGTCAAAGGTGAATTATTTGTTTGCAGTTGAGGCAGGAAATGACCTGAACTCAGAGCTGTCACGCGTTGTCAATGAATTAGAGAGTGCCATTGATGAGAGGAAGCGGATCGCATCAGTTGTGGTCGATGACCAAGAAGATGTGGATCTTGAAGAGGATGCTAATGAAACTGGGGAGGATGATAGTATTGAAGAGAAGGCTCTTGAGGTAATATTTCAAATAACAAAGGGGTAAATCTATAAAAAGACATGGGAATTTCCATATCTAAAAATAGAAATGAGAAACTATGCTTATGAAGATGATTGTTATGATGAAATGAGGGAAACTTTTTTAAGTTTTGAAGAATAGGGAAAAAAGTTCACTACATGTATTAGAAGCAGATTTATAATCAGTTATGATTTGAACAAGAATTTGTAATAAAAAGAAAAAACTTCTTTTTTGGATTAGAGACACTGATTATGTGAATTCTTAATGTTTGATGTAAATGTTTAAGAGTTATATTAGTTTCCAGATTTAACTTCTTTTGAAAATTTCAATACCTAGGTAAGATGTTTTCCTGGGTAATGAAATTTTCAAAAACACTGGTTTCTAGAATTGATTTGATTATTTACATATTATTTGAATGGTATTTTCTAAACTGGAAAATGTTTGTACTTTCCAGTCAAGTACGAAATGAAATGTATATATTGTACTGTGATCACAATCAGGGGAAGGCATGGGATGGGAAAGTAATGGACAGTAGGGAGAAGTGAAGACATAAGATGAAGAAAGGGGCAGTTGGACGGACGCATACTAATGAGAGAATGGGCAGTAGGACTGACCACACTCTAGAATAATGGACAGCAGGACAGACATACAAAATGAAGAAATGCAATGCGGTACAGACATAGTTTAGTCTAGAAGTGGTGTAGAGAAACATTCTGTTGTCTATCTACAGTTTAACACTCCAACCATTCACTGGCGTCTTATTTCTGGCTCTCGACCAAATACAGCATATAAATTGCCTGTGGTGTTTCCAGAGATGAAACAAATATTGACCAAAGAACAGAATTCCCCCTTAGAATATATGAAGAGATATAGATATGACTCCAGGAATTGACCTCCAGTTACTCACAGCCACTGTTGGGTCAACTCAATGTGTACTTTCCCTGTAGACATGTTAGATATGAATTTTTCTGGCAGTTACTCTCACCTTTATATTTAGTGTTCAGTAAAGTTAACTGTTGATTCTATTGTCCTGTAATAAGCCCACCCTGTCACCTTTGACCCTGTGACCCAAAGTCAAAGGTAATGTATGCATGATTTATTAGGATGATAATTGCCACAAATCTTTCGTCTCTTGATAAAATTACCGATTGTCAACATCAAATGTTGTATGTTTGATTGTTGGAATAACAAATTTGGAAAGTCATCATTTTTCCTCAAAACGTTTTAATCAAATATAAACTTTATTTATATTTCAACAATAATTGGCTTCGATGGAAACACCAGAGGGATGTTATTATGGGAAGAAACTGGAGAATCCATGGAAAACTCCAGTAGTTAAACAGATGATCCATTATCTTTTGTCTGTTCAGGGAATCAAACCTTACCAATGTCCTACCTGACTAATCATGTTTAACTAATTTAGATACACATACATTTTTCTCTTCTTTAATAATTCACTTATTTTTATCTAGGCCTGTAAACAGATGGAGGCATTTGATTTTGAGTCAACACCCCCTCCAGCTCCTCCTCCACGTGACCCCCGTCCAGCAACCTTCCATCCTCCACCCCCACCTCCTCCAAATGAGTTCCCAGAACCAGCTTATCTACAGGAGGAAATCAACAGTCTCAGGGCAGAGACTAGTACCATGCAAGAACAAATTGGTAGACAGGAGGCGGAGCTTAATATGTATAAGGCAGCACTCGACAGTATTAGAGAGGAGAGAGACAGGTTCAAAAGAAAGGTAATGAATATTTATAAGAGGCGGAGCTTAATATGTATGAGGCAGCAATCAACAGTATTAGATAGGAGAGAGAGAGGTTCAAAGGAAAGGTAATGAATATTTATGATAAGAGGCAGAGCTTAATCTGTATGAGGCTATTAATATAAGATCACTGATATTTAAAGTTAATGTTAATTTTGATATTTTTGACAAATTCTTATTTTGGAGATATATGAAATTTACAAAATAATTCCCAGATATGAAAATAAATACAAAAATAATTCTGTGAATGTTATTTGATTCATCTATAAATGTTTGTATATCTGTTTCAGGTGAAAGATATTCAATGTCGACAGCAAACGTATGATCTAGCCTCCAGTCCTCAACACAGTCGAACAGCCACGCCCACAAAACCACAACACCTTACCCCCAGTGGAGATAGGTATGTAACACTACAACATACTCAGACAGCCCCACCCACAAAACCAGAACATCTTAGCCCCAGTGGAGACAGATATGTAACACTACAACACAGCCTGACAGCCACGCCCACAAAACATAAACATCTTACCCCTGTAAAGATAGGTATGTACCTGTACAACACAAAGAGCTATGCCCACCAAACCTCAACATCTTACCCCTGTTGGAGACAATATGTAACCCGCAAAGCAGCCAGACCATTTACTGCCACTTAAAACTGTTAAAAATAGTGAAAAATTATGATTAAGTATTGAAATTACCTGATTTAAGACCTACCAAGTATAATTTATTTTCTGTTTCTAGGTCAACGCCAGCATCCTCCACAAACGAGTCATTCCCTGTTGCCAAGGTTGCAGAGTTGAAAAAACTAAAAACCTGTGCTAGTGAGCGCCAGATTTTAGGGGCAGAGATCAGCTCTGCAGGGGTGAGTGATCACCAGATCTTAGGGGTAGAGATGAGAGCTCTGTAGAGAATAGTGAGCACCAGGTCTTAAGGGTAGAAATTAGCTCTGTAGATGTGGCAGAGCAAGAGATCTAAGGGGTAGAGATTAGCTCTATAGGGATGAGTGAGCACCAGATCTAAGGGGTAGAGATGAGCTCTATAGGGGTGAGTGAGCACCAGATCTAAGGGGTAGAGATGAGCTCTATAGGGGTGAGTGAGCACCAGATCTAAGGGGTAGAGATGAGCTCTATAGGGGTGAGTGAGCACCAGATCTAAGGGGTAGAGATGAGCTTTATAGGGTTGAGTGAGCACCAGATCTAAGGGGTAGAGATGAGCTCTATAGGGGTGAGTGAGCTCCAGATCTAAGGGGTAGAGATGAGCTCTATAGGGGTGAGTGAGCACCAGATTTAATGGGTAGAGATGAGCTCTATAGGGGTGAGTGAGCACCAGATCTAAGGGGTAGAGATGAGCTCTATAGGGGTGAGTGGTCACCAGATCTAAGGGGTAGAGATGAGCTCTGTAGAGCTATTATACTTATGCAGGGACATTGATATGGCAGATAAATTATACTTACTCAACAGGAATGAATGAAGGTTTTGAAAGTTGATATATGAAGAGATGGTGCTAACAAACATTTCAGATGCAGAGTAAAAAGACTATTGATTGGTCCAAATATTGGGTTTATGAGTTTGTGAGTGGTCAACAGAATAGTTCTGTTGATATTCTTACCCCTCTCGGGTAATGTAAAAGATTTGGGTCTGATTTGATGATCAATCAGTTAAGTTTTATCCAGAAATGATTGGAAAATTAAAAAAACGGTACTTTTTCGACATTAAAGTGTGTAAACTCCACATCTCTGTCTTGATATCGTATTAACGTTGTTGTAAAAATGATCAGCACTGATATCAAGTTAGTTTAGTAAAAACTGAAGAAACATGTGAATCATATTACCAGTATTTGATGTTACCTTTATGTGAATAAAGTTTGGTGGATGTTGAGTATTGGTGATATTGTCTCCATAACTTTTGTATTGACAGAATTGTTTGTGTACATATTTTCAGTTAATTTTGATATTATAATTACCCAATGTGAAAGTCATAGGACACCTAGTGCAGAGTATTTTGTAGTCATTAGATGTAATTTGGATATTTCAGTTACCCAACACCAAGGTTGCAGAACACCTGGTACAGAGTTTACAGGAGTGCTCGAATATGCAGGAAATCTTACAAACACTCTACAAATGTGGAAATGAAATGTCCGACAACAAGCTTAATGAGTTTGAACTAGAATTTGAAAGACTTCAGAGTAAAATAGACAATTTAAAGTCACAGAATGATTTACTGTTGCTTACACTGGAGGAGAGTAAATCCATGACAGATCGTCTGACGGTGCTGATGGGCAAATATGAGTCCAATCACACAGCACTTCAACTGGCGTTAGGATATTCAGACCAGACAATGGAGGCATATGACGTCCTACTTGGTCTGGTGGAGAGTGAGCTAGCTGTCGTTCTCTGTAACTGTCAAGCTGCTGGATTAACAGGTCAAGGTCAGTAGCAGTGGTCAGGGTCAAAGTTTATTGTCAAGCTTAATATGAAAATCTAAGGTCATGTTCAATTTTATAGGTAATACTGTTTGTTAGGCCAAGATCATCAGATGATTTTTATAATTAACTTTTATCTGAATTCTAACTTAAGATTTACACAGAACATTTCCATACTTTACCGAATACAAAGGAAATTTCACAACAAATTATCTGTATGATCACATTTTATGAGACAATTATTATCATTTCCTGCAAAAGCCCAGAGTGTCAACTCATTACCTCTGATTCAATATAGAGATGTAGTGGGCTTATTACAAGACCTCAGGGGGCTCAACGCATTACCTCTGATTCAATATAGAGATGTAGTGGGCTTATTACAAGACTCTAGGGTCAACTCATTACCTCTGATTCAATATAGAGATGTAGTGGGCTTATTACAAGACCCTAGGGTCACCTCATGACCTCTGATTCAGTATAGAGATGTAGTGGGCTTATTACAAGACCCAAGGGTCACCTCATGACCTCTTATTCAATATAGAGATATAGTGGGCTTATCACAAGACCTCAGGGGGCTCAACGCATTACCTCTGATTCAATATAGAGATGTAGTGGCTTATTACAAGACCGACAACAAGCATTAATGATTCATTATAGAGATGTAGTGGGCTTAGTACAGGAAAGCAAATAGTAATTGTTGTTATTTCTGCAGACCTTCAATATTACTATTATTACCCAGCCTTACATGTTTTGTTAGAATAATCAATACATGTATAATTTTACCCTGTGATAAGTTACCCAATCACACAGCTGTGTTATTTTCAACTGGCGTTAGGATATTCAGACCAGACAATGGAGGCATATGACTTCTGCCTGTTTTGTTGACTTTGTCTCTAGTTTGATGTTTGTTAATGTTTTGATATCACAGCTGAAGGCGTGCCTACTTGGAGGCTGGTGGAGAGTGAGCTAGCTGTCGTTCATCTGTTGTAACTGTCAAGCTGCTGGATTAACAGGTCAAGGTCAGTAGCCAGTGGTCAGGTAAAATAAAAGTATCATTGTCAAACTTAATATGAAAATCTAAGGTCATGTTCAATTTTATAGGTAATACTGTTTGTTAGGCCAAGATCATCAGATGATTTTTAAAATTAACTTCTATCTGAATTCAAACTTAAGATTTACACAGAACATTTCAGTAGTTATACTGAATACAAAGGAAACGTCACAACAAATTATCTGTTTGACCACATTTTATGAGACAATTATTATCATTTCCTGCAAAATCCCAGAGTGTCAACTCATTACCTCTGATTCTATATAGAGATGTAGTGGGCTTATTACAAAACCCTAGGGTCACCTCATGACATCTGATTCTATATAGAGATGTAGTGGGCTTATTACAAAACCCTAGGGTCACCTCATGACATCTGATTCTATATAGAGATGTAGTGGGCTTATTACAAAACCCTAGGGTCACCTCATGACTTCTGATTCTATATAGAGATGTAGTGGGCTTATTACAAGCCCCTAGGGTCAACTCATTACCTCTGATTCTATATAGAGATGTAGTGGGCTTATTACAAGACCCTAGGGTCACCTCATGACCTCTGATTCTATATAGAGATGTAGTGGGCTTATTACAAGACCCTAGGGTCACCTCATGACCTCTGATTCAATATAGAGATGTAGTGGGCTTATTACAAGACCTCAGGGGGTTCAACGCATTACCTCTGATTCAATATAGAGATGTAGTGGGCTTAGTACAGGAAAACAAATAGTAATTGTTGTTATTTCTGCAGACCTTCAATATTACTATTATTACCCAGCCTTACATGTTATGTTAGAATAATCAATACATGTATAATTTTACCCTGTGATAAGTTACCCACTGACTCAGTGTCTGTGTTATTTTGATAGCTCTCTTGGGTCCTGTAATAAGCCACCCACCCTCCTTTGGCTGTTATATTGACTTCTGCCTGTTTTGTTGACTTTGTCTCTAGTTTGATGTTTGTTAATGTTTTGATATCACAGCTGAAGGCATGCAGAGGGATGCCAGTCAGATGGAGGCTATGGCCCAGCGAGTCGCACAAAGTCGTCGAACTGCAGAGAACATGGTAAAACATCTGTTGTTGAAGCTGGACAGAAGTGTAGGAATATACAGTGGGGTACAAGCCTCTAGTGCCAACCCCTGGGATGAGATGTCCACATCCAGGTAAAATAAAATATGTCTGATCAGTATATTTACCAGGTAAAACAGATCTACATCAGGTAAATCATAGATATAGACCAGGTAAATCATAGATATAGACCAGGTAAATCATAGATATAGACCAGGTAAATCATAGATATAGATCAGGTAAATCATAGATATAGACCAGGTAAATCATAGATATAGACCAGGTAAATCATAGATATAGACCAGGTAAATCATAGATATAGACCAGGTAAAACAGATATAGACCAGGTAAATCATAGATATAGACCAGGTAAATCATAGGTATAGACTAGGTAAATCATAGATATAGACCTGGTAAATCATAGATATAGACCAGGTAAATCATAGATACAGACCAGGTAAATCATAGATATAGACCAGGTAAATCAGATAAACATCAGGTAAATCATAGGTATAGACCAGGTAAATCATAGATATTCATGTAAAACATATTTAAAAATCAAATATATTTAGATATATATATATAAACATATTAACAAGGTAAAATAAAGATGTTTTTGTTGTAAAAATATATATGTTAACAGATGTAAAAGAATATTACAGTGCTGAAATACAAAGTCTGAAGTAAAACTTTGTGATCTGAAAAAGAACATAACCTAGCATGTAATGAGTATTATCTTAGTTTAAATATTATGATGGATTAAACTCTGTGTGGGTTTCAGTGCATCAAGTTCCAAGGGCAGTGCTACTGTGGACAGTGATTTTAACAAAAATGATGAGCAGCGTATCAGAGAATACATTCAGTGCCTTAAAAATAGTCGGGCAACCGTCAAGTCTACCATCATGGAGATAGAGAGCATTCATTTGGAGCCTCAGGTCCAGGAAAATCACCGAAGCGTGGAGACACAGAGACTGGACCTAGAAAATGCTGTGTTGATGCAGGAACTAATGGCCATGAAGGTAAGTTACTGGTTAGAGAGTACGGAACCTGTATCTGACTGTAGCTCTGCCTTGTTATCAGACCTCCATGTTTACTGCTTTCCAGTTACAATTTTAATTCTTTAACCTGTGATAATCCCTTATTTTTCATACTTAGATTTTGTCCTGTTCGAGGAATGTAACCCATCTGTGACAGCCCTCGTGTATAAAGGTTAATAAAACCTTGTGAAGTGTCAGTGTCTGTAAAGTGTTACTTTACTTACAGGAAGAGAAGACGGAGCTGAAGTCCAGTAACTATTTACTAGAGAAAGAGAAACGTGCATTAGAATTAAAATTGTCAAGTCGAGAGTCGGAGGAACAGGCTCATATTTTACAGATTGAGCACCTCAAGTGTGAACTACAGGAAAGAGAGGCGAGACACCCACAGGTATGTGTGGTTAGATAATCAAAACCACACTGATAGAATATTGCTAGGATGTTAATTACTGTAATATTGAATAATATCTGATAACAAAACCGATGTTAGGCAATAAGCCCATGTTTTGTAATAAGGCCAAGTCTTAATCTGATGTTTCTGGTAATGAAGCCATGGATATCGATGATAGTCATTAAAACCATTAAAAAACGTTATGATATTTTCCTCTAATAAGCTAAGTTACTTTTTTCAGATAAAGGGTTTATGTTGGACGCTGGACAGAATAAATACACTATTATCTACACATCCATTAGCAGGCTCTTTGTAGAATATCATAACTCACAGACTTTATCTCCTACTTTCGTATGATGAACTGTGACCTGTTTCAAAACATTTCCCCTCGTAGTAGTTAATGGCTTAAAGCATTCACAGTAATTATATATATATATAGATATTTTTTGTTTTAGGATGAAGATAATGCTGGCTTTTCATTGGTGGATTACATGTCCAGTAATCCTGACTTAGGGAAGGAGTTATCAGAAGCAGCGAAGCGAGAGAAGAAGTTAAAGGCTCGGGTTCAGGAATTAGTGGTTACACTTGAGAAATTATCAAGAAATTCAGAAATCAGACATCAACAATCAGCTGACTTTGTGAATGATCTTAAACGGGCAAACAGGTGAGTTTATGACTCGTACAAACCAATCACTGTAACTGTTCATGACATCTGAGTCCTAAGCTGTTTTGCTGTTGGTGACAACTTCAAAAAAATTAGATCAGAAAATAATTGGTAAATTATAGATGTTTTTATGTTACGAAGACCAGAATATGAAACAATATATAAACTTTGATGATAAAACTGAATAAATTATCAGGAACAACTTTTAGCCATGAATGTTATTTACAATTACAATTTATGACTATTGTATAGATGGATCAGTACTGATACTGGTTGCCATAGTAACACTAAGATATTGCTGTCAGTGATCAGGATGATCAGTGTAATAACCTCTACATTTTACAGTGCCTTGATATCAGCCTTTGATAAATCAAAGAAGAAATATCAAAGTAAACTCAAGAGGATGGAGCTACAGATGCAGGCCTTAACAGAACGTTACGATACACAGGTAAATTATACTTAACAGAACGTTACGATACACAGGTAAATCGTACTTAACAGAACGTTACGATACACAGGTAAAATATACTAAACAAAATGTTACGATACACAGGTAAATTATACTTAACACAACGTTACGATACACAGGTAAATTATACTAAACAGAACGTTACGATACACAGGTAAATTATACTTAACAGAACGTTACGATACACAGGTAAATTATACTAAACAGAACGTTACGATACACAGGTAAATTATACTAAACAAAATGTTATGATACACAGGTAAATTATACTTAACAGAACATTACGATACACAGGTAAATTATACTTAACAGAACGTTACGATACACAGGTAAATTATACTAAACAGAACGTTACGATACACAGGTAAATTATACTAAACAGAACGTTACGATACACAGGTAAATTATACTTAACACAACGTTACGATACACAGGTAAATTATACTAAACAGAACGTTACGATACACAGGTAAATTATACTTAACAGAACGTTACGATATACAGGTAAATTATACTTAACAGAACGTTACGATACACAGGTAAATCATACTTAACAGAACGTTACGATATACAGGTAAATTATACTTAACAGAACGTTACGATACACAGGTAAATTATACCAAACAAAACGTTACGATACACAGATAAATTATACTAAATTATACAGATAAATTATACTTAACAGAACGTTACGATATACAGGTAAATTATACTTAACAGAACGTTACGATACACAGGTAAATTATACCAAACAAAACGTTACGATACACAGGTAAATTATACTAAACAAAACGTTACGATACACAGATAAATTATACTTAACAGAACGTTACGATATACAGGTAAATTATACTTAACAGAACGTTACGATACACAGGTAAATTATACCAAACAAAACGTTACGATACACAGGTAAATTATACTAAACAAAACGTTACGATACACAGATAAATTATACTTAACAGAACGTTACGATACACAGGTAAATTATACTTAACACAATGTTACGCTACACAGGTAAATCATACTTAACAGAACGTTACGATACACAGGTAAATCATACTTCTCAAGAAATGTTTCTATGTTTGAATATCCTTATACCTTATACCTTATACCATGGTAGACATGAACTATTCTGTTTTAGAATTATTAAAATTTATCAATTTTTACACAAAATGATTAAAATTTTTATATTATCCCTGACAGATTCAGTTGATTGGTAAGAAGCTAGCTATGCAGGAACCAGACACTGTGATGTCACAGTCCCGCCCGGCTCCTAATGAGACGTCACTATAGCAACGACTGTATTCACCAATGAAAACTTGTCTGTGAAGTTGGTGATTGCTTGACATTGTTGCTAATTATCTGGATTAATGAAAGCTTTGTTTACTGTGAAATCGCTGTATTCAGAATGTCTTGTTCCTGTTTATTGAACCTTCAGGAGTAATTGTTTCACACATGCTAATGGAATGGAGATTCCATTTGCCAAACCAAATTGTGAAAGTGTTTTACTATTTGTAGAACCTTCAAGATCAACAACTCTACCCATTCTTATGGAAAGTTACTTGTGTCGACTATGCCAAACCTGGCAAAGTTCTTCCAAGATGGATAATTGATTTTGTGTAAAAATTCAATTTTTACAAACAATACAGAAGATAGGTGTCCAGTGACAGAATTATGCAGTTTTTGAGGAATTTCTGTCAAAACTTGCCATAGAAAGTTTTAGGTCTGTATTTGGAAATATGTGATGTCCTGGTTTTTTATGACTGTGTATGTGTCTAAATGTATATCGAGATATTACTACAGTATATCGGCTGTGATTTTGTGTGAAGTCTTCAACGGAGTCGATGAAAGCAATTCAGTGTATCGTTACTTTGATTGAATGATCGACACTAATCTGAGGAAGGTTTGGATAAAAAGATTGAAAGATTTTGTGGAAAAAAATTATTTTAAACTTGTATGATTGGAAAAAAGTGAGGATTTGGAAGTTTTTGGAAAATGTTCACAAAAGAAACATAACTGATTGGAAACCCAGAAAAAGGAAAACGCTTCATAAGATGAAGGCCAAGATATCAGAATTCCTGGAATTATGACGGAGTTATCCCTGCTTGTCACTCATAACATTAAACTTGTAGTAGGATGTTATAGTATTCATGTGGCCACAGTACTATGTCTGGTAATACTTGCCCACCCATACATATATTTCTGTAGAAATGCCAGCATGTATTGTATGTATTACCCCCCTAGAGTTACTGCAGGTTTTTTTGTAAGCTTTAGTTTTTATGGAATGATAACTCTATATAACACTGTACAGTACTGTAGTGATGCTGAGCAGCTGGATACATCATTACACTGTACAGTACTGTTGTGATGCTGAGCAGCTGGATACATCATTACACTGTACAGTACTGTAGTGATGCTGATCAGCTGGATACATCATTACACTGTACAGTACTGTAGTGATGCTGAGCAGCTGGATACATCATAACACTGTACAGTACAGTAGTGATGCTGAGCAGCTGGATACATCATAACACTGTACAGTACTGTAGTGATGCTGAGCAGCTGGATACATCATTACACTGTACAGTACTGTAGTGATGCTGAGCAGCTGGATACATCATTACACTGTACAGTACTGTAGTGATGCTGAGCAGCTGGATACATCATAACACTGTACAGTACTGTAGTGATGCTGAGCAGCTGGATACATCATAACACTGTACAGTACTGTATGATGCTGAGCAGCTGGATACATCATTACACTGTACAGTACAGTAGTGATGCTGATGCTGTAGTGATGCTGAGCAGCTGGATTCATCATACACTGTACACTGTAGTGATGTACAGTACTGTAGTACTGTAGTGATGCTGAGCAGCTGGATACATCATTACACTGTACAGTACTGTAGTGATGCTGAGCAGCTGGATACATCATTACACTGTACAGTACTGTAGTGATGCTGAGCAGCTGGATACATCATTACACTGTACAGTACTGTAGTGATGCTGAGCAGCTGGATACATCATTACACTGTACAGTACTGTAGTGATGCTGAGCAGCTGGATACATCATAACACTGTACAGTACTGTAGTGATGCTGAGCAGCTGTATACATCATTACACTGTACAGTACTGTAGTGATGCTGAGCAGCTGGATACATCATTACACTGTACAGTACTGTAGTGATGCTGAGCAGCTGGATACATCATTACACTGTACAGTACTGTAGTGATGCTGAGCAGCTGGATACATCATTACACTGTACAGTACTGTAGTGATGCTGAGCAGCTGGATACATCATTACACTGTACAGTACTGTAGTGATGCTGAGCAGCTGGATACATCATAACACTGTACAGTACTGTAGTGATGCTGAGCAGCTGGATACATCATTACACTGTACAGTACTGTAGTGATGCTGAGCAGCTGGATACATCATTACACTGTACAGTACTGTAGTGATGCTGAGCAGCTGGATACATCATTACACTGTACAGTACTGTAGTGATGCTGTACAGTACATGCTGGATACATCATTACACTGTACAGTACTGTAGTGATGCTGAGCAGCTGGATACATCATAACACTGTACAGTACTGTAGTGATGCTGAGCAGCTGGATACATCATTACACTGTAAACGTCTTCATTATATGTACTGATGTACCCAGTATATCACTATGTCTTCATTTTTCTTTTTTTCATCCAAAAGTGAGGATTTATAAGTAGAATAACACATTGGTTACAAAACCTATCCAGCAATAAGCCCATGTCTGATAATAAGCCCACCCATCTTTTACAATTGTACAAAACATGCAAGTAAATATCATCTTTCAATATAAAATCTGTAGATCCAAATATTGAATTAAACAGCTGTTTCATCCTTCTAGTACACATCAGTGATGCTGAGGGCCTAAATTTTGAAGCCTAGGAGGTGACTTAGGAAATCCAAAGTGATCGCAAGAAATGTCAAAGTCTAGATGTGTACTAGCCCCACAATTCAATACATTGTGTAATTTCCATGTAATTAATCATTTCAATGTCAATTTCTGCAGAAAATTAACAGTAGTTATTCATTGCCCTGTAAATTACTGCTACAGAAATCCTGTTTAAGTCTGTGGGCATGTTGCAGGATAAAACTGATAACTGATCATATCAAAACACAGAGACTCATTTAACAACGTTGTATAGTAGTAGTCTTGCTTATAAAACCTGAATTTTTATTTGCTTGCAGTAAATATGTATAATACAGCTGATCAATGATATGTTCATGAGGTTTTGTGGAATTTTTACAACAAAAGAGACGAATAATGTAGAGAAAATAGTATTTCTGTCTGAAAGTAATTTATCAAAGTGTTACTTCAAAACTTAAAGTAAAAAAAATCATTTGTTAGATTGTTTTCAATAATTTTACATATTTTTAGGCAAGAATTCTCTTGTTTTTTAAAGATTCCATCAGAGATTTTGTAGGAATATAGGGATATTTCTATGCATGTTTTCTTCCATTTACTATTGGGAGTATATAATTGGAGACAGTGATATCTTCTCAGGGGAGACAACTGTGATCTGTACTTTTATTAAGGGCAAAACAGATTCAACAAAAGCTCAGTGTAAATATGACCTGCAGGACAGAGGAGTGTTTTACAGCATGACAAAGTTGTGATCTTCTAATGACATGTGGGAGTTTATCTATGCAATGCACTAATTTAACTTCAGTTTGGATGTAAGATTAAGAAATAATGCAGAATTGAAATGTAAAAATTTGGAATGAAAATTTGGAAAACTTCTCCCGGACATTTAGATGGACACTTATGAACCCCTAATAATTTAGCTGTTTTTTAATAACTTTAAACATTAACACTAGAACTATTTCCTGTGTAACACAATTTGCTGGCTTTATGCACAATCCAGCATTTTAGCATTTTCAAAACACTGGAATCAAACTTGTGATAAAGACTAATTCATATAGTTTAAAACAAGTAATTGATGGCCTGTATGATAATTTGGTTATGTATCCTTTCACTGTAGCATGATGAGCAAGATCAAAGTAGAATATATTACGGTTTGAGTGGAAAGTTAAAAGACGTCTCATTGATATAAAGAGATGAAGAATAATGATGATAGTACTAACAATGAACTATTTATGAATAAACTTACATCATTAAAAAAATGAAAATTTTAATATCTTTCCTATACTGCCATCAATGCATACAACATATGACGTCACCCAAATCATAATAACTACTCCCAAATACAATTTTGATTTTTATATAATTGAATAAAAATCACCAACATAAGACGATATTCATGAGGATGACGAGATACAGGTCAACAGGTCAACAGGTCAACCGGTGAACACAGTGAAAACTACAGGAATAATAGTTGTGCCTAGATTTTTTCCATGATTACAGACAATAACATGTCTGAGGGTAATATTATCAAACAGATATAACAGGAATGTAGATGTTAATACTGGCCCTGAAAATCAAAATATCTCTCTCTGAATTGAAATCTCTTAATTCTTCCACCTTTTGTGTGTTCATTATAGGGTTATCTAGAGTTTCTTGTTTAATAGGCCTTGTAACCAAACACAAGAAAATGTTGATAATAATCTTTGAAAAATGTGTATTAGCTAGTAACTAGAGTATTACTAAATAATACAACCTGTATGTATATCAATTTATTTTTGTTAGAACTATTTCACAACCTACTCAGTCTTCATGTCAAGTAGAAAGTGTGTTATCTCCCATTAGATATATTGTCAAATTATCTCCCCTTGAAATTTGGTTTCCATTTTAAGCATGCAAAATAATGCATTTGTTGTCATTGTGCTTTACAACCATACACTACAGTTATGATGTGTCAATCTCGCTTTAGTCAAGGTAACTACTGTTGCAAAGACTAAAAATAAACATCTCACATATGAATATCATATCTCAGTTCAATCATTCTATTTAAAAGGTAAATGTGCTTCTCATAGTCTTGGAAGTTCTATTTATTTTCTAACGCCTCTGAGAAGATAAAGCACCAATTTGGAGACCCTGCTAGTGAATGAACTTTGACCTGTGTATATGCTATGTTGACTGTGTTCGTTTGTGAGGAGAATTATGGGCGCCATTGCTTGAATGATTGTGCGATATTATCTTTATGTAGATTGTTTTGTTAATTTGCTCGTTATAAACTGTTGCACTCGTTTAAGAGGTACTTAAAAGTATTTTATTGTCATAGTGTTATATTTTTTATTTTAGAGTTAACAATAATATATTTTATAAAGTCTTTTTTTTGTCATTGAATGTAGAAATCTCCCCCTAGCTTTCAGTTTTGACTATTCCTGTTTTTTTTATATGGATCATTCTACTTTGATCTGAGGGTAGTTAGATATGTGTGTCTGAATTAACTGTAAATTTTTGATCTTTTCGAAATTTTTCACGGTTTTAACAAACTGTGATGCAAAAAGGATTTGTGTTACAAGAATTTTGTAAGTAACTATTTTATTTTTAAATAATTTGATTTTCAAGGGATCTTACAATTTTATTCCACCTTTAAAAATGGTAAAAACTAGAACTCCTGAAAAGTAACAGACTGGTTTGTTCAAATAAAGTGTCTTTAAACAAAGTGGAGAAAATGTCAACTTCTCTGAACAAACTACAGGTGGTTGAGTTTTAAACTGTAAATGTTGATGAGGTGGACTGGTGCAATATTTCTTCCTTTGTAAACTTCTGTCCCAGAGTTTTGCTGAATGTAAATGTAATTGTAAAGTTGGAGGATGTACAGACCCTAGTCATTGCTGCAATGCTTAGTGATTAGTGGGAGGCATGTAAATCTTATTGGTAGATCAAGTAAATAACAAAAAAAAAATGTGTGTTTGTACTGTAATATTAACCTGAGGAATTGTTCATAGCCTCAAAACTCTGAAAAGTGCTTTTATACACTATAGTTAGAAACCATAACAAAATCAGAAGGTCTCATTGATGATAGATAATTGATGAGTAAACAATGGGGTCAAAATCCTGTGTAGTCAGGGTTTTAGTATGACTGTAGCACACTACATGTCATTATGTGGTGTTTCTAGTGGACATCGTGTAAGCGTGGTTCAAATTTATTACACATTGGGGGGAATATTTTACTTTAAAATCCCATTTAAATGTGGCAAATATTTATACTTTAAAAAGCCATTTAATTGTGGGGAATATTAATGCTTAAAAAAGCCATTTTATTGCTGTAATAATTAAACCAAAATGGCAGCCATTTTGATTACTGTATACAAATACTTTATTATGTAGCATCTGATTTCTGTGGTTTCTGCATCACAACATTGTGATGTTTAACTTTCATGAAACAGACTATAGTGTAGTACAACTGTTGTTTATTATTCTTGTTTTTAATTTGTGATGATAAACTTCCTGTGAATTTGTTTCAATCACAAAATTTGCTAAAAGAAATCGCCCGTAAAAGAATGTTTGTTTATTGTAAAGTTTGCTTAAATAACCTTGCTTTAATTTGAGAGCATTCATGACATATTTATTATATAATTATCAACCAGAAGTTGTTGGTAGTGATATCTCCATGTTTTTGTAGTGTGTTTGATTTTTGTATGGAGGTGAGAGAGAATCCTGTCCAGTGTGTTACAATTTGCCTTGGTATAAATCTATAGTTGCTTCCATATTTGTACATTGTGCTGTTTCTATATACTCAGATATGCATTGACTGATTTATTTTGTTTTTCTGAAAAGGACTATATATTATAAAGTTTCAGAATAATTTTTCATCTGGTTATAAATTTCACCAGAATCCTGCTGTCATTCTTCATCAAATCTTGTTCACTTACATAACATGTTAAGTCAACTGGTTGTTTTTTGTTCCTTTTTCTGCGTGGTTCTTAAGAGATATAAATTCTTAATATATCTTTTCCACCAATATTTTATTCAGTATGTTTAATATCACTAGATCTTTATTTACAAGTTCTTCAAACTTAACTATCAATAAATTACTTCATTAAAAACTGGAAACTTTCATAAAAATTTATGAGAAAAGTATTATTTTAAAAGAAATAAGTATAAACAACAATCTTATTGCAAGTTTTGAATATTTATGTTTCTATCACAATCTTTTCTGGAAAATATTTCCAGGTTTGTAAAAGTTGGGAGAGTGATAGCACAAACCTTTCTGAAACTGATGGTGCTACAGGTTATAATCTTGTTTTCTTTATAATATCAGCTGATGGTTTATCCAAGTTACTTCAGTAGTAGGACTAAAATCATCAAAGCTGCTTTATCAAAGATATCCAGTATTATTAAACTGCTTAATTATGGAGGTCCTTCTGCCCTGGTGGAACCAATTAAATTGTGAAATGCAAATGTGACAATTGAATTTAGACCAATCAAAATGTGCGCTGTACATGTGACAGTAGAAATTAGACCAATCAAAATCTGTGAAAACAACTAAATCAAAATACATCCTTAGTATATCTGTAATGATATTTTTACTGAGAACTTATTGCCATCTATCTAAAGCTTTGTTACTTATATGTAATGGAAAATGAAAATTTTTCAACTTTGACTCCATCACCATACTTTTAACATTTGGTGGCAAATGTCTGGTGTTTAATTCAGAGAAAACAGCAGCTGAAAGAGATAGTGAAACTAAAAATCAAATTATGTTGGCCTTGAAGAAATTAAAAAGTGTTGATCGTTATTTATTTTATATTTTAAATGTTTCTTTATTTATCATTATTGTACCATAAACCATTATCATTGTCATTTTATATATATATATATATATATATATCAATGCCAAAATACAGTGCGAGTGAAGGGTTTACTGTTGAGGATCTCATAATGACTATAAATAGTACCAGGTCACATGACTTATGTTACATTACTGTATGTTAAATGTCATGTTGGTGACATGTAATCCTGTGACTGAAGAAGGCCAAACTTTAAATTTCTTGAAAAATTTGAAATGAACATTTTGGTGATTGAACTGTTTCTGTAAACCTACTGATTTTGGTGCATTGTCTCTTTTTTTAGCAAATTAGATGAATTTGTACATCCAAAATAATTACTTTACATTTATATAAACAACCTATCAAAAGTGCAATTGGTGCAATAAAAATATTCGCACATTATTTCCAGCATGAAAAATGCCAAAGTAAGATTATTGATTAAATAAATATGTTTACAGTGAAACCTTATGCAATCATTTCCCTTGAATTTGATTTCTTGATAAACTCGGAAATATTCGATATCCAGAAAATCTTATTTCATTATTTTTGAAGTTGAGAAATTTGAAATGAATTTCTTAAATAAGTGAGGATAAGGAGACATTGTATAACACAGGAGATAAAAGCATGTTGTGGGACTAGACAGGATGTTTGTGGAGCTTTCCACTACAGTGTTGGAAGATTTCTTCTTCTTCATTATACAATGATAATGTTTTTGCTGAGCTTTATAAAAGTTCATACACACATAACTACCATGTACTTGTTATAAACCATGTGACTGAAATAAAATTTTAAAAAAAGATACTAATGTTGTTGTTGCAATCAAGGTTCTTTTGGTAAATCTGAGTTGTTAATTGTGTAACAGGAGCATTTCATGTCCGTCTTTGGACCCCAATAAGTTAAATAAGTTAACACCAACAAAAGGAGAAATTACTCCCTGAAGATTTCATCAGTAATCTATTAAGTGGATCATAACTCATCTTGTACACAAATTTAACATTTTCCTGTGATTGAAGTGTTAATACCAAGGAGATCCTGTTGTTGAAACAATGTACATTACAGTTGAAATAATATTTGATTTCAAGAACGCCTGGATCAAATGTGTCACAATATTTAGCGAACTTGTGAAGAACTTCTTGATGAATACGAGACCTATAATCCACTGTGTCAGTGTAGTAGCATGTGTGACTGGTGGAATACTTTAAACAAATTAAGAACAATGAAGAGGATAAAATATATTACAATAATGCAGTAGGGCACAAATGACCTTGACCCATTTTCCAAGGTTACATGGGTCAGAGTCTATAAATAGCTGAAATTATTCTTTTCTTGACTTATAAAATTTGCCCAGAAGTATCCAGGATCCAACTGTAGCTTAGAACTGATGCTTAGTGTTGTCTGATTATGAGATGTCGCAGTGGTAACACACTCACCTTTCACCTGACCATCCAGGGTTTGATTCCTGGAACAGATGTGAACAGGTATATGGTCACCCCCCCACCCCCACCCTGGTATACTCCTCTGACATTAAGATCCCATTCATCCAAGCCAAAAAACAGTAATTAATATAAACTGATAGCTTGTTTCACAATTGTTGTAAAAAAAGGTTTTTATCTTAAAAAAAAAACAAACAAACAAAAAAAAAAAACGGAGACTATAATAGATTATTTTTTGGGTTTATCTCCACATCAACAAACAGTTCAATTTGTAGGCAGCCTCTCCTTTTAGTAGCTAGAGACTACCTCACAGAACAACATGTGAGGACCATTACATGCCATCCAGATCAATTAGCATCTTACCTACACACAAAATCACAACACCAGAGAGCTGTCTTGATCTCAAGTTACTAATAAAAACAAACTATCCTGAGTAGAGATTACCTACACCTGAGATTGTGTTCCAATAAACACAAATTGCCCTGAGTAGGAATTACCTCCATTCTCTAAACTTTCAAGACCTGTTCAATAACTTTCAAAAAGTGTCTATGCAATCTTTTGACGGACAGATTAAAAGAAATCCTCACAGCAATTAAAAATACCAACTCATACTCGATATTAAGAAACTCAACAAAACAATTTCTTTTTTTCATTTTATTTTATACAAATAGAGATTCTGTGTATAGTGTCTATAAAACATCATATATTATCAATGATTTAATAACGTTTGTTTCACATACATGTATTTGCAAAGATTTCTTACTTTGTTTGAGGCAAAAACTTGTATAAAAAGGTAGAACAAATATCATTTTAACTTGACAAAAGTGGCTAGTTATAGTTATACATGTCCAAACCACACACTTTACATCCTTGAAAACAAGTTACAACTAGGTAATTCTCTGTTCCTTGAATCTGCATCCCTGAACTTTTGGTACAGAGGATGAAATGTAAGAACATTGTTAAATTTTATTTTCCACAGTTGATAGCACTGTAAGTCAACAAAGCTGAGTTAATGCATATAGAAAATGATTTCATGTTAAATATCAAATTTTTGCATTTCTTAAAATAGTATCAACTTTGGTTAATCATGAAATAAGTCAATATTCAATGTCCCAACTACCATATAATTTGATTTTATTAAGAGAAGCTAGAAAAATAAACAGACTCATTAACAGGTACCTACATCTAGAGTAAGTGAAACTATGGATTACCAGATTAAACAGGTGCCCTTTGGATGTCTTACCAAAAAATTCAAGAAATGTTTTCTAGCACCTTTTACCCAACATGTATCAGATACAGGCAGCCTGGCACATACTTACTGTATACATCACTCATACACACGTACATATATCACACATGTACATATATATAACACATGTACATATATATAACACATGTATATATATAACACATGTATATATATATATAACACATGTATATATATATAACACATGTACATATATATAAAACACATGTACATATATATAACACACGTACATATATATAACACACGTACATATATATAACACATGTACATATATATAACACACGTACATATATATAACACATGTACATTACACATGTACATTACACATGTATATATATAACACATGTATATATGTATATATAACACATGTACATTACACATGTATATATATAACACATGTACATGTATCACACATGTACATTACACATACATCACACATATATGGCACAAATTTCCATCACACTTAAAACACTCCCACACAAAAATAAAAGATTAATCATCCATTTTCTTACCATTTCATTTTTACGAGTTCAACATCTCATAAAATCATAAATACCACACACAAACATACTCCGTTTCCAACGTCAATGTAAAGGTAAACTTCAATCTAACACCAGTCAATATTTACCACTAACATTGCTACAGTGTATTAATGTCAGGTGTGTATTACCAGCCTATGAACTGCCAACAGTACAGAAATATTGCCGGTATTGTTAACAAACATAGGTTTCCCCTCCTTAAAAAAGATCAACATTAAAATGATAGCTACAAGTCATGAACTGTTTTTATTCGGCATTCCTGTGCATTATAACTAGATAAATCAAAACTAAACATGTAGCATTAAAACCCTTGTTCTTATCCTGTTGACATTCATATACCCATGAAAGCCAATGGAAAGCAGTCCAATTTTTTAACATACCTTAGAACAATGGCCAGTGTAACCTAGTATAACATTGAACCTAATACAAAAACATAACAAAACAGCTGGGCATATTTCTTATTCAACTTTTTTTCGCAAATTTTTGATTTCATGTAAATATGGAAGCAAGGTGAAATGTCATTCCAGTTTCTCCTCATTCTTGTCTTATTAATTACCTTACTACAAAATATAACACAGACTTAACTTCCTACAACACTACTAGTATTCATTGCTATAATTCATACATAATTAACCGAATCGAAATATTACTTAATGTTCAAATCAAAAGATAAGTTGAAAAGAAAACTAATCATTCATCCCGAGAATTTATCATGAATACATGTTAACAAACAACCTCATATGACTCCTCTCACACACAGGACCTTGGCATTCCCAACCCAATGATCTGTATAAATGTATGTATATAGACTGCTGTGTTGAAAATCTGAGCCAAGCCCCTGTGATAACGCACATTTTACACAGCTGAACCTCATAACTCTGTCTTATCCTTTTTACTCTTTTTAATTGCATTGTCCTTGGTCAGTTTGGCTGATTTTTCTATCGTGGCATCCTTTTTGGCTGTCCTGTTGTCGTCACGGTTCTGAAATAAAAAATAAACATCTAAGTTGAAGTATGATGGACAACAGAAGTTCTCAAGTAAAAGATATTAACAAAATTGTGATTGAAATTTAAACATAAAATATGTATAAAGGAAAGCTTGCACAGAGATTCCTGAAAAAAAGCTGTTATAATAGGACCAGGTGTTCCAGAAGTGCAAGTGTCTTCTGCTTTATACATCCTACATGCCATGTTAACCTCTATATCTGGTAGGTAAGTAATGTTATATTCTAAACCGTACCAGATTAATAACAACACAAAACACTGATATGAAAACATAGAATAAGTGTAAAAGTAAGCACAATTTAATCAAGAAGATGTATATATAAATGTAGGTATCATTTTGAACTGCCTGATCCATGATTCTACTGAAGTCTTTTTATACATAATGATTTTAAAAGAAATTTTATATATATATCCAAATAGAATTAAATCAAATATGTAACACCAGTATATCCAGATAATGCTGCATCGACAAGAAGACATTCCAAACATCACAAGTTTTATGACCAATCAGGACTGTTGTAAGGCATTTCTTGTTCACTTAAAGTTTCACAGGTTCTCGAGTCTTTAACCTGAAATCACTCATTTTTGTTGGGTAAAAGTATTTTTGCACTATGTGTTTCAAACCATCGATGTATATGTTTCTTCAAATTATTTGAATTATAGAAGACTTTTAGTATGTGTAAATTTCTATATGAAAGTTTGAAGAGACATTTTTTCTGTCAAGATATTCTTTACTCAGTCAACAAGTTGGAAGTTCTCATTCCGTACTGCAATAAAACTTCAGCAGCCAGCTGTCCATGGTGATCATGTAGTTTTTTGTTGGTTTTGCTGGGCTTTGAATTTCCACACACATCTGCTGATTGACATACATACATATTTGAGGACTGGGAGTGTAAATGCTGTTCCACAAATTGACTCCACCATTAATAAATGTAGTAAACATGTCCCTATATTGTGACAAACAATGTGCCTCCAATCACACAATTCATACAAATGTCCTAACAGATTTCCTCACCTGTGCACCAGCTCCATCATATGACTTCCCTTCGATGGTGACCTCTTTACAACGCTCCTGTTTCACCAAAAAGTCCTTGACCTCCCATGCCTTAGAGCCATCACTCAGCATAAATATCACACGATCCTCACTCACAACAAACCTGCGAATCAAAAGAATAGATACAATGGTAAAGAAGGCATTTTACTTTGTCTCTTAGATCACAACGGTGAAAAGTGTCATGATATTTCAAAGATAGGAAGCAAAATGTTTATACATAACAGGTGGTAAGAATGCTTACCGATATGTTGAAAATATATGAAGGATATTCTGGAAACAAGAAACAATATATTGTGTGGGCAATACTAAGGACAAGCATACAACCAGTATCTGCACTATCAAAATCAACAGAACAGACCTTTGATTTATAATCTCCACTGTATTGGAGTTTTAGGTATATCAATTATATATTAGTCCACCAACCTTTGTGTGTCATAATTAGCATTAAATAAACTGGTATGCCAGAGTTGTGAAATCTGTTCTGTCTCCTTCTGTGTAGGTCCTCCTGAAAATTAATTCATAGAATATCAATATTCTGGACAAATTAACATGTACAAGGAAACTTACAAACATACCTAAAATTTACAGTAGGTAATATATACATCATTTCTATCTTTCATATTGTTTCAGGATCAAAAAACATTTTCATGAAGTTTCATTGCCTGATACAGCTCTATATTAGGTATAACTTTTAAAATTTGTTTTAGCAGATTATTTTGTAGAGAGAATATATCCATGTATTTTGTGATTCACATATAATATAATTTAACTTACCTTTACACAGTAAGTTTTTAGGATTTTTTCAGGTGAGATCTGACTACTATATCCAAAATATTGACAAGTCCCATTACTAAGAAATATACTGGCAGGGCTCTCATCCCTCATTTTGGGACTGGGGCCGGGGGCCCTTTGAATTGGGAAAAATAATGGTGTTTTCCTTAGAATTGGGAAAACTTGGGGTCTAAATTGAAAAAAAAAGATACTATTTTGCATTCGGCCCCAAATCTGGCAGATCGAGAGCCCTGAATGGGTTCTTAAAATGAAAAGCCTGAGTCCAGGCATCAAATCAGTGATACAGTTTACAATTTTTACCTGATATAGTGGCAAACATCATAAGAGTTTTGCCTTTTTTTGACATTTTCAGCATCGCCTCAGGATTTGAAGGGTCCATCTGTGATAAATCTACCTTGGGAGGCTCTCTCTTCCACTCTGGTAATTCATCCTCCTCTAACTCATCCTCATCATTATCCTGAAAAATAAAATGATCTTGTATGATTATCTCAAAAACAATTCTGTTGATATGAATTTTACATGGAAAAAAAGTTTTATTATTATCAAATCTTGGATATCTCACTAATACTAATGATTAAAACTCACAAACACACACAAATCTGCTAAGAAAAATAGACTGTCAAGTGTCAAATTTGTGCATACGATATGTGAAGTTTGAATTATAAATTGATGTTTTTTTATGACAAGGACGTACATAAATGTGCAATTGCTCTGGGCATGGATTCTACATTTATTGTTGTTGTCAATAGGTGATAAGTGTATGATGGCTAGCTGTCTTGTCTACAATTCCTTCTTTTGATGAGAAGAGTATAAAACCACCCGCCTTATCATGTCTGATTTTTCCCAGTACTCTGATCTCATGAAACATGAAGATTCTTGTATCCTTCCACTTAATCCAAATTTCTGAATAATTTGTTTCACCCTGTAATTCTAACCATGTAATCTGACAGTAAAAGTCCCCTGGGACATATACACCTCCATGGTAAGCCTACATCATATTCCACTAAAACTGTCACCCTCCCATCTATTTCCATCAATGCAAACAAATAGGGAAATTATGGAGTTGACAAAAAATGTTAAGATTTTTTTTTTCATATGATAACAATTTATGGCCCTGGTTATAGAAGAAAACAAGAAATCCATGTGGCTAAACATTATCTAACTAAAGACCAATACACTGGTAACAGCAGTAGTAGTGGTGGGAATAATTACCGTACTATCGGATTAAATATCAGTTTGGAATATATTAGTAGTAAGGGCAAAAACACTCTTCATTTTAGTTTCTCAACATTCCCACCAAATTTTTAGCCAAATGGCATCAGTTGAACCAAGAAAGAAGTTTTAAATATGTTTTTCGAGTTGGCTGCCATTTCCGGTTTCAGACTGACCCCGAAAATTAACAAGACTTGGTCAGGAACATCTCAGGACCATTTCAGGCAAGTTTCTGCTTAAGTCCATTGTTGTAGCTTGAGAAGTTTAAAACATCTTATCACAAAATCAAAAATGTTACAAATAGGAAATTTAAATGTGATTTCAAGGTTGGTGGCCATGGCATTTTGAAACCAACCTGAAAACTGACACAACATTTGCTCAGTACCATCTAAGAGTCAATTGAGGCAAGTTTCAGGTTAATCCCATTGGTGGAAGTCGTGGAAAAGTTTAAGATAAGTTTTTGAAGATGATGGCCATAGTGACTGACCAGAAAAATATTTGTTCAGAACCATCGCAAGGTTCTTTCACAGTTGTATACCTTGGCCTCATTTGAGAATGTGACATTAATTACTTGGATTGGCCAAGATTTACCTGGCAAATGTCAACAATGAAGTAGAAGACATTGATTCTTCCACAGCATCTGGTATTATTCTATTTGTACTATTTAATGAGACTCTTCTGCACATAATTTGTCCTGTTTTTGAGTTTGGATTATAATGATGTTCACACATTGGTATTTTCTATTGCTAGAATTGAATGGGGGCATCGGTAAATGAGATTGCTTTCCCATAATTAGGTTGAAACAGTTGAAACGGTTCAAATGGCCCATAATTATATCACAATAAAACAAACACGCTGGTTCCCGCTGTTGGAAATGATACATCTACTGCTCAAATGGTGTTGTTTCAGAATTTCTTAAAAATAAAAAATAAAACATCATCCATTTACCAGGGTAAACTTGTATATAATAGCATAATATCAAGGACTGACCCTTTAAGCAGTAATACTTAAAACTAATAATATTTAGCAAAATATTTCACTCCCCAACCTTGGCCTCAGTCTGTACCTTGCATTTCTCTTTCTCTTGCAGGCTGAGCTGGCTCAACTGTTTCAACCATAAACATGAAAGTGACCTTACTTATATCTGATAACAAGCAATAATAAAGGTATTAAGAGTGGAATATTTCATGACTCCAAGACTCAGTGAACAAACACAAGCCTTCACACCTTCCTTTCTTCCCTGTTCCTGTAAATGCATTTAGTAAAGTAAGAAATACTTTTTTTTTAATGCTGGATTTGCTCAAATTAAGGGGGTTGGGGGTGGGGGGGTGGGGGGGTATGTGACCTTTTGTTTGGTAAACAGTCTAATCTGGATACAAGTTGGGCTCACTGTTACTTGTGTTAAAAACTCATTTTATGTTGATGTCATGCCTTATACATTATGCATGTTATTTTTCATTTCAATATTCCTACTGTGATTTTGTTCTTTGTATTTTTTTATGTTTTGCCGTAAAATAGCTGTTTTGAGCTAATGTTACGTGTTTTATTGTATACGACAGAAAAATTATTTCTATCTTGTATCTTAACACGTGCACACTATCAATATAAATCTGACTTTCAGTTTTGAATAAGTCATGTCGTCCCCAGATTGTTAACAAATAAAAACTTAACAGTCCATGTTATGAAACAGTTATGAAATTGTCATTGTATTTATGCTTAACATTATGGTATTAAAAAGCAATAATATGTTAGTAAAGTGCTAAACTGCAAATCAGTCAATGAATTTTCCAGTCGACATAATTGAGGACGAAACGGCGGATATAGGTACTTACTTCCCACTGATCAAATAAGCGCTCCACGTCTGCGTCAGAATAATCCTGTATCTTCTTCTTTTTCCACTTCTCTCCTGCAACATTATCCTCTTTCTTATCCTTTTTATCCTTGCTGGCCGATACGACACAGTTGACAAGGAAAAGTAGAATAAATACTTTGCGAAAAAGATTCATCTGCTTGCGACACGCCATCTTCCGGTAGTAGGTATAAAACAACAGCAAAAATTAAAACGAAACTGCAGTGACATGAGGATGGACTTCAAATATAAAATTATTGTCTTCAAATATAAAATTATTGTCCCCGGAAAATCAATTTACATTATATATAGTTATTGGGAGTATGTATTACTTTGATGAGATAATTTATATTTAAACAAAAGTTACCATTTTATAATTGTGATATATTTCGTAATTTGTACTAACCAGCTGAAAAGAACAGGAAGTGTGTCTTGAGACTTGTAAACAGAATAATTTGATGAAATGTGACAGATCATATTGCATTTTAAACACAATGGAAGCGTACAAACATCGCGCAAGGACTCTATTGATATCATAAGTTTATTATCGTGTACGTTATTTGTGAAAATTCTTTCATCTTCTCCTGTCGATTGCTATTTCAGTAATTACGTCCCCATTCATTGAAAGTCGCTGACACTTAACTTATTTCTTATTATTGTCTCTACTGATATTCAGTTAGCAAGTAGTGCTTTCACATCATCATGGTTGTTATTCCTACGAATTCATATAAGGAAAAAGTTGCTAGTTGTAGAAATGAGTTTATAGGCTATCTATTTATTCTCGACAAGCATAATCCTTCTTTTAGCCAAGTGACACGGTGTTTACTATGAGATTGTAAGTTAGTTAGAAAGGACTGAGAAAAACAACATTATCAAACCACATTTTATTTTGGCTAAACATGCCAATTATTATAATTTTTGTAATATCTCCTTACTTTACAGGTAATTGTAAGAATTATATGCAAGTTCACTCAACTTAGATATACTGACCAAAAAAGATGCCTGGGAGAACATTAAAGGATACTTACATGGCCAAGTCTATGTCAGATCTCAACAAATTGGTGGAAATATCCAAACAGAAGCTCGGAAACAATCCAAAACTGTAAGCTTGTGGTAACATCTCTGAATCATACCATGTAAACTGTCCATAAATCTAAGCAGATAATATGTAAATGATATCTACGAACAGGTGCTTGGTAACAATTCAAAATTGTAATTACGAAGGAATACCACATCCATCTTCGTTTGAAATTACAACATGATTTTAAAAAAAGAATCACAGGAAGATTCTTTCTGAAAGAAAACAGGTATTTTCGGCCAGAATTTGGAGTAGCTGAATTTCATAAGTGGCAGAAGGCCACTCAGTGTAGAATATAAATTGATGCAGTCTTTTGTTTACACGCTTTGAAAATTTAGAAAGCTATTTAAACAAGACACAAGTGTTCATATGAAAGAAATTTCACTCATTCCTTTCAAGACCCTGTTTCCAATTAATTTTTCTTAAATTGGCAAACAGGTTGATAAAAACATCAGACACAATGCTGAAAGGTGCAGAAGAAAGTGACATGTTGGGAGATGAGGAGAAGGCTTATGTTCTCTTTATGAGGTTCTTCCACATCATCACAGCAGTCAAGAAAATGCCAGAATATCGCAAACAGAAGGTAAATTGGCATGTGACTATTTATAAAGGTCAAGTACTTTTAAAAACGAAGACCTTGTTCTTTGTTTATGAAATGCTACCAAATGAAAATATCCTTTTCATTTACCAATCCTTAAAGATTTAGAGGGAAAGACCTAGAACAATTATTTCAGGCCAAACAAATTTCTTTTTTTTTTTAACTTTGATGCAACCTATAAATTCATAGCAAATATGGTTTATAGTTCAGATGTTCAGTGACTTTTGTGACTGCAATATTTGAGTCCTGGTCCCATGATTTTCCTTGTGGAACTTACAAGGAAAACATGTACAAAGATTTTAAGGAAACGCTAAATCGCTTAATAATGGAACTCATCAAAATTTTTGAAAATGGTGGTCTGAACTCACCTGAAAGACTCCTACAAAAATGACTGATGTTCAAGGTCAAGAGTTTACATGTCTAGGTTAGAGGTTTATTCTACTTGGGTGACATTTTGTTTATGTCAAAATGTTTTCATTTTTAGGAATTTTATGACAAACTGATCGGACAGAAGAATGTTATGAAGTGTTTGGATAAAGCAGAGACCCTCTCTAAAAGTCTCAAAAACAGGTAAAATATTCAAATTACGTACTCACAAAATATTAATTGCTTTAAAATAATAGAATTTGACACTCTGACTGAACCATGGTAAAAAAAAAAATTCCAAAAAACTAGGACTTTCTTTATTTTCATAAATTAAGACACACACTTTCATTTAGATGTAATGTTTCTTCTGTCCCATTTCATTGATAAAACTTGTACTTACCAACTCTGTAAGGCAGACTCTGTGACTTAGGCACTTTATCTCAAAAACCTGAATTTACATCAACTTCAGTCTGAATTACTCTGAAGTGTATCAACTTCTTTATCTTGGTTTGGAGTAGATGAACATCAGAACTATCAAAAGTGAATGAAATAAGTGACCTGTGTTTTGGTCATCATTCAAAAAATAGCTTTAGAAGGCAATTGTCATTTCCACATGCCACGAACTGATGGAAGGCCCGTTTTTCTGATGTTTATCAACTCCAGACCAATACGAAAAGTTGATAGAATGTCAGAATAATTTGGGTAATATCAACATTGGGTCCCAGCACAGTATGTAACCTTGTGTGTTTAAGCTGGATTATAGGTTTTATTGGCTTTTTACAATCTTTTTATTAACCTGCCATTTTATACCAAAAAAACTATTAATTTTCCAATACAGATATGACTTTTCTGAGGCTCAGGAAATTGCCAAAAAACTTTCCTCACTGGAGGAGTCTGCATCTGAAGAGAAGAAAAGTGATGAACATTCAGATGTAGAAGCTGAAATAAGGTCTGATGAAGACACAAAAAAATCTCTGTCAAAAGAATCCACCCCAGGTAATCACTACTGAAGAATTGAAATGTGACCATAGAAATTACAGTCTTTATCCTACCTACTACTGAACACTTACGAAATCACAATAGTGATTAGCTGAAATGGAAAGAAACGTACCTCCCCCTAATTGAGAAATTAAATCTAGATAAAGGAACCGTGAAGAAAAGTCGACTTTTTATCTAACTCTTCATTCCTTCAGAACCAATGTCTCTAATGCTATGCTCGTTAACACATACAAGAAAGCATCATCAATGATAGAAGAATGTAAAAATTTTCTAAAGATGTGATGGGATAAATGTCATTGGCGAGGAACTGGTATTATTCTTTTTTCAAGATGTACCCATGCCAGTCAGACATATTAAACTCGCTGTTTGAAGAATCTGGTGGCTAATGTAGTCGCCCTGGAGTTGGCACAACACCCTAAAATGCTCAAGTTTTTATCCATTTTTTTTAAGTGTTACTGAATAACAAATGTAAATGGGCAGTTGATCATTAATCAGTTAAACTTTAAATATTAACCATAAACAAAATGCTGAGCCATATTTTTTATATATGGAAATGGGTAAATTTGTAGTTACATGAAACATATCATCAACAAGGGAGCTATGTTGTTATCATATATTTTTTGTCTTCAAATGTTGTTAAGGTTTGGAATGTAACCTCCCAAAACAGTTTAAATCAATGCCAATAACTTTTTTGAAAACCAGACAGGATGAATATTGGATCAACCAAGAAACCCTGTATAATTACAGAACTAACATGCAGGTGTAATGGGTGTAGTGATGCTATATTACACTTTGTGCACTATGTATATATATACATATATGGTTTTCAAGTCCAGTGAAGAGGGTAAGGTCCTGTATCAGAAGATAAACTAAAGTAGATAAATTAGTACTGATGTTTACTACAAAGTCAGTGCTTTGTGATGCACAGTGGTCACACCCTCACCTTCCATCTAACAATTCTCAGTCTGATGTGAACAAGTTTGAGCCTTCCTTCACTTTCATAATGGCAAACATATTTATGGAACATATTTAAAGTTTCTTATTTATAATTTTTACCTTAGAACCTGAAGCAGCACCGCCAACCCAGCCACAGGGGCAGATAACTCCAGTCCAGTTGTTTTCCTTGTTAAATGAGACAGATGAGCAAATGGCCATCATGGATGTACGGCCAACAGCAGAGTATGAGGAGTCACACATACGACACCGAACCTGTATCAGTGTTCCTGCTGAGATAGTTTCCCCAGGGTAAGAAATAGCATCCCAAGGGAAGTAGATGGTGTCTCCAGGGTAAGAGATAACAACCTGAGGGTAAGATAAGGTGTATCTAGGGTAAGATATAGTGTCTTCAGGGTAAGATATAGTGTCTGCAGGGTAAGATATAGTATCTCTAAGGTAAGATATAGTGTATGCAGGGTAAGAGACAGTGTCTCTGGGGCAAGACATAGTGTCTCTAGGGTGAGAAAAAGTGTTTCAAGGGTAAGCGATAGTGTCTCCAGGGTAAGATATAGTGTCTGCAGGGTAAGACATATTATATCTAGGGTAAGATATAGTGTCTCCAGGGTAAGACATATTATATCTAGGGTAGGCAGGGTAAGAGATTATGTCTTCAGGGTAAGACATAGTGTCTCTAGGGTAAGATATAGTGTCTTCAGGGTAAGAGAAGGTGTCTCTAGGGTAAGTGATAGTGTCTGCAGGGTAAGAGACAGTGTCCTCAGGGTAAGACATAGTGTCTTTAGGGTAAGATATAGTGTCTCCAGGGTAAGAGAATGTGTCTCTAGGGTAAGGATTTGTGTCTCCACCGTAACAGAAGGTGTCTCCAGTGAAAGAGATAGTGTCAACAAGGTAGGAGATAGTGTCTCAAGGGTAAGATATAATGTCTCCATGGTGTTAATGTTAACCCTTGTTATTTTTGTAAATTTCTGTTGACTGTCAGTTTGTGTGTGGACATGTAGGTGTTTGCACTTCTGTAACCATGGCTCACATATATTGCAAATATTGTCACCTCTTGTGATTTAGATATAATAATTTACAATATTGGACATCCTCCATTCGCCAGTGGTTACAACAAAATTGAAGACACAAGCAAAGTAAAGAAGATTGGTCTTAAGTAAGTTTCAGGAGAAAAAAGACTGACCAAATTTGAAAATTCTAAAGGAGCAACACCTAATGTTGAACATGGAACCTTCAGCATTGCTTTGAAATGTTCCATAGCGCAGAGATTGATAGTGAGTGTAAACCTTTGCATATCGAGGATGAGCGTTAGGGGAACAAAGATTGATCTCACTTAAAAGAAACAAAAAAGACCACAAAGCAAATTTATATCTTTTCAGTGATTTTGAAAACAACAAAGTAATGTGATGTCTTATATGAATTACAGGACTACTGTGACTGTGATTGAGAAGGCCCTACCAGAAGACTCAAAATCACTATGGCAACGAAGAGGTCATCTGAATCATATTGTGTTGGTTGATTGGTCATCTACTCTGGACAAGGTCACCATAGGAACGACTTTAAGAACGCTCAAAGATGCTCTGTTTAAGGTAAGGTCACCATAGTGATGTCCTTGAGATCGTTGATAGGTGTTCTGTATATGGTAAAGGTCACGATAGAGACAACCTTCAGGTCAATGAAAGATACTCTATATAAGGTAAAGTTACTGTACTGATGACTTTGACAATACTCAAAGATGTTATGTTTAAATTAACCTGGTCTATACAGTGATTACCTTAAAGACACTGAAAAATGTTCTGTATATGTTCAGTGGTGTTGTTTGTTACCATTACAAACTCCCTCCCACGATGAAAAATGTTACCCAGAAGTATGGAGGGAGCTTATTTGTGAAACATTCTCACTGTATATAAATATCTATCATCTTAGATCCATCACAAAGGGTGGAAAATGACTTTAGAGATTGCTCATTATATAACTGTGGTGGTAACTGTCTTTGTTTATAGTACGACTCAACAGTGATAATTCGGAGTGAGCCGGTCATCCTGGAGGGTGGATATGACCAATGGCTCTACCATTACCCACAGTTGACAACAAACCCCCACATCAAACACTCCTCAGTACCGACAATATCATCAGCACCCTCGTGTAAGTATATCTGAAATCTGGTGTGTATCACAAGCCCTCACATCAAACACTCCGCAGCACCAACAATATCATCAGCACCCTCGTGTAAGTATATCTGAAATCTGGTGTACCTGAAATCTGGTGTGACAATCAAACATATCATCAGCACCCTCGTGTAAGTATATCTGAAATCTGGTGTGTATTACAAGCCCTCACATCAAACACTCCGCAGCACCAACAATATCATCAGCACCCTCGTGTAAGTATATCTGAAATCTGGTGTGTATTACAAGCCCTCACATCAAACACACCTCAGTACCAACAATATCATTAACTTTCTAGTATAAGTATTGTATTTTCCGGATTATAAGTAACACTTTTTTCCCTTGTGATTTGGTGGTGTGGCTTATATACCAGTGTGGCTTATATGTGGATTTTGAAAAATTGGCAGGACGAAAAAAAAACAGGCAGTTTGCTAATATGCTAATACCAGACGGTAATGAGTTCTTTTACGAGTACCTGTTGGTCATGTGTTTGTGACTGAAACAGATTGTCTACAACCATCATTTGCAATCATTTACAGGATGATTAGATAAAAACGACATCATGAATTTAATTAATCATACCTTTTAATATGAATCACAATAATATCTTCTGGACTTCCGCGGTTACCTCGAGCCTATAGTGGAAATTTGCAATATCCTTTTGCATTCTTGGATTGATAGGTAATCAGGTCATAGGTCAAATTCTAGAATGACCATCATGCTTGTTTACGATATAAATGGCTTTTTGTAACAGGGAGAAATGATATGGGGCTACAATAACCTGGTCAGCATGCTAGGGCCTTTGTTGATATTCAATAGTACAGACATCAATGGAGAGATTGTTTAGCAAACCATACGTAATATCAGGCCCTGTATCTCTGACAATCTGTGAAAGCACCCAAGCCTCTCGAATTTGATATTTGCTATTTTACATTTTTTTGAAATGAATCAGTAAAATCAAGGATTTTCTGTGTATAATTCATTTGCAAACTCTATTATTATGAAATACAGTTGATCTAAAATCTTGTGTGTTTCCCTCACATCAGACATTCCTCGGTATCAACAATATCATCAGCTCCCTGAGGGAAGTATTTCTTAAACCTTGATGGCTTAAAACTTGACTTCAAAACTTAAATGGTTTCTGTTTCAGTGGATTTTGACTATCCTGATGATATAAATGTGGATGACATTCTAAACCCTAAAAAAACAGAAAATTCACCAGACCTGTCAAATTCTTTGTTACAATTTTCACAAGGAATGACAGACCAATCAGAGGCCATAAAACAGCTGCCTCAGGTTAATGGTGATATGGGTAGAATGATGCCAAGAATTGACAGGTCCACCAAACCAAAGCCAGGAACCAATCAAAATGCACCACAGAACCGACCAATAACAACATCTGTTACATCAAAGGAAAGTTCAGATTTGTATCCCTCCATGTCTAGTTTGGCTTCTCCATCAAGGTCATTAAATGGGTCAGAAAGGTCAAATGCAGTACCAGAATCTAGCAAAATCACAGCAGATGATAGTGTTAGCTTAGAAAGTAAATCAAACTCAGCATTATCAAAGTATTCTGAGGAATTAGAAAAGGAAAAAGCAGAATTGGAGCACATTCGTCAGCAGAAAGCTGAAGAGTTGGCAAGTTTTCAAAAGGAGAAGGAGAGAATTGCTAAAGAAAGAGAAAGCAGAATTGAAAAATTAAAGCATGAAGAAAATCAGATTTTAAACATGGAACAAATGAAAGCCGTACAGGCAAAAGATTTGGCAGATCTGCTGAGAAAGAAAAAGAAACTAGAAGAGGACATTAGAAAGGAGACAACGGCTGGCCTTCGGGAGGAGGAAAGGAAGTACCAAGAGGAGGAGGCAAGGTAAAATGTTGTGTTTGTCTTGTCATTTTTTTTTTCATTTATTATAACTGCTAATATAACTACAGTAATAGTACAGATAGTACTGTTTTGTTATAAAGGTGTCATGTAGCCTCCAGTCTGTTTCAGTAATGTAACATACAGCCTTAAGTCTCTTCCACTAACGTTATATAAAAATACATCCTGAAGTGCTTTGTTGTCCACACAGGAAAGTAGAGTTGGCCCGCGTGCAACAAGAGGAAGAGGACAAACAACAGCGTATGGAGGCTGTGATGAGATTACGACAAGAGAGAAAGAAGAAGGAAGCAGGACAGGTGAAAAATATCCTCTTAATATATGATATTAGAATTATTTGTAAACTGAACTGAATTAAATATTCCCAAGAATATGTATATATATTAAAGTTATTTGTATATCAGTTGAATTTATAACATGATATTCCTTTTGAAATCAGAAGGTATTTTGAAAAAAAGATTTTGTAGAAAGTCAACAAACCTAAGAGAAGACAACATTGAAAGTGTATAATTGTATTTCTTACTGAATCAAAGACACATTAAATATTCTCAGAATTAAATGGCTGACAGTCGAAATATATCATATAACTTTGACTACAGGATGCTGTCAGCAGTGCCCACCACCAGGCTAACCAGATTGAGGAGGAAAACCAACAGAAACTACGGGAGGCATCAGAGAGGGCAGAGAAACTCAGACAGGAGAACGAAAGAAAAAAATTAGCTGAACAAAGGGATAAAGAAGCAAGAGAAAAAGCAACAGAAGAGGCCAGACGACGGGACCAGGAACGGAAAGAGCGTGAGGCTCAGGCACAAATTGATGTGAGTTACTTCCCTTTGAAGAACTCTTCCTAACCTTTTTATGACTCTGCCAAGAAAAGTGATCTGGCATTCTTCATTTCTCCTTATACTCTGAAATTATAGTGATTTTATGTATTTCTCTGTCATTTTGTCTTTAGAGATGATTTCCACCATTTTGTGTTGGGCTGATGGTCCAAATCAGTTTTATTTACAGTGTAACATTGAAGTAATGATATAAAGTTCATATTGAACTAATCAAAAGTGTAATAAATTTTGGGTAAACTTCATATCAGAAAGTTGTATTTACTTTAAATTTTGTACAGGCCCGAAAACGGCAGCAGGAGGAGCAGCAAAGACAGAAAGAGGAAAGAAATGTATTAGAAAGAGCTAAACAAGAGAAAGAGAGAGAGGAGAAAGAAAGAAAAATTCAGGAGGAAAAATCCCGCGCTGACATGGCTCTACGACTCGCTCAGGATAAAATGAAACGACTAAATGGTACAATTCAGGAATAAGTCATTATTATGTTATTTTTAAGAAATTGATTTAAGAAAGCTACTACATTAATTTCTTCTCAGTGCAGACATAATGAAGGCTTGTGGCTATGATGTAAGCAAATCATTTATTAAGTAGCTTTTTTTTTACAAACTAATTACTGAACGGTTACATTATAATGCCTTAGGAAAATTTCACTCTATATTCCTAGTCAGTAAAGCAGGGGTCTATACAACCTCTGGTGAAGACCTGAAGTGTGTAAATCAATCTTTTATATTCATGGTTGTTTTTGTTTCTCTGGAAGGTGAGAAACAGACCAGTCTGGGTTGTTGTGGTTGTGTCATTGTGCAAAACTCTTTACCTCTGCCTCAAATGATCCGTGCTGTTTACAGGACAAGAAACATAGCAAACAGTTCACCATCTTAAACATGTTTTTATGACTGAAATGAATATTAGTTGAATAATAAAAACAGCCAATGGTTTTAATCTGCCATCAGATCCGTCTAGGAAACAGCATGAGTCACACAGAGAATCACACAAATAAGGATATACTTAGATGATTTCAAAAGATTTTTGGTTAAAAGGACTGAAAAGGATTGGATTATAAGCCCTACCCTAAATAAGTCTCAAGTGACAAGGTTACTAATACAACTGATTTCACTGGTTTTATTCTAGATAAACCTCAAGTGAGAACAATTCCATCACCAAACTTACCAGAAGGTTGGGAAAAACAGCGAGATAACAAGACAGGTCGTTACTTCTACGTGGATCACAGGAATAGTCGCACTCAGTGGGAACCCCCAATGATCTTTCAACCAGGTACAAAATTCAGTATATGTTTTTATACGCCGCTGGAGGCGGTCGTATATTGGCGTCATCTTCTCTGTCCGTCTGTACGTAGGTCCGTCCATACGTCCATTTCTTGTGAACGCAACTCCTCCTAAACTAATCATCAGATTTTCACGAAACTTGCTCAATGTCACTACTACAATGGGTAGATGTGCATGAAGGGGTGATTCCTTAGTTCGTTGATTTTTGTAAGATTTATGTCATTTTCAACTTTGTATCTGTAGCTTGCTCATAGTGGAGCCTTTTGAATGCAACTCCTCCAAAAATAATCATGATTTTCATGAAACTTGCTCAATGTCACTACTACAATGGGTAGCTATGCTGGAAGTGGTGATTTTACGGTTTTTCTTGATTTTTATATTTTGTGTTGGCGTTTATTGTGTCCACAGCACTCTTGTTAAAAATATGTTTCAAAATTTCAAAATTCTAATTTTGGGTATTTAAACATATCTTTGCTTATGCTGATAGATACATATATGAAAAAATTATCATATCTGTCACAGAAATAACTCCATATTTGGTAACAAGGCTACCCATGTCTAGCTTGTTGCTCTATAAAACAGCTAGTAAATATAAGTTCATTTAGCGGTAGCAAGCCAACCCCTGACTGCAAGTCAGAGGTAGTATTTATAGGTGTTTTGTATAAACACAGTAAAGTAATATTTAATGTGTGTTGACAGAATTAAGAAAAGACACTGGTATACAAGATCCACTGAGAAGTAAGTAGTGTAAATCCCCGTGTTAACAAAACATAAATTCAATCATAATACAAGTGCAACTTCTTTTCCACAAAGGCAATCAGTAAGATAAAGTATCTAGAAATTTAGAAAAGAGTTTAAATATGTGATCTTTCAAATTTCATTACTTGTTTAGAATTTAATCAATTTTGAGTCAGAAGGCAAACCAACATCAATCAATAAATGTGCAAATAACCTTCGAGAGTCATGTCAGGAATTACAAAGTCACAATGAAAAATGTCACATGATACAGAATAAAATGTTTGTGGAAATGTCAAACAGCTCCACAGAGGGAGGTATACAAGACAAAGTTGAAGGATGAGTCGGAGCAAGGTAGATCTGGAGGACTGAAGCGATCCTTCTCCTCACCGGATATTAGTAAACTCATGGAGGACGACGGACACATCAAACCTAATCTGCCCTCTGTTGACAGAACCAAAAAACCTTCTCAAAGGTAAGGGCACATAACTCTTGTGGAAAATGATTTTCAGGTATTGGTCACAAAAGGATATTTTTTGTAATTATCATTTTACTTTGATATGTTTTAATCAGAGACATGTTGGCCTGGTAGGATAGGCATCTGGCCATTTTTATCACATGACCTTTAGGTCATGGGTTAGAGGTCATCAGTATATCTTATTGTCAACCTTACTTTTTTTCTCCATATCTGCAAACAACTTTTGTTCAAAGTAATGAATTATTATTAAATTGGGCAAAGTTATAACATGGCAGTGCTGGTTTTGGAAAAGACTTTTCTTATGTTACCTGTGTATTGTTGGTTATGTTACCTGTGTATTGTTGGTTATGTTGTTACCTGTGGTTTGTTGGTTATGTTACCTGTGTATTGTTGGTTGTGTTATGTTACCTGTGTATTGTTGGTTATGTTGTTACCTGTGGTTTGTTGGTTATGTTACCTGTGTATTGTTGGTTATGTTACCTGTGTATTGTTGGTTATGTTATGTTACCTGTGGTATGTTGGTTATGTTACCTGTGCTAGCTATTTGTTACAGGGTTGAACCTCGACCACAGCCAGCAAGTACACGTCCACGTAACCTGAACCCAACCTACGGTAATGTGGTAGGTATACCTGGGTATTACGATCAAATTTTACCTCATCAAGGAAATCATCTGTAGCATTTTCAGGATATTATCAATCCAGTTTTCTGAAAAATTATCGAGTCTGAAATTTATTTAACAGAAGATGAAGAAGTGTACTGATTTAGTTGCTCCTGGTTTTATGAACATTCTAAGAACAGCTAATATAAAACAGTGTTACAAAACATAACGTCATTTTTCATTGGCTGTTGAATAAAGATTGAGAAGGTACATCAATAAGAATGTCAATGAAACTGTGATCTGCTTGGTATAAGCTGGCATATTTATAGAACAGAAGTATATGACACTATCACCATTATCAGATAAATGACCAATTTGTATTAATAATGGCCGGTGTACTAGATGTTTATGAATCAACAGAACAAGTTGTAATGTCCCTTTGTGAACTCTACTTCATAGATCTATAACCTAATTTGAGTCATAAGATTATGTTTTTGTGTGTACAACTTCATGTATAATAAATATGATGACTTGTTAAATTATTTAAACATTTGTGACTGTTTCAGGGCTCAGCTTTAACTGGACTTAGGAACCTCGGTAACACGTGTTACATGAACTCCATCATACAATGTCTTAATAACTGTGCTCCGTTAGTCCAGTACTTCCTGACTGACCGTTACCTATACGATATCAACAGGTACCTGGAACAAAACTCACAACAAGTCAACATTTTATCATTATTATATATTATAGGGACACTGGACTAAACAGCTCCGGTTACTAATTATTAGATAACTTTGTGGTGATTGTGACCTATATATATTATAGAGATACTGGACCAGTGACCAGGTCATAGATAAGTTTGTGGTGATTGTGACCTATATATATTATAGAGATACTGGACCAGTGACCAGGTCAGAAATAAGTTTGTGGTGATTGTGACCTATATATATTATAGAGATACTGGACCAGTCACCAGGTCATAGATAAGTTTGTGGTGATTGTGACCTATATATATTATAGAGATACTGGACCAGTCACCAGGTCATAGATAAGTTTACGGTGATTGTGACCTATATATATTATATAGAAACTGTACCAGTGACCAGGTCATAGATGAGTTTGTGGTGATTGTGACCTATATATATTATAGAGATACTGGACCAGACAGCTCAGGTTACCAAGTTGTAGATGAGTTTGTGGTGATCGTGAAGGCATTATGGAGTGGACAGTACAGAAACATCACACCTCGTGACTTTAAGGTAAGTAAATCTAGCTATACGCACATGCTTGGTAAGAATCTATTGCTGTTTATTACAAATAGATACTGTTCATTGTCCTGTGATAAGACCACACCCTGACCTGATTAAGTACTCGTGAAAAAATACAGTTAAGTATTTCTATAGTGTATTGACCATTGTAACAATTTGAAAATTAAAAACTGATTGTACCCACCATTGTATTAATATCCTGTACTTTTTTATCAGCCCTGTTTTGTCTGAGAATAGAAAGGAAAAGGGCTTACAGCTGGACAATGATAAACTGTTAACCTACATTCTCTGATGGTTATGTTAACATGTTTCACTCTGAAAATATTCTGTTAGAATATGATTGTTGGTGTATGTTATGTTACAGTACATTGTGGGAAAATATCAGCCGATGTTTGCGGGATATGACCAACAAGATTCCCAGGAATTCCTGACTTTTGTTATGGATGGTCTCAATGAAGGACTCAACAAAGTAAGTATCTACAGTAACCTAACCATATTACTGGGTCTGGTTTTGTTGCCCTTTAACAATGTTTTCTATAAATATTTATCTCACTGCTGACCTACAATGACCCCACCATCAACTATGACCCCAATAGTGACCTCAAAATAATCTCTTCATCATGTTTTACTTTTTCTTTACCTTTGACCTCTCCTAGATATATTAAATATCTCTTCCTTGACCTCTATGTTACAGGTGAAGGTTAAGCCAAAGCTACCTGACTCTGATAGTGATAAACTACCAGACATTCAGGCAGCTGAGTTGGCGTGGCGACGTCATTGCCTAATCTATCAGTCCATCATTGTCGACCTGTTTCAGGTAAGTTTGAAGCTGTTATCTATCGGAGTTGAAATACGATATAGAAAAATAACATAGAGGTGGTAAACTGACATGTTCACTGAAGATTGGCTCCCTTCAGAATCTTATGAAACAATTAATTTTTTTTATGAATTAAATGAGAAGGAGATTATATGTACGATAATTATTCAGTGTCATAGATCCAATCATCTGAATACATAATAAAGCTCCAATAAACATTGTAGAGTTATTGGTCCTTGTGAAAACAAATTATGATATACTTTCGTTATAATATTTAGGAAATACTTATATAGATTTCCAAATTTTCCCATTTAACCAGGGTATGTTGCGGTCGACCCTAATGTGCCTTACCTGTAGACACAGGTCCGTGACATTTGAGGTTTTTATGTACCTTTCTCTGCCAATTCCTTCTGGATCTCGCTGTAGTCTGCAGGTAAAATGGATAACCTTACACTAGAAGAATTTCGAAGTATTGACTTTAAGTAAAACCATTTTCCAAAGACGAAAAATTGCAATTTTATTTTTCCACATCAAAGATTTCAAAACTTAAGACGTCCAGATGTCAAAATGTTTAGGTAATAAAGATTCTTTTCTGGATAAGAAATTTGCACTACACATAAACAACAAAAACACACATGCAATAATTACAGACATGGTTTTGTGTTCTACAGGACTGCCTACAAGAGTTTGTGAAGGCAGAGAAAATGACCGGCAGTTCTCGTTGGAAGTGTCCAAATTGTCGTGTAGAGAGAGATGCAGAGAAAAAAATTGATATATGGAAACTTCCGCCGCTCCTGATAATAGCTCTAAACAGGTATAAGTTATAGATGTGAACAACTGTGACTTATAGATAAGAACAGCTGTGACATATAGATAAGAACAGGTGTGACATATAGATAAGAACAGGTGTGACATATAGATAAGAACAGGTGTGACATATAGATAAGAACAGGTGTGACATATAGATAGGAACAGGTGTGACATATAGATAAGAACAGGTGTGACATATAGATAAGAACAGGTGTGACATATAGATAAGAACAGGTGTGACATATAGATAAGAACAGGTGTGACATATAGATAAGAACAGGTGTGACATATAGATAAGAACAGGTGTGACATATAGATAAGAACAGGTGTGACATATAGATAAGAACAGGTGAGACATATAGATAAGAACAGGTGTGACATATAGATAAGAACAGGTGTGACATATAGATAAGAACAGGTGTGACATATAGATAAGAACAGGTGTGACATATAGATAAGAACAGGTGTGACATATAGATAAGAACAGGTGTGACATATAGATAAGAACAGGTGTGGCATATAGATAAGAACAGGTGTGGCATATAGATAAGAACAGGTGTGGCATATAGATAAGAACAGGTGTGACATATAGATAAGAACAGGTGTGACATATAGATAAGAACAGGTGTGACATATAGATAAGAACAGGTGTGACATATAGATAAGAACAGGTGTGACATATAGATATGAACAGGTGTGGCATATAGATAAGAACAGGTGTGACATATAGATAAGAACAGGTGTGACATATAGATAAGAACAGGTGTGACATATAGATAAGAACAGGTGTGACATATAGATAAGAACAGGTGTGACATATAGATAAGAACAGGTGACATATAGATAAGAACAGGTGACATATAGATAAGAACAGCTGTGACTTATAGATAAGAACAGGTGGGACATATAGATAAGAACAGGTGTGACATATAGATAAGAACAGGTGTGACATATAGATAAGAACAGGTGTGACTTATAGATAAGAACAGGTGTGACATATAGATAAGAACAGCTGTGACTTATAGATAAGAACAGGTGTGACATATAGATAAGAACAGGTGTGACATATAGATAAGAACAGGTGTGACATATAGATGACTTATAGATAAGAACAGGTGTGACATATAGATATGAACAGGTGTGGCATATAGATAAGAACAGGTGTGACATATAGATAAGAACAGGTGTGACATATAGATATGAACAGGTGTGACATATAGATATGAACAGGTGAGACATATAGATATGAACAGGTGAGACATATAGATAAGAACAGGTGAGACATATAGATATGAACAGGTGTGACATATAGATATGAACAGGTGTGACATATAGATAAGAACAGGTGTGGCATATAGATAAGAACAGGTGGGACATATAGATAAGAACAGGTGTGACATATAGATATGAACAGGTGTGACATATAGATAAGAACAGGTGTGGCATATAGATAAGAACAGGTGAAACATATAGATAAGAACAGGCATGTATTAAAGATGTAAACAGTGTTACATGTAGATGTGAACAGGTGTGACTTAAAGATATGAACAGGCATGTATTAAAGATGTGAACAGGTGTGATATATAGATATGAACGGGCATAACTTATAGATATGAACAGGTGAGACATATAGATATGAACAGGCATAACTTATAGATATGAACAGGTGAAACATATAGATATGAACAGGTGGGACATATAGATATGAACAGGTGAGACATATAGATATGAACAGGTGAGACATATAGATATGAACAGGTGAGACATATAGATATGAACAGGTGAGACATATAGATATGAACAGGTGGGACATATAGATATGAACAGGTGAGACATATAGATATGAACAGGTGTAACTTATAGATATGAACAGGTCTGACATATAGATATGAACAGGTGTAACTTATAGATATGAACAGGTGAGACATATAGATATGAACAGGTGAGACATATAGATATGAACAGGTGTAACTTATAGATATGAACAGGTGGGACATATAGATATGAACAGGTGAGACATATAGATATGAACAGGTGAGACATACAGATATGAACAGGAGTGACTTATTGTTGATATCGTGAGACTGGTATGAGAATTACCTGTATGTTTGTTGCGCGAGATTTTGTTTACAAAGTAAAACTTTGAGGTCTACGAAAATAAGATTTAAATGAGATAATCCTGCAATGTCTATCTTTGTTATCAGATTTGTGTGGGAGGGAATGTGGAGGCAGAAAATCAATTCCTTTGTTGATTTCCCAGTAAATGATCTGAGTCTGGACAAGTTCGTGAGAGGACCTAGTAACAACTCTCACTACCAACTGTATGGTGTATCGGTCAGTAGTCACAACCTTGTGATTAATAACACTTTGTGTAAATGTAATGTTAAAGTCATTTCAGAGATAAACAGTTAAATAACCTTGGTATATTCTTGTCATGCTAAACCATTCAGATAAGGATATCTCTTTTTGGAGGTTTTGAAATAACCAGTCACCTCTGTTACATCATGTAAATCAATTAATTGTTGTAGGAAATGTTTCTTCCAAATCTAATCTCCTACTTCAGCAATTTCACACGTCATTAGGAACCAAGGGAAGTAACTGGTGAACTATATATACGTTTTATACATATCATGTGTATTAACAAACTGTTTCAAAATATTACTCATATTATATCATATTTAATTTCAGAATCACTACGGAACAATGGACGGTGGTCATTGTAAGTTATCTTCAGGATATATCTTACCTAGAGTTATCTCCCTTACACAATTGTGCTTCTTCTTAGAGTTGTCTCCCATATTAATTGAAATTATTTGTTAGATGCCATAGTAAGTCTTTGTTTGACTTATCTGCAGTATCTGTAATATGAGAAATCTCTTTCAGAATTTATTCATTGAAACAATAATAATCAACTACCTTTTAGCTGCTCTGAATCTTCATGTTCAGTTATGTTTGAAAAGGAAAATTAATGGTTTCTGTTCTATGTAAGTAGTTATGGTGTTCACTTCTTAGTGAGGTATGGGCTTATTATAGGAAAAAAGTGTCACTTCATAAAGATGACTGAGCTTTTACAGGACCTAATGCAATCAACACATCACTTCTTACTCAAGGATGGGCTTATATCAGGACCCCAACAACCCTAACCTCTCTTCTAACTGAGGATGGGTTTATTACAGGACAAACCCAAACATCTATTCTCACAGAGGATGGGCTTATTACAGGACCCTAGGGAACCAAACCATCTCTTCTTACTGAGGATGGGCTTATTACAGGACCCTAGGGAACCAAAACATCTCTTCTTACTGAGGATGGGCTTATTACAGGACCCATGGGAACCAAAACATTAGCTGTTACAGAGGGGCAATCTTATCACAAGAATGTGATTTAGTATTAGGTTTAAATATTTCCAGCAATAGCTTTGGAGGGACATACTACACTGTTAGATAGATTTGTTCTTCTGGCCTTTTTAGAAAGTTTTGAATGTTTCTCACACAGATACTGCATACTGTAAGAATGCTGTGTCCAAGAAATGGAACAAGTTTGATGACCATGAGGTGTTTGAGATGTCCAGTTCAGAGGTCAAGGTAAACAGAGTCCTGTTTTAAAAAGGAGAGATTTTGTTCATATTTCTAGCACAGTATTAAGTTATATATCTCATAGTAAGTTGGTTGATATTTAAGGGTCAAAGTTCACATTTCACAATACATATGTCTGTGCCAATATATATAAATAATGATACTTGTATACATGGGAGCAGGGGTTTTCATGTTTTACAGACATTTTCTAGATATTTTTGTTTTTGTTTCAGACTTCAGCTGGTTTTGTATTATTCTATACAACAGTGAACTTCACAGCTCCAACGTATCGTCAACCATTCTGACAGAACTACGGATGTCATTGATGATTTATTTTTCTAACAAGACGGGTGAAATTCTACATCAGAACATCAAAAGACCAGGATGACCTGCTCAGAAAAATATTTTTAAAGATAGGGAAACTGGATGTCCTTCTGACAAAAATCTTGGATGTCTTACACAAAATATCAAAACAATTTCATTGAGATGATTTTCAGATTAACTTGGTTCTGTTGTATAAAGTTGAGAGAGACTACTGAGGTTGTATTGTATATATAGGTAGCTGTAAATCTGGTGTCTAGATTTACGATTTTCTTTATCGGAAAATTAGCTGTACATTGTTTATGTCTGAAAAAATCCACTATAAATAGTCGTAATGTGGTGTCCAGATTTACGATTTTCTTTATCGGAAAATTAGCTGTACACTTTGTAAAATTGAAACATGTCCTCTTTATATAGCTGGAATCTACTTTGATTTGAGGAACATTTCATCTCAGTTATAAAGAGGTTTGAGTGGGCTTATTACAGAAGGCTTAATGACCTGATCTAGTAATATGGTATTATTGGGTATGTGCATTATATAATTAAACATATAGCACTTTTCATCGGTACATTTTAAGAGCCTATAAATCTGTTCTTGTTGTCTTTCAACACGGAGAACTTTTCAATGCTGTATATATCAACATTGTTAACAGGAATCATCTTAGTAAATCATTATAAACATTTCAACATTAAGATTTCTTTGTTCATTTGGGAAAACTAATTTGTAGTCCGAACAGTCCTGTTACTGTGAACCTGATATATTCCTTTTCGGAGGTTACGTTGATTCTGAAGTGTTATCTATTTCGCCTGTAATAATTATGGAACTTTCTCCTGTATTGGTTGACCATCACCCCCAAAAAAATTGATTTACCATTAATAATTTGGAACCTACCTCTTTTATTGGTCTACCCATTTCCCACCAACAGTGCTCTACCTGTAATAATTTGGGAACATTTTTTTATATTGATTCACCTGTAATAATATAGAACTATTCTCTTATGTTGGTCTACCTGTAATCAATATTCACCATAAATTACACGGAGAGGAGAAAAATTGTGTGATAAGGACATTCAGTAGACCTGCAATTCACAAAAATGAGTTTTGACAGAGTTTGAAGGAACATATCAATTTTACATATGATTTGACCTTTAGACTTATGATTTGAATTCCGAAATCACCCAAAAGTCAAAGATCAAAACAAATTTTAAATCATTGCTGTTAAGTTCTGGAGATGGATGCTTGTTGATAATAAGTGTAAATAAGTTCATGTACCTTGGTAATAATTTTGTTTGATCTACAATGTACATTCATATAAATAAAATTGTGATAAGTTTGTATTCAGAATTAAAATTAGATGGTGATTGTGTTATACATGTAATTAATCCAGACACTTTGTTTATCTTTATAACTGTCAATAGATTATAAATGTATTACTGTTACCATGGCAACAATTATATTTACAGAAATTGAAAAATAATAGAAATATGATTTAAGACAAGGTAGTATGACAGGTGAAGTCTTGTTTGGTAAGTTTCATACCTTGTATGTAACATATTCAGTCTATAAAATTATCATCAAATAATTTGCCTATAATTTCCTGAACTTAATCTAGTCAGAAAATAAATGTTTTACTAACTTAAGCTGGCTTTTTAACATAAATTGTATTCTGTGTGTATCTCATATTTCTGGTTGTAATCATCATGAATCATATCCATTTTTGATATATATTTTTTTTTTATGAAGTAATTTCCAGCTTTTTATTATCTCTAAGTGCTACTTGGTGGTAATTACTAGTGCTGATCTCATAGAATTATAAATCTGTGTCACAATACAGCTCCAAGTGAAATCATCTCATTATAGATTCTTGTGTTAGACAGTTAGTGTAAAAATATACAATTTATTTCTTCTGTATATATGTACAGCTTGTGAGATGAAAAGGTAAGATTTTGGTATCTTATTTGGTTTCTAACTTGTAAGAATTAAGGGTATATGTTACTTTATACTTCATGTGATTTGTGAAGAGTCATATTATACCTAATTCATCAATCATTTTGTAAAGAGAAAAAGATATATGTTGTCTAATACATCAATTAATTTGTACAGATTTAAGGATATATGCTACTGGAATCGTCATTTGATTTTTAGAGTAATGAAGGGCATGTGATTTGTAAAGAGGATATATGCTACCTTGTACATCATGTGATTTGTAAAGAGTTAAGGATATATGCAACCTTATACGTCATGTGATTTGTAAAGAGTTAAGGATATATGCTACCTTGTACATCATGCAATTTGTAAAGAGTTAAGGATATATGCTACCTTATACGTCATGTGATTTGTAAAGAGTTAAGGATATATGCTACCTTGTACATCATGTGATTTGTAAAGAGTTAAGGATATATGCTATATATGCGATTTGTACCAGGATATATGCTACCTTGTACATCATGCGATTTGTAGAGTTAAGGATATATGCTACCTTGTACATCATGAATTTATAAGGAGTTAAGGATATATGCTACCTTATACATCATGCGATTTGTAAAGAGTTGAGAAGGTTTGCTACTATTCACAATATGTGATTTGTACAAATCTTTAGTAATATATTACCCAATGTACATGCGATTCATCATTATTTGTGAATTCTGAATGCACTGCACATGTTCAAGTGTACATTTTGCTTAAAAAGTCTATAAACTAGCACCAGATTTAGATTTGTGTAGACAGTATTTAGTGATATCATTGTGTGTGTGTGTGTAATGACCAACTCTTTGGTGCTTCATTTGCAAACACATCTTTTATTCTCAACATTTTTACAGGTTGCATAAGTTGGAACTCTTGAGAAAGGAGGTAAATTAATTATATTAAGGTAGTATGCATCTTTCTTATAACTTTGCTGAATTATCTTATCAAACATTAAATACACAGCTAAAGTGTTGTTTTTTGCAATGTTGTAAGTGTATATTTAAAAACTTTGTACGTGATTTGCTAAAAGTGAGGCCATTGTGATATTTAGATAAATAATAAAACGTAACATAACTGTTTTATTTATTCACAAAACTTTGTACATGATTTGCTAAAAGTGAGGCCATTGTGATATTCAGATAAATAATAAAACGTAACATAACTGTGTTGTATTTATTCTTCCTCCATATTAAGTGTTAACTAATCATGAATGCTTTAGTACAGTAACACCTGATGTCAGTTATACTCCAGCGTTGATAAACTTTATCGTTTTGAATAAAAAAAAACTCCCAATGAAGTGGGAGAGAATCAACATCCTGGTTGTCTTTGATCGTTGATGGATCTTGAAGGAATCAACCACAAAATCCATCTTCTGTGTCCTTTGTGTTTGCTTTCGCCTTCCTTGATGGGCTCTATTGAATACTGCTGGGTATCAGTCTTTGATTCCTTCATGGTCTGCCTAACTAGCCAAAACATGTACATACCAGACATATTTACCGTACCAACTGTTAGAACATGTCAACCTGTGAAAAAAAAAAAAATTTAACCAATCACCAAATGAATCCAGCTGTTGTGTTCCGACAGTTACCTCTACCACCAACACCATCAATGTTGGACGAGAATGTGGCTAATTATAGAGCATGCAGAATTTATATGTATATTTATTTTTATGTATACAGTTGTTCTAACGATGGCTAGCCTAGCAAGCCAAAACATGTACAAACCAATAATAAAACCACATACCAGGTCATCCAGATGTTGATGCACCATCTTCTATGTCAGTGTTTACCATTTTAAGACAAAAGTTATGCTTATTTATATATATATATCAGTCACTCTTGTGTGCTCAGATAGAACTATTCCCTTGTTAGTTCATGGTGACGTCCATATCACTTCTCCATAAACTGCCCATACCTCACAAAACCTTGTTCTTGTTTGTCAGATTCATTTCAGCAAATTTCATCAACAATAACAGGAAACACATGTAAATAATCTCACCAAAACGTGGGATAAGCAAGGTGACATTAATAGATAGGCAAATTGTATCATATAATATTTTTAAAATATTTCATTAGCCATGTTAGTTTTAAACGAACATGGCTAATGAAAAGTAAGGGGAAACATCTCACACACCTTGTATACACACAAAAGTACATCAGCTTAGACATGTATATGGAATGGGATTTGAACCCCAACGGTATCTAACAGGACAGTCTACCACTCAGCTAAAGGGAAATTCTTACTAGCTTTGGCTAGTAACATGTGATCTCAACTTCTACACTTATACACTGTATAACATCAGCAGACTTAACCAAAAATATAGAATTCTTCTGCATGGCAGCATCTTTCAAGGAGATTGTTGTTTAGGAGCAAGCCCTTAAAATAAACTATGTTTGAGGAACTTCAGATGGTCACTCGCTTGATATATGGGCAATTTAACCCATCTCGAAATCTGCTGTTTTGATTGAGGAAAGAGATTGATGTAGAAGGTAATGTCATGGCACTGATAAATAATGATAACAATGGATCAAAATGGTATGTAACAACACTTGTTTTGATGTACATATAATCACATAAAAGGATGACACCACAACAAAAATGTGTACACATTAATAATATATACAAACTGTCCAAAAACAAAATTGTATAATCAAGACAAAAACATATGAGAACAGTGAAACATCCAACACAGGGACATCTGTCATTAAGAAACAATGGTAAAGCAGTATTCATTTCAAAGGCTGGTATGGGCATTGAGGGGAAGTATCAACGTTGCAATGTATCTCTTTAAAAAAAACCTTGTGTACAGGCCCACTGCCACCGACAGATTCTGCCATTAAGTCTCATGCCACACCTCCTCGAGGTGACCTTTCTAATACTTATAAGTAGCCGAGTGGCAATGGCAAAAGGCAAGTCCCCAGCGCCTTTCAATATCTGGAGTTCATGGCTAAGGAAAGGACACCCCAACAGTAAACCACCGACCCTCCTGCTCTAGGGGGGATGCAACTCCATCACCTTAAACTTTGGAAAAGCTACAGAAACCTAAACCAGAGCCAGATAATCAAGTGCTGGAAGAAGTATGGTTTTGTCATCCATAAAGACGGATGTCATTCAAACCCCCCTTCCAGACGGGAAAGTTAGCCAAGTTGGGAAAGAGATGGGCGGCTACAGTATTGTGCTGTATGGTAACCTGGAGGCGTAGGTCGAGAAGGAAATGAAGGAAGCTGGATGGACATTGGGGCAAGTTATACGATGATCGCAGGATAAACTGTACTGGAAGTTTGTGGTGATTGTCTAAGGTGTGACACCGCACGAAGAGGATTAAGGCAGACATAACTTAACATTGCAGAAATTCCCTTTTGTGTTGACTGCAATCGACTGGAGCAATCTACATTACAGAACAAACACCAAGGTAGAGTCTTTCAAACTTGCCTTGGTGAGGCACCACGACTAGAATATTCTCCCTTCGTCATATACAAAGCATGTACAAATTTCATCGCTGTCAACTAACATTTTTTCTTTGTGTTGTTAGCCAAATTTCGTTTGGGGGTGCATTTTGGTCATTTTAATCAATGTTTGTAGGAAAAATGTGTTACTGTACATCACAGGAATGCATCTACTAGCTTACAATCTCGGCCTTTTTGGACAAAGCGCAAGTGGTGACCTTTCAGATGACCCGGAAGCATAGTGTGTTTACATGTTTTCCCGCAGTGGTTTTGAAATGTAACGTGCGTTTTGATTGGTCAATAAAATGACGTACGGGAGTTCCAGAAATTGTGTTGGTGTTTGCTGAATGGAGTTCCGAAGAGAGAATCCCAAATAAAATCCTTGAAAATCAAGATCATCTGTCAGCAGATTGTTGGTAAGTGATGATTTTTATGATATATTATCAGTACTTTTCAAGATTCATCTATGATTTCTGAGTATGAAATTCCAAACATCGTATTATTTGTTTTCAAGTGGAGGGAAAACCCGATACATATCTAACAGCCTTGGCCCAAAGTTGTCTTATTTTAGCAATAATATTTTTGTCTGTAGATATCAAACCGTGGTTTCACATACTCCCTCTCTGCTCGTACGAAGGCGTATGTTGTTAAAGTCAGACACTGCCAGCTTTCAATTGACATTCTGTGGATAGATTTCCGGAAAAGAGATGAAAACTATCGAACATTTTAGGGTTGAAATAATGGACTCGTCCACTCAGCTGTCTGCTTGCGGTTTACAGTAGCCAGAGATTTTTCTTCGCATTTCGTGAAATTAGAAATAACCTAGCTAGATATTGTTGTTTTCTTAAACTATAAACATTACTTAATAAAATGGGGACAAGAATTTGACATCCGTGTCCCTTAATTATCGTGCAAGCGCAAATAAAAATGTCTTTTTTGACACCTTACACTGTTGTGACCCTCGCGTCGAGCTGGCGCTTAGAAGAATCGACTTCGCGCAAAAAATACTCTATTAAATGTAGAAGATGGTGTGTAAGGTAATGTTCAATGATACAAATAAATAGCCTAAGTAGATAAGGTGTTACTTGAACGATGGCTTAGTCGAAAAATACCATAATTTCTGTATTAGCGGGAAGGTAGACATTTTTGTATATCGAGCAGAGGAAGATTCCATTAGGCGAAGTTGTGTAGGTAAACAGGTTGTTCCTGGGAAGCTTGTTTACGGTAAACTATGAGTCACGTTAGCAAATGCAGCCAATGGACCATCGTTATGTTCTGTTTAAATGAATTAATATTTATTGTTGCAAAGAATCAAATAGTATATGCTTTTTCACCGTATATAGAAACACCACTTAAAATGTGGACAATCTAAATCATACTGAGTCGTACTTAAATTTATGGAAGTTTTCAATTTGCATGCAGATTTGTTTGTTCTGCTTATGAAATTATGACACGACAGTTTAAAATTGAAGTTGAAATAGATTCATGAATGACTACTGAAATCCATGATTGTTCAATTTCCTCGGGATCACTTCAACAGGTGGACAAAATTTCAAGCATGCAAATACATTTTCTTTAACTTTTCCGAATGCCAAGTCATTGTTCACAGTTTTGATTTTAAAAAATTCTGTATGTTTCAAGGAATAGATAAACAAAACATGAAACACTATAAAATAGACATATCTATCTTGCACTATGAAATCATTTATTTTGTGATGAAATGAATTGAAGTTAAATTCTTGACAATGGACTTGAGTTTTTAAAGGCTTATACCGGCAAGCTGCAAGTTTTAGGATGGTCTATAACCTTTTAAACCCCCTTTTTAGTGAATTTTCAAGATAGATAATATTGTCTGCACCAAATGTCTTTCTTCATATCAGAGAAAGAAAAAATGCATAAATACACTGGTTAATTCCAAAAGTAAACCAACTAAATATAGTACATGTATCATTTTTATAACAAAACTAGGGACATCAAGTGTATGATTAGGACCATTTGCAAAACAAACTATCTGAATATTTTATGTCTTTATGTTACAAATGTTACAGATGCTACAACAGTTATGTAACAGAGGTCATTATTTATTTCAATGCCTCACTAGGAATCGAACCCGGGACCACTGACTTACTAGTCTGATGCTCAACCAATCAAGCTAAAGAGAAGTTCTCTCTAGCCGAGTGGTATATTGCAGCTAGTATTTTACCAGGGTTACATACTCCCCCTCCAGGAAATAACTCATCCTCGAGTTTCCAGGGTTACAGCGATGCTGGTGGGGCATGGCTAAGTGTTATTCCCGGGTCCCTACATGGGTGCCAATGTAACATAGGTCATTTTTCATCTCGATGCCTCCGCTAGGAATCAAACTCGGGACCCCTGGCTTCATAGTCTGATGCTCAACCAATCAAGCTAAAGAGAAGTTCTCCCTAGCTGAGTGGTATATTGCGGCTAGTATTTTTACCAGGGTTACATACTCCCCCTCCAGGAAATAACTCATCTTCAAGTTTCCAGGGTTACAGCGATGCTGGTGGGGCATGGCTGAGTACTATTCCCAGGTCCCTACACGGGCGCCAAATGTCACACCATCAACTAGGATTCGTTGTGTGTTAAAAAAAATTATTGGTACCCCTGGTTTAGGAATGAAACCACCTCACATCACCGACTGTCAGGTCGTGTCAGTACTTTACATCCATAGCTCTATGTGGCGCCTGGACTACCAAGGACATCCAGAGCGACGTGGCTAATCTGTGATTGTGTCCAGCACCCAAGGGTATCCCTAGTTTTATTACCCTACATACTCACTCTCGCACGACTTCCTCACCTGGACACATACACATCTCAAGACAACACCATATAAGGACAGACACTGACAATACCTAACAGATAACACACCAAATAAGGACATACACGTAAATGCAGACAGTAATGAATACAAATTAAACAGGACGTTTACAGACACTTACTTCTATTTACCCTGTGACAGTTAACTGATGAATTCTTTGTTCAGGTTTGTCTAATTCAGAGGATGGTTCACTTTTGATAAAAAATACATTGCCTTGCATTTAATCCTCAGTTCAAAAAATTATTCACTGTCACAAATACAACAAACCCAATTTTCATGACCATTGCAATTTTTTGAGCAACTTAAAATGAATGTAAACAATTTTGTAAATTATTTCATTTAAGATTTGGTAATAAACTGAGTATATTTGAGTATTAAAAACTCGGAAATCATGACAAACCAGTGCTTTTTAAGTGTTAATATGTGACATGAAAAAAATGTAAATTTTTACATGCTTTTGCCACTGCTGCCAGCCCCAGTCTTTAATAAGTATTGTTAAAAAAGATCACTTTTCTACCAGTGTCAGAAAAATATTGAAACATTGTAAGGTTTGTTGTTGTTTCATTAGTGTAAAACACTAAGTTAGGTGTCCGCTGATAGTTATATACTGTATAAACCTACTCTTTGGGGTCTGAAAATGGTGAAAAAGGCTTCTACTTGCATAATGTTCAAAATTCAGTCAAGATCATTCTCCAGGAGCCAAGAAATCAATCTCTTATTGTTCAACTAAAACGTTTGACCAAAGATATAAAGTCCAAAACTTGAAATTATTCTCTTCAAAATACAGCCTATTGTTTTTGCATCTTCTTGTTGGTTTTCTTTGACATCAGACATGTCTTGCTGTCATTTTCGTATGTACTCTGACAAAGCTTGTCTTCACACTTCACACTGGCCTTAATCAACAGTGTTTAGTGTTGAAATCACAGGTACATGTAATCATCTACCTGTTTATGACCAAACAAGGCAAATACGATCGCCACAAGTCAACATTTTTGAACGTTTTGCTGTCACATCAAGAGCACACCAGCTGACATAAATTGAAGCCCCAACTCTGTATATGTAAGCAATCGGTATACAGAGCACAGAATGGAATCAAACAAAATGTACTGTAGACATGCCTATGTGTATTGTCATTAGAAGAATAGCGTTTCATTACACATTTAAGTAAGGTAACCACACAAAGACTATTCCTTTTTATTATCAGATTTATGCTTCAAAAGCATCAATAAGATCAATATTGATGTTGATTTAAACCTATGGTCCGATGATATGTTTCAATGTACACTCCGCATTCTAATATGTCATGGCTAACTTCCACTACTACACTGAAAGCTGACATGTGCTCATGGCTTCTGTTTTGTCATGCTATCCAACATGAAAGAAAATAAAATGAAACCATTCAATTTCTTATCAGTTGAACATGTATGTGTTTCAATAGAAAATCAAACTGTAATTGACATTTTTCAGCGTCCTAAACAGGCCACTGTCTTTGGCAATCATTAGGTTCTCTCTTGCTAGTTGCTATCACGGCTTCAAACACGTTCTCCAGATTGTCTATGTTATTGACTTGATTTATACAGTGATTATCCATTATTTTTGTTCATCAATGAATTCTCAAATCATTTTTGTGTCAGTTTTGAATACCAGATAATCCTGACAAACAATGATGGCAGTTTCACAAAATCTTTTCTATGGAAAAAAAACCCCTTGAAATCTTACAGCTATGTATTGCGCACACCCCCAACCTTGGACATTTATTTTCTTCCAAAAGTGCACATTACATGAGGTTTTACAATAGCTGTATACACTACTATCCCTGTAATTTCCAAAAGCGCACCACATCTGTGAAATTTTGTCTCATGTTAATATGCAACAGCAGGCAGTAAAGAATGACATCCCTTCAATGGTTTCCCATCGCATGGACATATGGAGTATTCAGGATCACAAGAATAAACCCATTTCTCTTCATTTGACATTACCTACCTAAAGGAAATGTTAAAAAAAAACATTCCATTTGTAAGTTACTTAAACATTTTACTGTATGGCTGATGTGAAAGTACATCACACAAGATCTGTTTTTTTAACATTCTCATAAGATAACACAAATCTGCATAGCTCTCCTTTCACTGTATTGAAGTAATGGTGATTAAAGTGATATTTTACAGATTGTGTCTCTGCAGTATATAGTTTGACATCTCAGTACACTATGATGGTGATATTTTACAGATTGTGTCTTTGCAGTATATAGTTTTGACATCTCAGTACACTATGATGGTGATATTTTACAGATTGTGTCTCTGCAGTATATAGTTTGACATCTCAGTACACTATAATGGTGATATTTTACAGATTGTGTCTCTGCAGTATATAGTTTGACATCTCAGTACACTATGATGGTGATATTTTACAGATTGTGTCTTTGCAGTATATAGTTTTGACATCTCAGTACACTATGATGGTGATATTTTACAGATTGTGTCTCTGCAGTATATAGTTTGACATCTCAGTACACTATGATGGTGATATTTTACAGATTGTGTCTCTGCAGTATATAGTTTTGACATCTCAGTACACTATGATGGTGATATTTTACAGATTGTGTGTCTGCAGTATATAGTTTTGACATCTCAGTACACTATGATGGTGATATTTTACAGATTGTGTCTCTGCAGTATATAGTTTTGACATCTCAGTACACTATGATGGTGATATTTTACAGATTGTGTCTCTGCAGTATATAGTTTTGACATCTCAGTACACTATGATGGTGGTATTTTACAGATTGTGTCTCTGCAGTATATAGTTTTGACATCTCAGTACACTATGATGGTGATATTTTACAGATTGTGTCTCCGCAGTATATAGTTTGACATCTCAGTACACTATGATGGTGATATTTTACAGATTGTGTCTCTGCAGTATATAGTTTTGACATCTCAGTACACTATGATGGTGATATTTTACAGATTGTGTATCCTCTGTATAGTGTGACACCTCTGCCTAGCCCACCTGTTTCTGGTGGTGTAAACTACTGCTGACCGTTCAGAGTGGCAATGATGCAGCGCCGCTTGGACGAGCAGGTAAGTGATTTTAAGTGTTTACATCATCAGGGTTTTTGTCAACATTTTACTTCAACTTCAGAAAATAACATCAGTGATATGATTTCAAATGTACATTACATTTGTATTTTAAACTTTTAACACAAATTACTCTTTTAGGGACAAGGACTTTTGAAATTTTTATGCTACTAACTGCTGATTATGAACATTTCAGTCTAATTTTGAGAAAGTGACAATTTCCAAACTTTGGATAACCCTGTTCTACTTCTACTACTATTACTACTACCTCTACTACTACAAGAGCAGGGTTTTCCATAATTTTGGTAGTAGTAGGCTGTGTAGTGAAAGTAGGAGGCTGACCTGCCATGTACGTGTAGTCGTGTATGTAACATGATCAAAGTAGCCGGTCCAATTGGCCGGCAACTGGCTCTTATGGAAAACCCTGCAAGAGGCCCCTATACTTGCCTGATCCCTGATCATACATATTATTTGAACTAAGATTAATTGAGGAATTGAGTGAGGCACTTCAAGAGATTTTAGGTAAATACAATTGTAAAAGCCAGGTCACTGCACAGAAATGGAATGAAAATGTTTCAGTTTAGACACACCCCCCCCCCATAACCCATAACTCCATAACCCTGAATTCTCACATGACTTTTATAACTTCTGAAAAGGGTAGGCAGCATACATGTGAAATATGTTCGAACTCTTTGTGCAAGATTCCATTTTACAATTTAAATAAGTACCACCTGCGAAATTGTCCAAGTTATCAGTAGATGTTTCAAATTGAGATGATTTTACGTTCCAGCAGCCTCGCCGAGTAAACCCAAGTGAGCCCCAGTACCCACGTGTGTTGGCCCCCTCTGCCCAGAGGTTTGGAGATGTTGGAGGGAGTGGGCCAGGAGCCACTGGAGGAGCAGAGAATATGTCTACAGCATTACAATACCCCATACAGAACTTCCCGTGAGTATACACACAAATCTACAGACAAGTTTTCTCTGTTCAGATGTTGTGGGAGACAGGAATGAAAAAAAAAAATGTTAAAGCTGTTGTTCAGGACTTGTTCTGATACTCAAGACTGGTTAACCTAGGCATCAGGCGAGTGAATTTTTAGACATCTGTGCCAGTGATGATCAAATCTTGTCAAAGATTGAGGAACAGTAACAACCAATATGGTGATAATTAAACCTTAAGATAAAGCTGCAAATTTCTTAGAATTACAAGTTATTGTATACTCCGTAATCTTGTAGTCACAGATTACAGTCGAGGAACAGACTGTTTTCCCAGCCAAAAAGAATGTTATTTTCCCAGAATGGAAACAAACATTCAAGGATATCTTTACAGTTTTTCAGAAAATCTTGTTTTATTTTCACAATTCATGAACAGCTGTGACATTCAAAAGAAAGTATTTGGTCATATTAAATAGTTTGTCAATATCTTACTCCAAAATTTGTCTGATCTTATCTCAACATAACCTGCTAAATTGCCAGCCTTAAATCTTAATAATGTATGAATATTTGTGCATAATTCTAAAGGTTCTGTAAATAGTACAAGATATTGATTTTCATGTGGTAACTGCCCTAATTTGTAAATATGAGTTTTGGACCTGTATTGATTACAAGTGTTGAACAAAATATTGTTTTAGGGCTGCTAAATTCTGATTGGTTTCTTGGTTTCTTTTCATCAAATGTCTTTACTGATGTTGACAGGAACAGTACAGATACTACAGTGCGGTGTATAGATAGTTATTAAAATGATAGTGTTGATGTTGCCTGTTGAAAGTATGTGATATACATTAACCGTAGTAAGATTACTGTAAATCGCCTGTTAAAATCTTTGTACATTTTGACTCCAGTGTAAATCAAGCAGCTTTGCCACATTCATCTCCGATGCACCATGCTCCTCACCACAATGTACAGCCACAGACACCACAGCAGGCTCATCCAGCGGCTCCGGTCCATCCGGCACCCTCACAGGTAACACTTGTGTTTCTGAGCTGTGTCATTATGACAGTTCAGTTAAATTCCTGATATATCTTATCTGGATACCGTCTTTAGTGTCTTTGGGATAACTGATAGTTTACACATCTTTGTACCAACCACAGATCAAATGTCCCAAGCTGCATGTATTGTTGCTTCACCTGCCCAAGTGTAGTGGTTTCTGTTTTGTGTTTTTTTGTGCTCTCCTTTGTCATGCTTACCTATGTGAGTGGGGTGTTATATTCTTTAATACAATAACTACATACTGTAGACAGTTATGGAGGAAAACAATTATGTTTTAGCTGAAAACTTCATGGAACAAACTTTTCTAAAATATCCTGGAAAATCACTATACATATTTGTGCTATATTTTTGACTGGCTTTTCCCTGTAGGCGGACAGACACCACGCCATCGTTGCCTCAGATATGAAGCTGGACTTGGTAAGTTACTCCTGATAAGAGCTAGATATCGCGCAGTATCTGCAATTCTGTTGTCTTCTTCAGATCAATGCCTTTAAACATGGTGGTGTTTTCCAGGGTATTTTAGAGAATTTTCCCAAAGCCTAATTTGGGAGAAAACTTTATGAATCATAATCACATCAGAGAAATTTGATTCGATAAAGGTTGTCGATTTAACTATTTTCAGTGATCAAATCAACTGGAAAAAAACATATTTTGGTGGGGGCAAGGTACCCTTACAAGAGTTTTGTTTGAAATAGATCCTTTTATTTTGGTAAGCCACAAAAATGTGATCCAGCCTATATAGTATTTGAACTGTAAACATAATCATTTAACAATAATCTTGCTCATTTTCTTTTCCACCTTAAGTTATTTGACTAAAATATGATGGTGCTAATTACAGTTTCTATATGAAATTTATATAGCAATTATTGGGGATGTGCAAATTCATCATCCTGCTTATTTGCCAAAAAGTGATTATGCACTAAAATTTGATGACAGAAGATCATATACATTTTCAAATCAATCCAAATTTTGTCTGAAGCATTGTTTTTTCATCGATTTTGTATAAGCAGTGGGTCCAACCCTCTTGGGGCAAATATGCGGGGCAAGATGGGGAAAATGAGGAGATGCTTTAAAATCCTAACTTTGGATTTGTTTGGATCAGGTTTAGTCTAAGACATTCTTCGGTATTTTGGTATCACTAGGAAATATGGGTAAACTTTTAAAATCTTCAGTATGAATAATGTAACAGTCTGAACCAAACCATGTAGGGATGCAGGCCTTATGGACCTCTTGATGGAGAAGAAAAGTGATAGAAAAAATCATATAAAATTTGCATCTGAACACAAGATTTCTGTTCTCACAAGGCGGCTGTGAGTCAGGGACAACAGCAGCAGCAGCAGTTTCAACGTCTGAAGGTGGAGGATGCCTTGTCTTACCTTGATCAGGTCAAACTTCAGTTTGGTAACCAGCCCCAGGTCTACAACGACTTCCTGGATATAATGAAGGAATTTAAGTCCCAAACGTAAGTTATCATTATTAAAATCTCATTGTTTGTCAAGTTAATGGCACCATTAAAAACTAATCAAGTTTATGGCACAGCAGGATCTATTGGTAGTAGTTTGTTGTCATCTGACTAAACAACAAAGAGGTGCCCATCACATGCCTCTATTTTAGAGCAATGAAGGTAAAGAGTCTTGTCATTGAGCACAGCTATGTCAACACAGTACAGTCGATGATCTCATCCTCATGAAAAACAAGAATAGCTAAAAGTAGTGTGTGCCAAACCACACACCTCAGATCTTCACCCGAGGTCAACAGTTGAAACTGTGACCTATTTGGTGGCCTGTACACAATTTGCCTGTCTGTATTTAGATTGGTGAAAGATGTGCAGGCAAAGAAAGAAAGCTGTCTCACCGGATAAGCTGTATCGTATCTTGTACAGCTGTCATACTGGGGACATGTACACTGTTATTGAACTCAAATAATCCACACAAAATAGAAATGTTGTCATGTATTACACTTCAAGGCGTCATTACATGTAACGTGTAAATGGATTTTTAAACACCATCATTTTCCTGTTATTGACTTTCACAATAGTTTTAGCTGCTTTAAATCACACATATCAATGTTGATGTTTGGGCCACAAACTTTGAATGTAATATTTGGACCACAAACTTTTATTGCAATATTTGGACCACAAACTTACATTCCATTGTTAGGACCACAAACTTATATTGCAATTTTTGGTCCACAAACTTTTATTGCAATATTGCGGCCACAAACTTTTATTGCAATATTTGGACCACAAACTTTGAATGCAATATTTGGACCACATACTTTAATTGCAATATTTGGACCACAAACATCTATTGCAATATTTGGACCACAAACTTCTATTGCATTGTTTGGACCACAAACTTCTATTGCAATATTTGGACCACAAACTTCTATTGCAATATTTGGACCACAAACTAATATTGTAGTGTTTGGACCACAAACTTATATTGCAATGTTTGAACCACAAACTTTTATTGTAGTGTTTAGACCTGAGAAACAAGAATTGCTAAAAGTAGAGTGTGCCAAACCACACACCTCAGATCTTCACCGGAGGTCAACAATTGAAACTGTGACCTATTTGGTGGCCTGTACACAATTCGCCTGTCTGTATTTAGATTGGTGAAAGATGTGCAGGCAAAGAAAGAAAGCTGTCTCACCGGATAAGCTGTATCGTATCTTGTACAGCTGTCATACTGGGGACATGTACACTGTTATTGAACTCAAGTAATCCACACAAAATAGAAATGTTGTCATGTATTACACTTCAAGGCGTCATTACATGTAACGTGTGAATGGATTTTTAAACACCATCATTTTCCTGTTATTGACGTTCACACTAGTTTTAGCTGCTTTAAATCACACATATCAATGTTGATGTTTGGGCCAAAAACTTTTATTGCAATTTTTGGACCACAAACTTTGAATGCAATATTTGGACCACATACTTTAATTGCAATATTTGGACCACAAACATCTATTGCAATATTTGGACCACAAACTTCTATTGCATTGTTTGGACCACAAACTTCTATTGCAATATTTGGACCACAAACTAATATTGTAGTGTTTGGACCACAAACTTATATTGCAATATTTGAACCACACACTTTTATTGCAATGTTTGAACCACAAACTTCTATTGCAATATTTGGACCACAAACTTCTATTGCATTGTTTGGACCACAAACTTCTATTGCAATATTTGGACCACAAACTTCTATTGCAATGTTTGGACCACAAACTTCTATTGCAATATTTGGACCACAAACTTCTATTGCAATGTTTGGACGCCAAACTTCTATTGTAGTGTTTAGACCTGAGAAACAAGAATTGCTAAAAGTAGTGTGTGCCAAACCACACACCTCAGATCTTCACCGGAGGTCAACAATTGAAACTGTGACCTATTTGGTGGCCTGTACACAATTTGCCTGTCTGTATTTAGATTGGTGAAAGATGTGCAGGCAAAGAAAGAAAGCTGTCTCACCGGATAAGCTGTATCGTATCTTGTACAGCTGTCATACTGGGGACATGTACACTGTTATTGAACTCAAATAATCCACACAAAATAGAAATGTTGTCATGTATTACACTTCAAGGCGTCATTACATGTAACGTGTGAATGGATATTTAAACACCATCATTTTCCTGTTATTGACGTTCACACTAGTTTTAGCTGCTTTAAATCACAAGTATCACTGTTGATGTTTGGGCCACATACTTTGAATGTAATATTTGGACCACAAACTTTTATTGCAATGTTTGGACCACAAACTTCTATTGCAATATTTGGACCACAAACTTACATTCCATTGTTAGGACCACAAACTTATATTGCAATTTTTGGACCACAAACTTTTATTGCAATTTTTGGTCCACAAACTTTTATTGCAATATTGCAGCCACAAACTTTTATTGCAATATTGCGGCCACAAACTTTTATTGCAATTTTTGGTCCACAAACTTTTATTGCAATATTGCGGCCACAAACTTTTATTGCAATATTTGGACCACAAACTTACATTCCATTGTTAGGACCACAAACTTTTATTGCAATTTTTGGTCCACAAACTTTCTTTGCAATGTTTCACCCATGAACTGTTATTTCAAACTTTTGTCAACATTTGAAGCACATACATTTATTTTGACATTTTGACTTGTTTCAGAATTGACACACCAGGGGTGATCAACCGTGTGTCAAACCTATTCAAGGGACACCCAGACCTCATTGTGGGCTTCAATACATTCCTACCCCCAGGCTACAAGATAGAAGTCCAAGCCAATGAGATTAGTGTACATCAGCCAGGTCAGGCTACAGTGTTGATCCCTACATCAGCTCCCATCATACCACAGATCCCTGTGAGTACAACAAATAGGAGATTTTATGACAGATTACTTATTCATCAGAAAATATTTTGTTTATCATTAGTTGTTTAGTGGCGAGATGTTTTGTGGGAGGGAATTCAGTAGGTCTTTCATAATTTGATGATGCACAGATACTTTTTCTCTGTCTGTTAAAAAGGATCTAGCAATATCCTATAATGTGTTCTGGTGACCTTTCCACAATTTGTACTCGGCTCACAAGGCAAATGGTCAGACAATTTTACCTACAGCAGTTCATTTATTCCCAACATGTAGACCAATCTGAGTAAAGATTCTTATTATCATTCTGTTACCCTCCACATTGGTGTATGAAAAAGGATCATATCTGCATATCAATCAGATTGACAAGTATATATGCTTTAGTGTGTCAACATATTGTAGTAATATTACTTACAGCACAAATAGGATAATGCAATCTTATTGCCCACCTTTATTCACTTGCAATAATTCACAAACAGTAATTTGATTGGCTAATGCAAAAGGTCACCAAAACTTGACCCTTTATGGGATGGGGTCAGATCCTATACAGAGAGCAATAATTAGGATCTGGGATTAGGGTCTTTGAAGAATTTCTTCTTTTTTTTCTTTTTAATTTACTGTGTTCCTTCATCATTTACAGTGACATAAATTGAATTAGATTGATAGTTGCACTTGTTTATTCGAAATTTCCTTAAAATCAACTTTTTATTAAACAGTCATTGAAGAAATATAAGTTTTATGTAGGAACATGAAAATTCACCAAACGTCAGAAAGCCTGTTTTAACCGATGGTACATTCTGATTACAGAAGCCACCGCCACCTGCTCACATGCCCAGTACCCCAACACACAGTTCCTCATCATCGTCTCATCACACCTATCATCAGTCTCCCCACCGTAGTCAGGACCCGCCCACTGCCCCGCCCCCAGCCCAAATCAGTCAGCCCCCTCCACAACCTCCACCTCAACAGCAGCAGCAACAGCAGGCAGGTCAGCCTGTCGAGTTTAACCACGCGATTAACTATGTCAATAAGATTAAGGTAAGTCCGAACAGACTTAACACGTACAAATACTTCAGAGTGTGTAATAGAAAATATAGAAAGCTGTGTAAAATATAAATACAAATTGTTTTCTTGTGTACACTGCTAAAGTTACAGTTTAAGAACATCATCAGTTTTTGGAAAGAACAGCAAAGGAAAACCTCCTAAATGAGTGTGTATTGAATCTATAAGAAACAATCACTTACAGGTCCTAAGTGTTGTCACATTGGAAGAAATTTTCAGATGAGAAAAGTAATACCAATTTCATATTTTCAGAATCGTTTTCAAGGACAACCAGAAATCTACAAAGCATTCCTTGAGATACTTCACACTTACCAAAAGGAACAGAGAAACCTAAAGGAGGTTAGTAGTCCGGTCTGTTTTACTGATCAGGTTAACTTTCTGTAAATCTCAGAGACAGATTATAGGAACAATTTCAAAGATAGCAACCTCAGTTAAATACCCCTGTAATTGCACAATTTATTTTGAGTAACACCAATGGTTACTGGACAGCTGTCTTTCCATTCAAAGAAAATTACATGTTGGTGCAGAATCACATCTGATCAGCAAGCAGATCAAAACATGTTTTTCAAGTCTATTTCAATTTTATAGGGATTAGTGCCTACTGGTTACAAACCTCTGACTGAAGCAGAAGTGTATTCTCAAGTTGCCAAGCTTTTCCAAAACCAGGAAGACTTGTTGGCAGAATTCGGCCAGTTCCTGCCAGATGCTAATGGATCATCCTACCCTGGCTATGTAAGTTATGTAGGTGTCGTTGCCTTTCTCTGATCAATATGCTTATCATGCCCCACCACGTTATGAAAGGACCTATATGGTGTTGCTCGTGTCCATCCTGTCATCTCTTGAGAACCTGTCAAAAGATTCGGTTCATATTTTCCCAATAGTATCATAACATCAAGTTCTACATCTGATACTAAGTGCAGGGATAAAGGTTACATCTGACAACCTGCAAACTTCTTAGACAGTGGCGCTTCTTGCATTCCACAACAGTGAGAAGATACCATCCCTAATACTCCTTGATCCATCTGTGTTTTGTTTTACAGCTTAACATGCTACAGGGAGACTCAGCCCTGGGAGTGAGGAATGATCACTCCTCTACTGTGAAGAAACCAGGAATGGGAAACAAGAATCAGAACAAATCCAACAGCTCCCACCGTCGACCATCAAGTGGTCAACAGCCTCCAGCCAAGGTCAGAATTAAACTTTGTTAAGATATACAGTTAAAACTGTCTATAGAGACTTCCTAGGGGATCAGGTGGTCAGAATTAAGTATATCTTCAAGTTGTTCAGTAGAATTGAACAGTATCACTTTTTTTACAAAAGGCCAAGGCTACAGTAGACAGAAATATTGTTAGCAGAATGTAACATTAAACATCATCTCTTGTTGACAGAAAGCCAAGACTGGTACACTGAAGGATATTTCTCTAGCAGAGGCAGGCAGATACGGAACTCTGAATGAGTTTGCTTTCTTTGACAAGGTAAATGTACATCTGAGAAACTGTTATAAAATGTAAAAGATAATAATGAGAGATGTAAAGTTACAGTGATAATCCAGGAATGTTAAGGAGATTAAATACGGATGATTGTTTATCATGATTACACAAATCTTATAAAGGCACTCAAAAGGATGAAAATTAACATTGTTAGAATATATAATGATAGTTACATTGATCAAAGCATCATCTATCCATCATTAATTGTCAGATGATCAAGTTTGAATTTTACTTTTTTCACTGATGTAAACATTCTCCTGGTATCTTTTCAAGTCATGTAAATCTTTCTTTTTTTTTATGTTTGGCCCTTGTTTTTATCAACTTTTAGTATGTATTACAATTTTTTGAACTGATATGTATTTTCTGTCATTGTAATGAAAGATAGTATTCCCAATCAACCTTAATTGTGAAGTTTACCCTGACAGAAGTATGACTTTTACAATTCAAATATACCAATGTTAACATTACAGGTTCGCAGGGCCTTGAGGCATCAGGAGGTGTATGAAAACTTCCTGCGATGTTTAGTGCTATTTAATCAGGAGGTGATTTCTCGCTCCGAGCTTGTTCAGCTTGTACAAACCTTCCTGATGTAAGTACCTGCTAACTAATTATTATTTTGACATTAAATCTTTTTTTTTTTTTTTTTTCGAAATCCAACAAGTCAATATCCATTTCATTCTATTTTCAAACAGAAAATTTCCCGAGCTTTATAAGTGGTTTAAGGATTTCCTTGGCTACAAGGAATCTGGAGGTACAATCGAGGCTGTTCCCTCAGGAGCAACAGCAGAAAAAAGGATATCTGGGGATCTGGCAATGGAAATAGGTATGTTAATAACTGTCTATATGTAATGAAAGTATGCTGTTGATATGAACTTGGTCATTACCAAGGGATAATAGTGTGGTTTTCTCCTGTATGTTTAATCCTTACAACAGAAATCACTGCAGCTTGTCAAGTGTTTAGTCAGTGCCGAAATTTAACTTTGATGTTATATGATAAATGTGTGTTATGGTCTATAATTATAAAATAATTTACAAAGAAAAACTTGAGTAACCTTTTCATGCTACATGTAATCTTTCTGTTGTAGACTATGCTACATGTAAGAGGTATGGAGCCAGCTATAGAGCACTGCCAAAGTCCTATCTTCAGCCCAAATGTACTGGTCGAACGGCTCTCTGTCGGGAGGTATGTCATCTCTCTCATATTTTGTAGTTTTCTCAGAATCAACATAACATCAGTAAAAGTCTCAGTATCGTGATGCAGTCATAACCACAATATCTATTATGTTCTCAGAATGTAGTGTTATATTCTGTATGAGAATGTAGTGTTATATTCTGTATCAGAATGTAGTGTTATATTCTGTATCAGAATGTAGTATTATATTCTGTATCAGAATGCTCTTCTCCCTTTCCAATATTTTTAGGTTTTCTTATTAGTAAAATTTAGAAGTGTATTTAGATCAACTGAATATGTAACTTACAGTAAGTGTAGGGTGGTCAACAAATCACTTTATCTCGGGTTATTACAGCCTACTTACAGAAAGAATTGAATTGACTTCCAAATTTAGGTGTTAAATGATACATGGGTGTCATTTCCATCATTAAATGTTAAATGATACATGGGTGTCATTTCCATCATGGTCCGAGGACTCGACGTTTGTGACGTCACGGAAAACGCAGTATGAAGAGCACATTTACAGATGTGAAGATGAAAGATTTGAGGTAACGAGTTATGTGTTAATTAATAATCCCTAGTGCACATACAGAATGATCAGAATTTGTACTTAAATATCATATTCTGTAAATTTGATGTGAAAACAAGGAACGTGTACCTTTGTTTATCCTCAATAGAACCTAGCAATCATCTGTACACATGGTTGTGAAAAGTGGAACATATCTTCAAATTTTGTTAAAGAGAATCAGAATCACACTTAACCCTCAACAAACCATCATCATATTCCTGGTTGTTGAATTCATGATTATAATTTGGATTTTTAAATAAAGTTTGCGGTCATTGTAATTTACGTGTTGTCTGTTGTTTCAGTTGGATATCGTAGTGGAATCCAATCTAAACACAATACGGATCCTCGAGGCGGTCCAGAAGAAAATGTCTCGAATGTCATCAGAGGAGGCAGCTAAATTCCGTCTTGACAACTCACTTGGAGGATCATCGGAGGTTCTTCACCGTAAATCTATACAACGGTACAAAAACCCATATCATAGAGCTATTTCAGTAGGAAGTTTTGTTCAGGTGTACCATGCATAGAATTCTATCAATAAAATGTTGAAAAGTAATCAAAAACATCCTTTGAAATTTGGAATCTTCAGGTGTAGTAGATTTTTTTACTGGAATTTTCATCATAACATATATATATATTTCACTGCTATGTACATACATGGCCAGATCAATACTCCTTACAAGGCTATTTATGAAATGTTTTCTGTTTTCCGTTTTGCCATGCCATTGTGAAGTGTCTTAAATATTGTATATAAAAGTTAAAGTCGCATTTGGTTGATTGCACAGTAATAGCCTTTTATAGAAAACTTTGATTTGTTACACAGGATATATGGTGACAAGGCTCCAGATATTATAGATGGTTTAAAAAAAAATCCTGTTGTTGCTGTTCCTTTAGTTTTACGGAGGTAAGTTTATACTTCTATCAACCCTGAATTAAAAAGGACTAAAGGTATTCTCATTTGTATGTCTATAAACTTGAGAAATAAAGGTGTAAATGTTCACAGCTGTCTCACTTGCAAAGTGACGATACTGACATTGTTGAAGTATGTTTGTCATACGGCTTTCACAGTTATTCTGACATTAAGAAAAACAAAAACGAAAAAAAGTTGTAGATGCATGGGATAAATAGTACTACAACTATGAATATCTTGTCTTTCATCTCACAGTTTAATATGCTATAAAGTTGTAAATCTATCCCAGAATTTTGATAAGATTTTGATGTGAATAATTGTACACAACAGGTTAAAAGCCAAGGAAGAGGAATGGCGGGAAGCACAGCGAAATTTTAACAAAGTTTGGCGAGAACAGAATGAAAAATATTACCTGAAGTCTCTTGATCATCAAGGCATTAATTTCAAACAGAACGACATCAAGTCCATCAGGTCCAAGGCTCTCCTCAATGAAATTGAGACGATCTATGATGAGGTAGGTATATTCCTAGTGTTGACAGGGAAAAGTCAGGAAACATTCTCACTCACTAGATATGAAAAATATGTAGGTACACAAATACTCCCTAGATGTGTAAAACATGTGAGGACTCAAATACTCCCTAGATATAGAAAATATGTGAGGACTTAAATAATTCCTAGATATTGAAAATATGTGATAAAAAATTCCTGGGTATGTAAATGAATAATGTGGAAACTGTTTTTCCTGGTGTGATTTGAAGACCGTGTTGTTTTGATATGAGAACTCTGGAATCACCTGTAGGTTTACTTTGTATATTTAGCGACAGGAACAGTTCCAGGAGAACGGCCCAGAGCAGGGTACCCCTCACCTATCCTTCAATTACAAAGACAAGTCAACCGTAGACGATGCAGCCTCCCTCATTATACACCACATGAAACGTCAGACAGGTGAGCTCATCAAACTTCATTTTCATTAAAGACTTCGTTGAGTTGTTGAATTGAAAGTTAGCCTTTGATGATTAAGCTCAATCAAAATGAAGATCTTATGATATTTTATAGACGCGAAGACAAGAGTGGAGATTTGGACGCATCATATGTTTAATTGTTGAATGATGTCCGTCCCAATTTTAGCATTCATCTAGTTAATATTGGTTTAATAATCTTGTTTGAAATTCTAGCTTTAATACAGTGATTTTTCCACCTTGATTTAACAGCAGCTTTTGTGTTAATATATCAGGAAGTTATAGGAGGGTTTTATGGAAAATTTGGAAAATATTCTTTGATTTTTGCTTCATTTTGGGAAAATAACTCATTTTGGCTAGAAGAAACAACCTTTTTCAGCTGCAAAACGGGGCCAAAAAACCCAACTGCAATAGAATGTAAAATCCAGGTAACATCTTATTTACCTTTCTGTTCCTATTTCAGCAATACACAAAGATGACAAACAGAAAATAAAAGTTTTACTGAAACAGTTTATCCCAGATTTATTCTTCACACCACGGGCGGAACTCAGTGATGATGAGATGGATAAAGATGAAGGTAAGAATTGATCACTGTTAGTAAACATACTGTACTTTGGTGTTATTTCCTGGAGATTTAATCTCAATTCATTTGTGGTAATTAAGGACTGCCTGAAATTTTAAAAAAAATCTGAGGGGGTGGGGGTGCTCCTTAATGCTACTTAACAGTTGCATGAAACTGCATCACCCTGAACATATGGAGCGAAACATTTTGTGGTGACTAAGTTGACTAATTTTGAGTATCAAATGATAAAGCGTTATGATTGAGTAGGTATTTTTTGTGTATGAAGTAAGATAGCTTTATCAGTATGTATTGATTAAACGTCTGATGGTGACTTTACTTAGATATGGATATAGATGACGCTGAGAAAGAGGCTGTTAAACAGGAGAAGGAGCTGTCTCCAAACCCTCCTGTCACCTCAGATCCCCCTACTGAGTCCTCCAAAGTGAAGGAGGAGGAAGGAGATGTGAAGATGGAGGAGGCACCAGGCTCACCGGTCCTCAATGGCGCCCTCAGCGACAGTGATCATGACCTGGAGGATGTAAGTAATGAGCAACATGAACAAGTTTGTTGTCTAATCGACCTACTCTGGTGAACATATTTCATCACAATCTCACTTGGCAAATAAAATTGGAAATTTTTTTTTTTTAAATCCACAAATCTCTCAAGATGCAGAAATATCAAAGTGTAGAAAATTTTCAGGACTCAATTCCATGTTGAAGATCATGTAAAGAATACCCTTTGATTAGTTTAGGTCAAGATAATAACTACTATGTATAGGAAATTGTCCTAACTGTGTTGCTTATTTGTATGAAAGCAGATACATTGATATATAATATAAATATTTTCTAGTTGTATTTTGTACAAATGAGATTTCCTTGAAAATTTGGTGTCTTTTTTTTTACACTGTACAAAGTGTCCAAGACAAAAAGATTATTCATCAGCCTAAACTAAGAATTTGGGGATTTCTAACCTTGGGTGTTTTAGGCCCAGAAACAGATAATAATCAGGTGAAAGTAGTTCAACATCATTAACTCATTCTTCTTTTATGTCCGACAGTTGCTCGATCTATTACCAGTTCTGTGTAGGTAATTAGTGATGTCAGATACCATTCTGTATCAGTTCTGTGTAGGTAATTAGTGATGTCTGATGCCACACAGTATCAGTTCTGTGTAGGTAATTAGTGATGTCTGATGCCATTCTGTATCAGTTCTGTGTAGGTAATTAGTGATGTCTGATGCCATTCTGTATCAGTTCTGTGTAGGTAATTAGTGATGTAATAAGTGATGTCTGATGCCATTCTGTGTCAGTTCTGTGTAGGTAATTAGTGATGTCTGATGTCATTCTGTGTCAGTTCTGTGTAGGTAATTAGTGATGTCTGATGCCATTCGGTGTCAGTTCTGTGTAGGTAATTAGTGTTGTCTGATGCCACACAGTATCATTTCTGTCAAAAAAAAAATAAAAAATTAGTGATGTGTAGTTTGATATATAGGTAATTAGTATGTCTGAAGTTGGTTGGGCGGATTCAGTTGACTGTGTAGGCATATTTCTTAAAATGCGCTCTCCCTGTCTATGGTGATGGAATCCACAATTATCCATCACAACCACATCGCCTTGTACAAAAACAGGATTCCCCATATCGTTCGTATCGGACATAATTTCGTCGAAGAAAATTTTGCGTACTGTTGCCGTCGTCGGACATTTTTCCAGCGATTACTTAGTACTTGTTATGTAACTGATAGTGTACATTAACTCCGCCTACCGGAACAAATTGGGTGTCAGATCAACTATTCAGGTTGTCTAAACTCCGCCCCCGACCAATCACAGAGGTCGTTGTATACTTGACTCGATTATTTGAATACTTCAATACAATAGTATCAATACTTTGTTCAATACTATAGTAAGTGTGTCGTTCACACCTTCCCTTCATCGGTAGTAATGATCTCTGATGCCATTCTGTATCAGTTCTGTGTAGGTGATTAGTGATGTCTGATGTCATTCTGTGTCAGTTCTGTGTAGGTAATTAGTGATGTCTGAAGCCATTCTGTGTCAGTTCTGTGTAGGTAATTAGTGATGTCTGATGCCACACAGTATCAGTTCTGTGTAGGTAATTAGTGATGTCTGATGCCATTCTGTATCAGTTCTGTGTAGGTAATTAGTGATGTCTGATGCCATTCTGTATCAGTTCTGTGTAGGTAATTAATGATGTCTGATGCCATTCTGTGTCAGTTCTGTGTAGGTAATTAGTGATGTCTGATGCCATTCTGTGTCAGTTCTGTGTAGGTAATTAGTGATGTCTGATGCCATTCTGTGTCAGTTCTGTGTAGGTAATTAGTGATGTCTGATGCCATTCTGTGTCAGTTCTGTGTAGGTAATTAGTGATGTCTGATGCCATTCTGGTCAGTTCTGTGTATTCTGTGTCAGTTCTGTAATTAGTAGGTGCCATTCTGTTAGTTCTGTGTAGGTAATTATGATGTCTGATGCCATTCTGTGTCAGTTCTGTGTAGGTAATTAGTGATGTCTGATGTCATTCTGTGTCAGTTCTGTGTAGGTAATTAGTGATGTCTGATGCCATTCTGTGTCAGTTCTGTGTAGGTAATTAGTGATGTCTGATGTCATTCTGTGTCAGTTCTGTGTAGGTAATTAGTGATGTCTGATGCCATTCTGTGTCAGTTCTGTGTAGGTAATTAGTGATGTCTGATGCCACACAGTATCAGTTCTGTGTAGGTAATTAGTGATGTCTGATGCCATTCTGTGTCAGTTCTGTGTAGGTAATTAGTGATGTCTGATGCCATTCTGTGTCAGTTCTGTGTAGGTAATTAGTGATGTCTGAAGCCATTCTGTATGCCATTCTGTATCAGTTCTGTGTAGGTAATTAGTGATGTCTGATGCCATTCTGTGTCAGTTCTGTGTAGGTAATTAGTGATGTCTGATGCCATTCTGTATCAGTTCTGTGTAGGTAATTAGTGATGTCTGATGTCATTCTGTTTCAGTTATGTGTAGGTAATTAGTGATGTCTGATGCCACACAGTATCATTTCTGTGTAGGTAATTAGTGATGACTGATGCCATTCTGTATGCCATTCTGTATCAGTTCTGTGTAGGTAATTAGTGATGTCTGATGCCATTCTGTATCAGTTCTGTGTAGGTAATTAGTGATTCTGTATCAGTTCTGTGTAGGTAATTAGTGATGTCTGATGCCATTCTGTGTCAGTTCTGTGTAGGTAATTAGTGATGTCTGATGCCATTCTGTGTCAGTTCTGTGTAGGTAATTAGTGATGTCTGATGCCATTCTGTGTCAGTTCTGTGTAGGTAATTAGTGATGTCTGATGTCATTCTGTGTCAGTTCTGTGTAGGTAATTAGTGATGTCTGATGCCATTCTGTGTCAGTTCTGTGTAGGTAATTAGTGATGTCTGATGTCATTCTGTGTCAGTTCTGTGTAGGTAATTAGTGATGTCTGATACCATTCTGTATCAGTTCTGTGTAGGTAATTAGTGATGTCTGATGTCATTCTGTATCAGTTCTGTGTAGGTAATTAGTGATGTCTGATGCCATTCTGTGTCAGTTCTGTGTAGGTAATTAGTGATGTCTGATGCCATTCTGTGTCAGTTCTGTGTAGGTAATTAGTGATGTCTGATGTCATTCTGTGTCAGTTCTGTGTAGGTAATTAGTGATGTCTGATGTCATTCTGTGTCAGTTCTGTGTAGGTAATTAGTGATGTCTGATGCCATTCTGTGTCAGTTCTGTGTAGGTAATTAGTGATGTCTGATGCCATTCTGTGTCAGTTCTGTGTAGGTAATTAGTGATGTCTGATGCCATTCTGTGTCAGTTCTGTGTAGGTAATTAGTGATGTCTGATGTCATTCTGTGTCAGTTCTGTGTAGGTAATTAGTGATGTCTGATGCCATTCTGTGTCAGTTCTGTGTAGGTGATTAGTGATGACTGATTATGTTTTGTTTCAGGATGATATATACTCCCTCTACTTTATCAATAACAACTGGTATCTATTCTTCCGCCTGCATGAGATTCTGTGTGAACGTCTTTACAAGATTTACAGTCTGTCAATGCGTATAGCTGCTGAGGAGGCCATGTGTCGCCAGGAAAGAAAAGAGTCAACTGCCATCGCCCTACGTCTGAAAGCTCCAAGTAAGTATTGAGTAAAAAAACATTTTAAATACCTCTCTGAAGGGATGGTTTGAGAAACATGATGATAGTATCCATGAGTATTGGTGATGAAGGATTACTGTTTAGAGAGTAGATACTTATGTTGCTGTGAAGAGAGTAGGGAGTTTTGTTACTGGTTATGGAGTAGGGGCTTATGTTACTGGTTAGAGAGTAGAGAGTTGTATCAGCATTTAGAGAGTAGGGAGCGGGAGAAAATATGTTCAGGAAGTGTGAGGTACTGATAGAAGACTTGTCATATGTTTAATCTGAAAACTTGTTTGTGACAGGTGAAGTAGAACCAGAAGAATACTACCCGTATTTCTTGGAGATGATAAAAAGTCTACTTGATGGAAACATGGAACCAAATCAATATGAGGATCAACTCCGAGAGATGTACGGCATTCATGCCTACATAGCATTTACCATGGACAAACTAGTACAGAACTTAGTCAGACAGGTGAGTCAAATATTCTGTTTACCATGGACAATTAGTACAGAACTTAGACAGGTGAGTCGAACATACCATGGACAAACTAGTACAGAACTTAGTCAGACAGGTGAGTCAAACATGTCAGACAGGTGAGTCAAACATTCTGTTTACAATGACAAACTAGTACAGAACTTAGTCAGACAGGTAAGTCAAACATTCTGTTTACAATGACAAACTAGTACAGAACTTAGTCAGACAGGCGAGTCAAATATTCTGTTTACAATGGACAGACCAGTGTGGAACGTCCAACATTTATGGTAACAGTATCAGGAACATCTAGTAGCCTCTGGACTGTAATGCAGTACCCAGTCAGAGGATTGATCAGGGAGATCATGTGTCCTGTCAACCTTCTTACTGAATTATGGACTTCAAACCTTCGTGATAATTTTGTGTTATTTTATCCCATGATTTTAACCTTGTTTCTGTAGATGCAACACATTGTGACTGATGATGTGTGCTGTAAGGTGACCGACATGTTTGAGGAAGAGAAGAAGAACAAAGCCACTGGTGGTCGCGTTGCTACTGTCCACCAGCGTACTAACCAAGAAGCAACCTACCAAAAAAGGGCAGACCATCTCCTGGCAGATGAAAACTGCTTCAAACTGATGATAGTAAGTAAACATATTTTCCAGTTGCTTTGGTTAGGATTTCTATGGGTTTTTTTCATTATGAAGAGAGATTGTTTTCTATTCTGAATTCAAAAATCAGATTTCAATCAACTCACATTTCATACACTCTGGTTTCACATCCTCACAGATTGATGATCCACGTTGGAAATATTTTGTCTTTCTGACATTCTGCCATGTTTTGGAATTGAATGTTTTGTTCAGACCATTTTAAAGGAATATGAAACTTGTTAAGAAGTCTTCTTTTCTTTTTTTCTTCAAAAAGTCATTCAAACAGTGCTTTATGATAAAGTTTGATACTGTTACAGTTTAAAAAGGATTGTCGTCTTACTCTGGAACTGCTGGATACAGAGCATGAACAGTCTGATGATCCTGTGGAGGTGGAGAGATGGTCGGAGTACGTGGAGAAGTATGTAGCTAATGATGATACTGTATCAGAGGACCTGAAAGAGGAGTTACAGAGAAAAGCTGTTTTCTTACCCAGGTCAGCCCATATCTTCATTCTTCACTTAGATTTTGATATTGAGCAAATTTAGCGGAAAAAGAAGAAAACATAAATTTTGCATCTCAATTTGAGATTTTATTTCTATAAAACAGAGACTATAAAATAATTTTTGTTGCTCACAATATTGTTAATGTAAAGAAATTACAGGGGAAGTTATTCTTGTGTTGTAGAAATGTACGGAAGTGGCGCTTACACCAACGAAACCAGAAACAGAAGAATGATGCTGAACTTGAGGAAACCTCAAACCCTGGGGAGTCCCCTAAACAGGAAACAAATGAGGATATGGATATCCTAGATAATACTGAGTGTAAATTTAATGTGAACTCCTTTAAAATTGTGTATGTCGTAAACAGCGAATACTACCTCTACAAACGAACTGCATTAAAGAAGGCAAAAGAGGTGAGTTTTTTTGCCCATCATTTTATTGAATACCACTAATGGTTTTTCTTATACATAGATTATTTAAACTAAGCATCACTGATAAAAAAATCACTAAAATTATCTAGTTAAACACCTCTCCACCCCAGGATATGTAAAATCTCTTCCACCTCAGAACACCAGGTATTTGGGCTATATCAGTCATCTCTCCCACCCCAGGACACCAGTTGTCCGGGCTATTCCAGTTAAACATCTCTCCCTTCCCAGGACACCAGATGTTAGGGCTGTTCCAGTTAAACATCTCTCCCACCCCATGACACCAGGGCTCTAGAGCTATTCCAGTTAAACATCTCTCCCACCCCAGGACACCAGATGTTAGGACTATTCAAGTTAAACACCTCTCCCACCGTAGGACACCAGATTAAGTGAGGCTTTAGAGCTATTCCAGTATATAAACATCTCTCCCACCCCAGGACACCAGATTAAGTGAGGCTTTAGAGCTATTCCAGTATATAAACATCTCTCCCACCCCAGGACACCAGATTAAGTGAGGCTTTAGAGCCAGTATATATCTCTCCCACCGTAGGACACCAGTAAGTGAGGGCTTTAAACAGTATATAAACCTCTCTCACCGTAGGACACCAGATTAAGTGAGGCTTTAGAGCTATTCCAGTATATAAACATCTCTCCCACCCCAGGACACCAGATTAAGTGAGGCTTTAGAGCTATTCCAGTATATAAACATCTCTCCCACTCCAGGACACCAGATTAAGTGAGGCTTTAGAGTTTTTCTTGTTTTTATACTTGTGTTCTTCTGTTCGTAACCAGATTAAGTGAGGCTTTAGAGCTATTCCAGTATATAAACATCTCTCCCACTGTAGGACACCAGATTAAGTGAGGGCTTTAGAGCTATTCCAGTATATAAACATCTCTCCCACCGTAGGACACCAGATTAAGTGAGGCTTTAGAGCTATTCCAGTATATAAACATCTCTCCCACTGTAGGACACCAGATTAAGTGAGGCTTTAGAGCTATTCCAGTATATAAACATCTCTCCCACTGTAGGACACCAGATTAAGTGAGGCTTTAGAGCAGTATATATCTCTTCCAGTATATAAACATCTCTCCCAGTATATAAACATCTCTCCTGTAGGACACCAGATTAAGTGAGGCTTTAGAGCTATTCCAGTATATAAACATCTCTCCCACCCCAGGACACCAGATTAAGTGAGGCTTTAGAGCTATTCCAGTATATAAACATCTCTCCCACCGTAGGACACCAGATTAAGTGAGGCTTTAGAGCTATTCCAGTATATAAACATCTCTCCCACTCCAAATTTTATGTAGGGATATCTCTTAAAGAATCAATAATTTTAGAAGTAATCAGGAGGGAACTGAACCATGGAAAGCAATGGTTAATATTACACCTGAATAGTCATAACTAGAAGTGGCTTTCTCCCGACTTCCATGTCTGACCCTTTGTTTGAAGCAGCATCAATGTCTCTATTGAAGAATATCAACACTACAGACCTGTTTATGTTGCACCGGAGTTGTCTCTCCTTTTTAGTGTTGAAATATATGGCCTCTTTCGTTCATGTGAACATTAATTTTGAATTAACTTTTTTTAATTGAGTAGCTGCATTTCTTCGAAGTTTATGGAAAAATATAAGCAGTAGTTCATCCTTTTTGGAAATATGTAAACATCTTGTTAAATTGGTCCCACCAGTTGTCACCATATGAGAAAAAAGGTTAGAAATCGTGCTCCATTACTTTCAGCATAAGAATCTGATAACAACATTTAAGGATCATGTTATGGTGACCTTTCCAACCATTGGACTCTAAGACAGCATACAAGACTTGAAGATTTCATCTGTACAATATGTGGATCTGTCTGATTGTAATTCAGGTCCCAATTCTCACTCTATTACTCTTTGCATACAAGTGGGGATCAGCATTTTAATCAGATTGATATATATACTCTAGCTTTTGGTGACCTGTTGTGATGAAATGACTGAAAGCTCCAATAGGATTTTGCAATATATTTACTCGCCTTCATTTACTTCCTATCTTTGGTAAGGAGTAATTTGATTGGTTGATAATAAAGGTCACCAGAACATGTCCCCTTAGATGTTGTCGGATCCTAATACAGAAAGTAACAAAGTGAGAATGAGATCCACATCTTAATCTGATTGAACTAGTCAAACTAACTAATGGAAGAGGCTCACTGCTTCACTGTCTTGTAAATAATTATTGTAAAAGTATTATTTCTTACCTGAGTTATCTTTCCTTTACAGTCTCATAAGCGAGTGTCACTCAAACTACATGAAAAATTCTCAAACTGGGTGGACAAGTGGCGGGCACAGCATGTGACTGTGGACATGGAGAAGGAATGTGATGATTGGCTGATGGGCCGCAGTGAGGATATGAGAGCCAATGAGACATTTTGTAACAAAGTGGTGGTAACAGACACTGCTCCCTACTACCAATACAACCAGTACCGTGTGGCATACCAGGAGAAGCCACCAGACCGTGAGGAAGGATAACCTACTCTTACCACTGACGTTATTTATTGATCATTTCATCATTTCCATTATCATCATGTGCTTGAGATGGCCCTGTATAGCTAGCTCAGGGTTGTAGTGGATCACTGCACAAGTTGTTACTCGCGATACATTGTTTTTCACCATTTTCCTGGCTAGAACAAAATTGTGTAAAATTAGAATTTGAAAAATATTCAGAAATTTGTGATTTGTTTGATTATTCCCTGGAAAAAAATTTCATCTTTTATGAACTAATGATTACTCACAAAAAATCTGAGCAATCTAAAAAGAAACAACATTTGCTGTATGTGATATGATGCTGTTATCCACAGACTTGATGAAGCATTTTTCACTTGTGTGAGACTGGGCTTAAGCAGGTCCACTGTCTGCCTGAGGCATTCACTGCTGACTACATTATGATACATGTGATGCACAGTTATTTCTACACTAACGTGTGGTTTCTGTAACAGAAAACTCAGCTTGGTGAAAATCATGAAATTTCTTTTCAGTGCAGATAATGATTAAACTTGAATATTAGTACACTGACAATGAAGACTTGTCAATAATATTCTTGACTATTTCATCATGTACTCATAATAATGTGTTTTCCTTACAATGGTAAACATTAGTGTTATTGGATTGGAATTTCAAAGTGTTGGACAGGATGAAGTGGATCTCAAGTATCTGGGACCTTTTTCATGCTAAAGGATGGTTCTCCACAACATCGAACATTGAGACTGATTTGTAAACCTTGGTTTGTGCAAGGCAGAGAGTTTGTTCTCATTTTGTCAAAACCTGATGAAATGGTTCGACCGTTACGTAATGCAATAAACTAAAAAAAAGTCCTTATGTCAGTGTCATTAACCAAAGTCACGGGGCCTGCTGACCTGTGAGATAGTCGACCCTTTCTCAGGAACACAGGACCAGGCCCCAGATGTTTACACAACGTTTATGTGTAGAGCCTATTTTTATACAGTGAATATTACAAGTTGATGATCAAGGCAGTATCCTGTTAATGTTTGTCATAAAATTAGGAAGTATTTGTGAGCATTTGAAATTAACTGCATTTCCAATGAAATTTAGTTATAAATCATCATTTTGTCATAAAGTTGAATATAAGATGAAGATAATGAGAATACTTTTTAAAGCAATTCAGTATTCACAATAGTTATGTGAATGGACTTATTGATGCAGATATTTTCTCCCAAATCATTCCTAATTTATGTTGCTTGTGAAGTAAAATTTGGACTTTTAACAATTAAACTGGTCAGAACCATCCATTTCCTCTGTTACATGTTAAGAAATCTAACATTGGTGAATATTCATACATGTATTTGGTGTAAAATTTTGACCAGGGAAATGGAAAGAATGTTTGTAAAATATCGAATCAGGAAACATGACTTTTAATTTTGCGATTCTAACAATGTGTATGCAGAGAAATGGGGATGAGATGACATTTGAGTACTAGTTAAAAAGAGTGTGAGAGAATGATGTGTGAAGGGTACTAGTGTAGATACCTGTAGTTATATGTATATATTAAATGTACAAAGTTGATCAGATGATAAACCTGACAAGAAGTGCTGTATAAAAGCACAACTTGTAAACTTGAAATAAACCTGTGGGTGAAAACATTGTTTTATATTGTGTTTACTGGATTTATGAACCTCCTCATCTGTCCATCAGCCCATAATCATGAAATGTTCATGTCTGTCATCTGAAGCGTTCTTGGATGATGGGGAATTGATCTTTTATAAATGAAAGGTTGCAAGGATCCCCTGGGACAACAGGGATAGGGTCCAATAGGGAAATGTAATTCCTAATCCTCCTAATGAATGGATATTACCCAAACTTGGTCATCACATTAGGTTGTAGGTGTTCAAGGCAACAATCTACCAGGATGGGATTGAACAAAAGTGCATTATATGCACTTTGGTGTTCTTCATACTGAGATATCTGATGTTCTATAAAGATGTTCAATGTTCTATAAAGATGTCGGATGTTCTACAAAGATGTTTGATGTTCTATAAAGATGTCGGATGTTCTACAAAGATGTTTGATGTTCTATCAAGATGTTTGATGTTCTACAAAGGTGTCTCATGTTCTATAAAGATGTTTGATGTTCAACAAAGGTGTCTCATGTTCTATAAAGATGTCTCATGTTCTACAAAGGTGTCTCGTGTTCTATAAAGATGTCTGATCTTTTTACAGAGATATCTGATGTAGAGTTGCAAAGCTATAGTCCACACATATTAAATGTGGTGCCTGTCTATACATTGCTTTCAGGCATATAACATATTTCCTTATTTAAGCTGGGGCATTGTTTTCATGCTATCTTTGAAGACTTTAAATCTAGAGAAACTAAATCCTATCAATATTACCACCAAGCTTTTCGACATTTGATCTCTAAAATCCCGAGGCTTCAAAATATTCAACAACAATATGTAATTTTTAATCTTTAAAGAATTTCAGAGTTAAATCATTTACAGACTCTACTGATTTTAAACATACTTTCTGAGTTCTAGAAAAAAGTTACAATCCAATAAGATTTTGGAAGTCACTTTTACAACAAACATTTTCATCACTACATGCAACACAGCACATGCCAGATACTTCTCTAGTCATGATACACTCCATATATTTACCATGACATCAACCCCGTGTAGTTATCCATAAAGTTACCTGTATTTTGTATTATAGCTAATGCATATTTCAGCAAGAGACCATAGGGCCTATCTTGCTCACTTGTTTTGGTTTACATAAGATTAAGTACTTTTCAACACAGGATGATTTCAGCCAAATTTTGATATCCTATCATTCATTCATTCAAAAGCATTTTAAAGAATTTCCTCCTCATTTATAAAATTTTTTTTCTTCATCTTCCATAAGTTCTGCAAACCAATACAAGCGATATCCAGTGCATATTTATAAGGATAAGTCTTTTGTAGCAGAATAGACATTTTTTGGCCCTGCCACTAAGCCCGCTTACGGTCAGGCCCTTAATTACAATTTTGAATCTCCACCAGCTAGCGATCCTACAATAGGCTGTCAACCAAATCTTCTTTAAAATATAGGAGGAATCTTCACTTACTGTTTCTATATAAATCCATGATTAAAAACTACTTAAAGTGACCATTCATTTCAACAGCATCACGATCCAGTCAGAGAGCTGCTGCATAGCTAATCATCATTTGATGGGCACCTAAAAGGCCAGTATCCTGTTGTACTGCCTTGCAAGGTGTCCATACAGGTGATAAAGAGATGCACTGAATCATTTTCTGGTGGCTGGTGATGCTGTTACAGACTTAGGAATTCTCTAACTTGTAAAATAAAGAAGCCAAACACAGTATCAAAGAAATATTTACAATCTCTACATTTATCAGCAACAAATTTCCAGAAAAAATATATGAATATTTTTTCAAAAAAAAATAGGAAATTATGGGAAATATAGGTCTTTTAAAATAAAGGTTCTTGAACCAAAAGTTAGGAATCGGTTGACAGCCTGCTACAAGTTTAATAGGAATGATATTAATTTCTTATTACAGGGAAGGAGTTGCTGTGGCCTACTGGTTAAGGCGTCGGACTACCTTTATAAGTAGCCCTCCACCTCTAGGTCATGAGTTCAAGATTTACCTAGGGCAGTGGCCACAGATTGGTGGTTTTTTCTACAGGAACTCTGGCTTTCCTCCACCACCATAACCTGGCACGTCCTTAAATTACTCGGGCATAAAACAACCATCAATTAAACTTAGTTCCAGGGATGCAGGCAGTCACTATGAGTGATAACCAGTGCATAGTTCTAGAAAAGTGACGGTATTTTGCCATTTTGGCCCAGCCCTCGAGCCCTGCCTTTTGTAGAATTTCAAATCCCCATTGGCTGTAAATACTTCTGCTTGATGTACTCCAGTTTTTATGCACAGCATCCAATAATTTTTTTGCAAAAGTTGTTGTAAAGATCAGATTTATCAGAGCAAGTGACATCCAACTGATGCTACGCTAAAGATTCGGAGGAAAGCTGCCCTGTTTCTGTAGAAGATAGGACTCATTATATATCTATAGTATTGCAGAGAGAGGACTGAAGGGAAACTAACTTATTAAATCCAAGAAAAACCTGTGCAATGCTTTCTGATAAACACTAAAATGTGTTGAGAGATGACAAGACAACTGACAAAGAGTAGAGTAATCAAAGCAACACATCAAGGTCAGGACAGATTCAGAAACTTCATGGAGACACATTGTTTTATAATTGAAAATACTAATGACTAATAAAAAAACTGTATTTACCCAAAGCTATAGTTAATATAAACATCTTTCAAAAAGTGCTGGGTCAGTTCTCTAGAACTAAGACATATTTTCATAGATATGCACTGTGCATCAAGATCATACCAATACATTTATATTTAAAATATATTTAGTAAACAAAGTAAAGAGATAATATTTAGTTCCCTCAATTGACTTTTTAAAATTTGTTAGCAAACTTGTGAAGCTGGTTTTAGCCAATGTGATTTATGACACTTTAAACTCTTTTTTCAGATTCCATAATCTTCTGTGCATATTTTTTCACTTCCAAGAATTTGACATCTATTTACAGTGGAACTAAACCACACTTTGAGCTGATCTAATTATAATAAACGTCGAGTGAGCAATTACAGTTACCATATACTACATGTTGCTTTGTAAGAAAAGTTTAATGTGAAAGCATTTGAAAGCTTGAATTAACACTACGTTCTACGGCTAGGTGTTCTTCAAAACTTGGAGAAATTGATCAACAATATTTCAGAATAGTTGGTGGTTTCCTACAGAATCTGTAGAACAGGCAGCTCTGTTAGGTGTAGCATAAAAACAACAAACACATGTCTATGCATGATGATTTTATTTCTAGCGACTGGCAATGATAAATTTGGCGATGATAAATGTTTTTTACATGCATGAGGAATATATCCAATGTAATCTGCCCACCATGGCACATTTTCTGTCAAAAGTCGACCCAAAATATCCCATCTACAGAGTTACTGCCCCTGAATCACAAGAGGCTATGGTGGTAATGAACTATATAATATCACCAGCATAGAAAGCAATAAACGACAAAAAGTTCCCTTCTATACCTGTAATGCTGCTACAGTAATGAGCTCTGTGTCACCAAAGGTCAAGTACAACAGTGGATACACAACTTCTGAATGCATAACCAGCTGAAGAGCAAATCTATTGTTTCATTAGTACTTCTCTTCCAACTTCTATTCAAATTAAGACATTGGAACCAAGTCACAGAAATATTGCTGATTTGTTCCTTTTCACATTAAGTTTTCTCCCAACTGTTACTAAGCTTGAACTCTCTCAGAATATACAGTACTTCACAAACAAATGTCTTCTCCTTAATGTAAGGAAGAGTTACCTCCCTTGTAAAACAGTGACAATGATGTACATCCCTATACACATGCTAAACTACATGATAAAAATACTGATGATGATGCACCGGGGTTCATTACTTGTTGGGATACAATGTAACAATATAACAGTTATAACTTCCATCAATCGTAGAATTTGTTGATTTAAAGCTGACAAAAGTTACACATTTCTCACTAACAAAACAATAATATACAACCAAGTTGGAAGTCATGTCATTCTGCAGAAATCAATGTACAGTTTGTAACACAAGTAGGACTGAAAAGTTACATTACACAGCAGGAACTGATGTACAGTTTGTAACACAAGTAGGACTGAAAAGTTACATTACACAGCAAGAACTGATGTACAGTTTGTAACACAAGTAGGACTGAAAAGTTACCTTACACAGCAGGAACTGATGTACAGTTTGTAACACAAGCAGAACTTAAGAGTCATGCTACACTGCAGAAACTGATGTACAGTTTGCAACACAAGTAGGACTGAAGAGTCGTGCTACACTGCAGAAACTGATGTACAGTTTGTAACACAAGCAGAACTATAGAGAACTATAGAGTCATGCTACACTGCAGAAACTGATGTACAGTTTGTAACACAAGTAGGATTGAAGAGTCATGCTACACTGCAGAAACTGATGTACAGTTTGTAACACAAGCAGAACTATAGAGTCATGCTACACTGCAGAAACTGATGTACAGTTTGTAACACAAGTAGGATTGAAGAGTCATGCTACACTGCAGAAACTGATGTACAGTTTGTAACACAAGCAGAACTATAGAGTCATGCTACACTGCAGAAACTGATGTACAGTTTGTAACACTAGTAGGATTGAAGAGTCATGCTACACTGCAGAAACTGATGTACAGTTTGTAACACAAGTAGGATTGAAAAGTTACGTTAAACAGCAGAAACTGATGTACAGTTCGTAACACAAGCAGGACTGAAGTGCAAAAGTGTCCATAATTATACATGTATAAACATTCAGTGAAAATTCACACACCATTCATTCTGAGCAGTCTGCCATATTGTACACAAAATCTGGCGGATGTTGGACATTTGCATAATTCAGTTCCTACTCTTTCTAATTTTGTAGCACGTCGTGCTCTTTCACATTAACAAATCTAACAATTCCTCATTTCTTATACAATGTATAAATGGTATTTATTAATTATCGAAAAAATTTATGTGAAGTTCTAAATAAATCCTATCAAAATATGAAATAATATTTTTATGTTGTAGTAAAAGGTGACATTCTGCTAGCTACTGTTCTCTTTATTCAGTACAGAATGGGGGCCAATAGACTTCATGAATTAAGCTTATTTCTCTACCAATGATGTAAATGTAGGTTGGCAAGCTTATTGACTACACATCTTTATTTGATACATAAAACAGAGACAAAACTTGAAATAGCCTCATTACTGAATAAATTACATAGCATAGTTGTCAAGCTTATTGAGTTAAAAAGCATCAAAATATCTGATATATTAAGTCAATAAGCTTTTAGAAATAGCCTGCTTACTTGAATATATTATACTACAGATATTAATTAATTGTAGTGACCTAGAAAATGTGATGTAACATGACAGAAAAATATAAACCAGTGTTATTTCTGTAAAATAATTTGATTTGGTGGAGGTTTTATCTCTATAGCACTTGTTGTTACTTTGAATCTACGATAGTGAAGCCCCACAAAATTCTCCAGATAACAATACAGTTAATACAGTTCCTGATGGTTAGGGCTGGAAATCTTGCTCGGTTTTCATTTCTACAAAGTTCATTCTTATTTCAAATATAACAATTCAGGCATAAACTTAAATCCTGCACATATTGACATGGAAATACAGGTCTCCAAATTGTAATTAACCTGCACGTAAAGACTGGGTACTACAGACCTCCAAATTGTGATAAACCTGCACCTATTGACAGGGTACTACAGGTCTCCAAATTGTGAAAACCTGCAGGTAAAGACTGGGTACTACAGGTCTCCAAATTGAAATAACCTGCACATAATGACTGGGTACTACAGGTCTCCATATTGTAATTAACCTACACCTATTGACATGGAAATACAGGTCTCAAAATTGTGATAAACTTGCACCTATTGACAGGGTACTACAGGCTTCTAAATTGTAATAAACCTGCACCTATTGACATGCCGACAAGTGTTAATAAACCTGCACATTAATACAGGCCTTGAAAGGTGTTGTCATGGCCTATCTGAACAATATTAAGATAATAGGGCTTTCTCATTTCCTTAACTAACAACAAAGAGCGTTTCCATAGCACTATGCATATAAAGTGTAAACAGCCATGACGAGTAAATGGTAACCAAGGTAACATTTCTGATAGAACACATATTGTACTGCAGTGTTTTACTATACTATAGTTTTGGTTACAGGTGTTTTAGTTTCTGTGATTTTTTCTTTCACTAGGCATAGTTTCACCAACAAAGATCAGTGTTTTTTTTATTATTTTGTCTCTGTATGAGTGGATTAAGTTTATAAGTACTCCTTGTCCTTGTATCCCAGACTGGCTACACATCACTGTTTACAACTGTAGTTCTGTCCTTCACTTCTTTAAAATATTTTTTATATCAGAAAAAAAGTTGTGGAGTTTTCAGATTTTGTCTGGACTTACTAAATGCATGTTGATAGTCTCTTATAATGGGTGGATTTCAATTGCTTGTTGATTAGACAGTCAACCCAAAATGTATGGATTCTGTCAAGTGTAGATTAGGTATGTCCACGTTGTACTCCAAACAATTAAAACTCCTCACATTCAGTGTTAATCACACAGCTACAATCTTATTAACAATCAGAAATTAATCAAATATTGATCTTAATAATAATTGATTATCTATGAATGTAGTAACTGTATTCTGATGTATTATCAGAACCACGGGAAAAGGACAATAGGATCTCTTATATATGTAACAACTTTAAACCAACTACTGGATGAGAAATATGATCTGAGTTCCGATATCTTGATTAGATAAATAGGAGATTTCTTTACCAGTGTTAGATACTTTGTGACAATCCAGTCAATGACTAACAACAAAAGACTTTAAAGTAAACAAAGCTCTTTAGATGAAATAATGAATAACAACATTGTGGTGATGAATTCATAATTGCCTTCCACAGATTATCTCCCTTTCCCCCATAACTTATCTCCCTTTCCCTAATAACTTATCTCCCTTTCCCCCATAACTTATCTCCCTTCCCCTCAACATTATCTCTCTTTCCCTAATGACCTGTTTATGTTTTCCCTCATATCTTATCTCCCTTTTCCATATTACCTTTCTCCCTTTTCCCTTATAACTTTCCTCCCTTTCCTGAATAACTTATCTCCCTTATTCTAATACCTTATCTGCCTTTCCCTCATAACTTATCTCCCTTTCCCTAATAACTTATCTCCCTTTCCCTAATAACCATAACTTTTCTCCCTTTCCTAATAACTTTTCTCCCTTCCCCTCAAAATTATCTCTCTTTCCCTAATGACCTGTTTGTTTTCCCTCATATCTTATCTCCCTTTTCCATATTACCTTTCTCCCTTTTCCCTTATAACTTTCCTCCCTTTCCTGAATAACTTATCTCCCTTATTCTAATACCTTATCTGCCTTTCCCTCATAACTTATCTCCCTTTCCCTCATAGCTTGTATCCCTCTTCCTAAAAAATTATCTCCCTTTCCTTCATAACTTATCTCCCTTTCCCTCATAACTAATCTCCCTTTCCCTCATGGCCTCCTACCCTTGTCTACTGTTTCTGCTAATGAAACCTACATTACATACCAAACTTTATATTGAAACAACTTTTTTTCTACTTTAAAAATTTTGGCAAACGGAAATTTATAGATGTGCCATGTTTCTGACCCGTCAGTCTGCTGTCCTAATCACCAAGGTGTTGGTGACATTCACTTTCCATCAAATAAGTGCTTTATCATTTCCTTCACAAAAACTTAACCACACTGTTACTTCACATATTTTAGCAGTAATCGTATTTCATCCCTTTATTTTTTTCTGATAGTATCTTGCTTTAGTAGCCATCATTGTAAATGTTCACAATTCAATCATGAAATGATTTGACAAATTTGATAGTGTATCAATATATTAGACTGCCTATGTCTACATTCTAAATACTAATTCTTTTTATTTACGTTAGGTTTCCCAATAAGTTATAAAATGAAGCAGGTTTCTTGAAGTTCATATCCCCATCCTTGTTTATATCACTAACAATATTAACATTATGAGAAGACTGCAAGAATATCTTGTGAGAACAGCTTTTGTCAAAATAGAAGAAAATACTTTTGAGAAGAACACATGTTCCAGCAGCACAATAAATAACAGACTAAATTTTCAAGTAAACTTGAAAGAAACTTTCTTAGATATGATCTACATATCAAAACCAGTTCCATCTCCTAACAATAATGATCTTTACAGAACATTTCAGTGCACCATAACAATGACAAAATGTTGATCTTCAGTATTCCTTCCTCAAATTCAGAAGAACTCCACTGCTTCAACATTTTCCTTCCTCCAAAAGCAAGAGTTCCACTCATCACATCTTTCTTTTTCAATAACAACAATGGTTCAAAGTGTAACGTTTATTTCCTCTTCATACGCAGGTCAAGTCTTCCAACAAAATTCTATTTGTCAAGTTTCTTTCCTTCATGATAAAAGTTTATCCTCCTTTCCTACCTCCACAATAAGATTGACCCTTCTGATCAAGGTCACACAGGAGTATGGCTTAATCTATCACAGAACTAACTTTGTCCATATGGTTCTTTATACAAAGGAGAACATGGGCATCCATCTTACACCAGAATACCACTTGTTAATCATTTGTATCTTCCAACAATAATGTGTCACAGATTGAAAAATTCTCTTGAAACCGTTTCCTTCCTTCAGGAGACACTTACCAAGCTGTGATCCCTCCACATTGTCCACTCTTGCCTTCTATGGAATAGTTTTTCCGCACCTCTTTGACTATAAACCCACACACAGAGAACACTTTTCCAACATACATAAGCCTATCCAGTCTTCAGTTTCCCAATCAAGCGTTAACATTCATACAACCGTAACATACTAATGACTTTGTCATGTATTTATATATAGTTTTCTGTAAAACAGTTACAAATATAAGTTTCCAGTTTGATAATTCACTTTTCAGTTCATCATATGACTATTGATGTTGAACTTTCACCTATGACCTACGACATACTCGAGCACGGTAGCCCTGGTGAACCCATCTGAGTCAGGACTCGGTCCAGCCACTGTAAAGGTCCGTTAAGATGAATCTCAATCCAGCAGGGAGTACTTGTTACTGTCTGTCGTCTGTAAAACAAACAGCAATATATTAACTGTTGTCATTAGTGTGGAGATCAAGTATTTATGAAGGAGACAAAATATTCAAGGATACATAAAACAAAATCTTTTAAATAGAAAGATATTGAGCTTTTTGGGGAGAGATGGCAAAACATGATGATTTCTTTATCACGCTGTTTCAATCACAGTTAGGGTGTTGCAGGGTTTTCCATAAGAGCCGGGAGCCGGCCAATTTGACCGGCTACTTTGATAATTTGGCCGCCTACACCAATCCAGTTCCATAATAATGTTCCGTACATGACTACACGTACACTGCAGGCCAGCCTCCTACTTTCACTACACAGCCTACTACTAACAAAATTATGGAAAACCCTGGTGTTGCCAACATTTAGTTCCCTTGCTAGATACTGATCAAAATTTTAAAAACTTGTTAGATACTTAACAGTATCAGGATGGTCAACATTTTTTACCAAGACATAAAAATGTGGTTTTTTAGGCAAAATCATTTGAGCTGATGACACTACCATTAGATTTTAAGAACTTATCACTATTACCGATACTCGGCTCCCCAGCCCTTCACAAAGCTCATCCTGATGGTACACATGCGTGTTAGCTGGTACACAGACTCAAAGCCTTGGTTCACTGACTGGGCCAGCAATGCAGCAAACTCCTGATTGTTAAAAATTTTAAGATTGCAACCTGAAACATAACCATAGAAAAGATTTATAAATAAATGTAGCTTCAAATGAATATTGATAACTTCCATTTTCACAGCAGAAAATAATGATGATATTTTGTGGTACTTTCCTTGTGATATATTGTGGTACTGACCTGGTGGTGTAAGTGGTACGTATCTGGTGGTGTTTTGTGGTACTGACCTGGTGGTGTTTTTGGTACGTACCTGATGATATTCTGTGGTACTGACCTGGTGGTGTCTGTGGTACTGACCTGGTGGTGTTTTTGGTACGTACCTGATGATATTCTGTGGTACTGACCTGGTGGTGTCTGTGGTACATACCTTGTGGTGTTTTGTGGTACTGACCTGGTGGTATTTTGTGGTACTGACCTGGTGGTGTCTGTGGTACTGACCTTGTAGTGTTTTGTGATACAAACCTTGTGGTGTTTTGTGGTACTGACCTGGTGGTGTTTTGTGGTACTGATCTGGTGGTATTTTGTGTTACTGACCTGGTGTATCTGTGGCAGTGATAAGATGAAGTTTGTGGTACTGACCTGGTGGTATTTTGTGGTACTGACCTGGTGGTGTCTGTAGTACATACATAATAATATTTTGTGGTACTGACCTGGTGTATCTGTGGCACTGATTAGATGAAGTTTATGTTACTGACCTGGTGTATCTGTGGCACTGATAAGATGAAGTTTGTGTTACTGACCTGGTGTATCTGTGGCACTGATAAGATGAAGTTTGTGTTACTGACCTGGTGTATCTGTGGCACTGATTAGATGAAGTTTGTGTTACTGACCTGGTGTATCTGTGGCACTGATAAGATGAAGTTTGTGGTACTGACCTGGTGGTATTTTGCAGACCGTCGCTGGATGCCATCCATATCTCTGATTACAGTTTGGACTTTGTACGAACACAGCACTTTCACTTAAACACTCGGCAAACACCTCACCCCCAATGTAATAAAGACGTACACCTTTACCTGTTAAGAAAAAGACAGACCTACTTTGTTAACCTTACAGTAAATAGCATCTAATTACTCTATAAAAAAGGAGCCACAAAGCGTGGCATTATCCCCAGCACCAAGCTGTTGCTGTAAAACTCTAATATGATATATATACTGGTATAACAATTGGTGACATCACTCAATTATGTACCACTACAATCACCTGTAGATCTAATACAGTGAAAATGCTAGTGCAAAATGTAACAACTTCTTTTGTCAATTATCAATTAAATTTCCCTGAAACTTTAACTCCATCATCATATATGATGATATATGTTATGTATCTAACTTATAGTAAGAGTTTATATCTTGAAGTAGATTCTGTGTGTTTGACTGTTGATATTTGAATAAAGCTTGGTATTGCCCCATCCCCAAGTTCCTTCTGAATTTAAGAATTATTTGCCCACCCCTACTGATGCTACAGACAAAATTTGAATGAAATCCATTCAAGTATTAATGAAGAATAGTGTTTTGAAGAAAAGTGTTGTCTAACTACCCAATCCCAGGTTCCTTGGGGTCAAATCAAATTTCTGAATTTTAGAAATGAAATGTTTCCCTTCTCCCAATGATGTTTCAGGTCAAATTTGGTTGAAATTCACCTTCATCTCAAACTTGTTTGACTTTGGATCTTCAAAGATTGTCTACCCATAGATATAGGGCTAAACAATCTCTGATATGACATCATTACTGTTAAATATTAATTATGGCTCTTGCATGCTGACAAAAATCTTCACTGCCCTATATTTTTCCTTGTAAGTTACACGAAGCCATTCATATCATAAATAAGCATGGCAATCATTCTAGAATTTGACCTAATGACCTATCAATCCCAGGATGCAATAGTCTATTGTGTAAACTTCCGCCATGACTTCTTGTAATTGCTGTCAAGAAACCACAAAAGTCAAGAACACATTATTACGATTCAAATTAAAAAGGATATTTATTTCATACTTGAGAATGTGATTTATATTGCAATTTTCAAATCAACAAAACACAGTACCGTCTCATATTGGTATGGTCATTATGATACAATTTTATTTCTTTCTTCCACACTTGTATATAAGTCACAAGGAAAAAAGTTGCTACATAAGCTACATATTTGAAGGAGATCTATCCTGTACATCTCAAGAATTAGTCGCAAGATGCTTTCATTGTTAAACTTTAAGATGGCTGCCATTTAACCATTCTTTTCCCCTGATCAGTCGCAAAACTAAAACAAGCAAATTAGAGATCCATCTAATTCTTCTTTGGAAATAGTGTAAACAAGAATTCCTTACAGACAACAGATCACAAAGTTAGGATGGTTTGTACAGACTAATATCTGACACTTTCGTCAAATTAGGAAATCGTGAACTGTCATCACCGCTCAATCATTTGTACTCTTTGCATGAAAAAGGAAACAGATGTAGTTGAAAGCTTGCAAATACAATTTTCTATCACTTTGTGGTAAGATCAACATCTTCTCAAAAATCAGAAATCAACAAACTGTATTGGGTTTGGTGATGAATTTGTGTTATTTAACCCTTTATCTTTGTAAGCTTCTAAGGACATTTTATAAGTGTTTTAGGTTTATATATTTAGGGACTAGATATTTTAACACAGTAAACCTCTGATCTTGTCAGTTAATTACTTAATCAGTTAACCTTTGACTTTATAAGTTGTATATTTTTACACAGTTGACCTCTGACCTTAAATACAAATAATAAGAAAGTGATTTCAGAGATTTTTGCCAGGTGAGTCTGGAACACATTTTTAAAAATCTTATTAAATTCAGTGAAAGACTCTTAAAGCCGAGTTCAAAATATCACTAATAAAATAAAATAGAGTTGTCTCCCTTATCTAGGTAAAGCCACAGGTTGTTTACTATACCAACATACAGTTTAGAACTGGATCTTGAACTTTTTTTTATAACTGTGTCTTAATTGTCTATTAAAAAGCATTTTTTTGAAAATCAAATCCATTACTTCATTTCTTATATATTTCTTTCTAATAGAAACTAAACTGATAACAGTACAAGGATGTAATAGAAAGTATCATTTTAAGACCTGTGACCTTCAGAAAGAGAATCCTCTGACACAGAACCACATCAATGTAGAATTGATACAGAATACAGAAAGAATTCTGATCAATTGATCAATACCAGGCTGTGATGGTCGATAGCAAGACAAACTTACCAATATGGCGTCGTGTCATTTCAACTTGTTGAGTACGATTAATGTTTGAGAGGAGGCCGAGGCAAAATCGCTCTGAATTTGATGGATCGGTGAACCCATCAACAGTGAGAGAGGGCTGGGAGGCATGGAACGTCTCCCCAACACGGTTGTTCAATTCGTAATAAGCAATAGAACACCAGAAGGCTGGCTCTTTGTACGTCACTGGCTGGGCATCTGTGGGGTCAAAGTTCATAGTTCACAGATCATTAATCTTAAAAACTTGAACAGGTTAAAGTTCACAGTTCAGAGGCTGTTTCTCATAATGTAGCTCTTTTCTTGATTCAGCAATGATAGTATTTGACACAAACTATATAAATGTTAGGATTCACACATGTTATGGTGAAATTGAATCCGTAAACAAAACAAAGTAGTAGCATTCTTGCTGTGAGTTGTTGACAAGGATTTCATAGAAAGAAAAAAAATTATAACATTTGCATTGATGAGAATTGGCAGACATATAAAAGACTTAATCATGACAAGTCTCACCTAAAGGAGGACTGGGGGACACATCAACTCCGTCTGAAACAAAAACACAACTTAAATGGTTTCATGATCTTACAGAAACTTTGACACAGTCAATCAATCTTTTTGACAATGATAAGATAATCTGTGGATGTTTCTGACAGTTGTTTGAACTTGTGTACTTGCCTGGAAAATGAGAGGCCCAGAAGGCCTGTATTGCTCACCCGGATATCTAAGTCAATAATGCTAAACTTTACATACTTTGGGAGGAAAATATATCCCCTGATGAGTCTCATCCTACAGATACAACTTCAAAAGTCCCTAGGGAGTGGGGACAGAGATCATTTGTTAATCTCTTGATGTCCAGCAATTCTGTCAAATTATGTGATGATAATCTCAATGGTTTCAATGATATAATCTGTCCTGGCGTGGGACCAGACCCCCAGGAGAAATTATCAGATACAATTGTGTTTATCTCCTGATGCTCAGCAATGCTATAGCTATTCAGTGAGGATCAGAAGTATTTAAAAGAAGCCACGCTTTGTACAAAACCGATTTCCCTTTCCCCTAAGCATGCTTCAGTCCAAATATGGACAATAGCCTGCGATTCTTGAAGTTTTAAAAAAATGAATAGATTTTTCCTGTTGAACCTCACCCATCTGGCCCAGACCCACCATTTACACAAAACTGGTTCTCCTTTCCCCAACCCAAGGATCCTGCAGACCAAATTTGATTAAAATTCACTAAATTGTTCATGAATAATCGCAATATATATTAAAAGTTGACAGACAATGAATGCTGCACGGATGGCCCAGTATCCCTTGGACCAGGCTTAATGTTCATCTGAACTAATGTATATACAAAGTATCATACATTTCAGAAATATGATATAGATACATACTGAAAGCATCATACATTTCAGAAATACAATATAGATACATAAAGAAAGCATCATACATTTCAGAAATATGATATAGATACATACTGAAAGCACCATACATTTCAGAAATATTATATAGATGTATACATATAAAGGTGCAGAACTTGATGTTATGATACCATGGGATAAAAATCAACCTAAATTAGCTCAATAGTTCTCAAGACATGACAATGATTCAAAACAGGACACAACAAGACTGACAGTGTCTGTCCTTCCATAACATACATAACAGAAAGAGGGTATAACATACACAACAGAGGACATCACTACATACATAATAAACAGAGGACAGCCTACATACACAATAGACAGAGGACATCACTACATACATAATAAACAGAGGACAGCCTACATACACAATAGACAGAGGACATCACTACATACATAATAAACAGAGGACAGCCTACATACACAATAGACAGAGGACATCACTACATACATAATAAACAGAGGACAGCCTACATACACAATACAGAGGGCACAACTACATACATAATACAGAGGGCACAACTACATACACAATACAGAGGGCACAACTACATACACAATACACAGGGCACAACTACATACACAATACACAGGGCACAACTACATACACAATACACAGGGCACAACTACATACACAATACACAGGGCACAACTACATACACAATACAGAGGGCACAACTACATACCCAATACAGTGAGGGCAGAACCATGTGAAATCACTAATGACTGATGGAGTTTAAATATAATCACACAATACCAAGGATGTACGATTGTTCTAGACATAGAAATATGTAGCGCTGGTGGGTACTTACCCATACCCTGGTTATCTGTAGTATCTCCATCCTCACTGATGTAACCGGGGGGCGGGGTGTCTGTAAGTAACATCAATATCACTAACATAACTGTGTTAACAAAAGGTCTATCTCCTAAGAGACAAAAAAAGCAAAACACTCAATCGAAAAAAAATTACTGTTAGTCAACATAAATTTGTCTACCTTTGATACATACACAGAAAAAAGTCAAAAGTATCCACAAATTTATCTCCCTTAATATCAGTGGTGCTAGTAACACTTCTCTTTATACCAAATTCTATATCACAAACTTTACATGGGGTTCCCTCAAGGAGTGGAATAACTCTATATTACACACATCACAGGGATTTCCCTCCATAAGAGGGAAAACTCTATATTACACACATCACAGGGGGTTCCCTCAAGGAGTGGAATAACTCTATATTACACACATCACAGGGATTTCCCTCCATAAGAGGGAAAACTCTATATTACACACATCACAGGAGGTTCTCTCTAGGAGTAGGATAACCCTGTATTACACATATCACAAGGGGTTTCCTCTAGGAGTGGAATAACTCTGTATTACACACATCACAGGGGGTTCCCTCTAAGAGTGGGATAACTCTATATTACACACATCACAGGGGGTTCCCTCTAGGAGTGGGATAACCTTGTATTACACACATCACAGGGGGTTCCCTCTAGGAGTGGGACCACTATATTACACACATCACAGGGGGTTCTCTCTAAGAGTGGGATAACTCTATATTACACACATCACAGGGGGTTCCCTCTAGGAGTGGGATAACCCTGTATTACACACATCACAGGGAGTTCCCTCTAGGAGTGGGATAACTCTGTATTACACACATCACAGGGGGTTCCCTCTGAGAGTGGGATAACTCTATATTACACACATCACAGGGGGTTCCCTCTAAGAGTGGGATAACTCTATATTACACACATCACAGGGGGTTCCCTCTAGGAATGGGATAACTCTATATTACACACATCACAGGGGTTTCCCTCTAAGAGTGGGATAACTCTATATTACACACATCACAGGGGGTTCCCACTAGGAATGGGATAACTCTATATTACACACATCACAGGGGGTTCCCTCTAGGAGGTGGGATAACTCTATATTACACACATCACAGGGGTTCCCTCTAGGAGTGGGATAACCCTGTATTACACACATCACAGGGGGTTCCCTCTAGGAGGTGGGATAACTCTATATTATACAGTAGATAAAGAAGCTACTGAAAATAGGGCAGCAGCATCATTTTATATAGATTTCACAAGTTACAATTCTTTGACAAGACATTGATATTTGTATAGTAGGGGTTAGGACAAGGGACAAATGACAGGGTCCATGGACTGAGAGGGAGACAGCAGACATTGGTATCACGATATAGAGAAAGTATTTCTTTATTATGATTGGGGTTGGGGAGGGGTGGGTCCAAACACAATGTCCATGGACTGAAAGAGACGTCCGACATTGGTAGAGAGATGTAGAAAAAGTGTTTCTTTAGTAGGGGTAGAGAGAGGTGGGATAAACACAGAGTGTATGAAAGGAGAGATATACACAAAGTGTTTCTTTAGTAGGGTGGGGAAGGGGTTGGGGCAAAACACAGGGTACATGGACTGAAAGAGAGATTGATCTAAGAATGTTGGAGAGTTATACAGGAAGTGTTTCCTCAGTAGGGGAGGGGAAGGGATTGGGGCAAACGGGGCAAAAAACACAGGGTACATGGACTGAAAGAGAGATTGATCTAAGAATCCTTAGTAGGGGAGGGGAAGGGATTGGGGCAAACGGGGCAAAAAACACAGGGTACATGGAATGAGACAGAGACATATAACATTGGAAGAGAGATATACAGAAAGCAGGAGTGGGGAAGGGGGTGGGGGGCAAAACACAGGATATATGGACTAAGAGAAATACATCTACCATTTGGAGAGAGAGATATAAAGAAATTGTTTATATAGTAGGGGTGGGGGATGGGATGGGACAAAAGGATTTGTAAAGAGATGTTAAGAAACTCTGTCTATGTCAAGGAAGGAAGAAACATCTGAGCCATGGACAGAGATAGGTGCAACCAACATTAAATGAGAGAAAGTTGTCCATGTTAAACAGGCAACATCATACAGAGAATAAATTCAATAACAGGTTGTCAACGTCAATGGTGCAAAATACTCAAAGATGGTCTCGGTCAAAATGAGTCCCAACCTACCAGGTTTTGACCGGATCACCATTACATAAAGCAGGTCTATCAACACAAAATCAGGTCTCCCTGTAAATCCCAAGTGTCTGAATCAACAGGAAAACTTAGATGTTTTACCACACTGGGCTATACATAAACTTCATCATAACAAGAGAAACCCTCGTAGATATCCAGCCTCGACCCCCCCAACACAACGTAGATCGAACATTCAAACCATGAACAGGTTCATTAGCATAAAAACTGCCAAAATTCTGAGAAGCCGCGGCCCAAGCCAAAGGACGATTCCGGGCGGCGGGCCCTGCACGATGGACAAGAACACTGACCCCGGGAGAAGCGACAAGCCCCGGTCACACTGCTGACCCTCGGCGAATTCTTGGGCGACAGGAAAGGTAGGTACCAGACGTTTGGCTCATCGTTAGGGAACATGTTGCCATACTTGTGCGACAAATCCAACAAAAAAATTGTGGTGTGTTAGGCGGGGTACACCCCAGCCTGGCCTCAGAGGCTGAGATTTCTCCCAACACTATCCCTAGACAGAGTCATTGATTTTTTTAAGTCCAGGTTTGGTAAGCATGATCCAACGGAGTTTTTGTGTCGATGTAGGTATACCTACTCTGTAGCTGTGTAGCTGTGTATGTGTGTCTAGTGAGGCAGCCTAGACTGGTACGGGCTGGTCGTTCTCCGCGTCACTTTCCTCCGATTCTCTCCTCTGTCTTCATATTTTCATTCAAACCTTCCAATACTTATATATATAGAAAATACATCCGTGTATTTATGTAACTACTTTATTATTGACCGTTATTCATATGTATGTTGAGGTGTATATTTCTATGTTAAAAAATAGTGCACTTGTGTATCTATCTTTCTGTTTAAGGATATATAATTATATCTATCTAACATGATGTTTAATGTAACTTAAGTATATATATGTAACTAGATAATAACACGAAGATTTATATATGTCATACATAAATATATATATATACATAAATATATATATAAATGTATAGATGTATATGTGATGTTTGTTGTTATGTAACTTACTTCACATTCTGTTTGTGTATATAAGTTTTACACAATGTGCATGTACATATGTGCATCTTTTTTCCATCAGGAATTTTTTCTCTTATATATGTGCCTGCATTGAGCATTCATATTTGTAAATACATGTGTTGTTTATATATGTAACTACACATGTTGTTTATATATGTAACTACATGTGTGTTGTTTAAATAACATGAAGGTGTGTGTGGGGGGGTGGGGGGGTGGGTAACATAACACACCCATCTACTTCTCCCCAAAATCTGTAGTCACTGACAAGATGGAATTGAATAACAAGATGTTGTTATCAAGAGTAGTTTGTAATGAAGAAATGACAATATTTCCTCACGTGATTACAGTTTCTGCCTTTCCAATGACTAACAGTTGACCTCTGACATCAAGGTCCTGATCATGATAAATTACAGGCTGCTGTACAGCTCTCTCACACAATAAGTATCACTTCTACAGTCAGGTGACCATTTCATCTTCCAGCCAGACAGAAGAGCAATTTCTATCATTCTGACCACAACACTATCCCCAAATGACCTTTTGACCTCAGACCCAGACAGATTTATTGGAAATTTCTGAGGACAAAGTGAAGAATGGCCTAGTTTGTCTACATATGTGTTTAGAAAGCGAGATCTTTTCTTTTGTTGTTTTAGGCTAGTCGGATATGAAGGTAATCAGAGATCAATCTTTATACATGAGTCCCAAGTCCTGGGACTCATAAAAATTCTTGAAATGCTTTTACAACCCGGGACCAATAAAACTGAAAAAAGACTCATGAAAATAAATTGAAAGATTGATTACATATTACTCAGTGTGGCTACAAAGCCTGACCTCAGAAAGCCTGACCTCAGATAGCCTGACCTCAGATAGCCTGACCTCAGAAAGCCTGACCTCAGAAAGCCTGACCTCAGAAAGCCTGACCTCAGATAGCCTTCTGGAGAATGACCAATGTCAAATTATACTGATGAGATTGTCTAACAGAACTGACCAATCCACACTTCACATATCAATACTTAATGACTTTAAGAACAAGTCTAATCTTGGTAGTCACTGACAGTAACTTGTAAGCTAAAAGTTAGCCAAACAGAAAAATTTCTTACCACAACTAGACTATTGAAACATCAGAAAAGTCCCTGCTTTGTGTCTGACTCTAGCCCTGAGCTTAATAACAATGTTACACTGATAAAGAATTACCGCTGACATCTAGGTAGTAATTGTGTGTTGTGTGATGGGCATCTACCTTGTGTATATCCTCCTGATGTATAGAGGTTCTTTATACAATTCAAATCTGATTAGAAAAAGTTATTTATCAGTAAACAAGAGGCATATAAGGCCCTAATGGTCGTCTGACTATGAACACCTATGTGCAACATAAAAGCAACAAATAGGAAGTTATTAAATGACAAAAAGAAGTTAGAATACTTAAGCAGTAAGCAAAAAACACCCATTTCAGTTTCTCCTCATTCTGAAAAAAATTTAGCTCAATTCCACCTTTTGAAACATGAGGAGTTTAAAAGAGTTTTTTTCAAGATGGTGGCTATTTCATATTTCTGGTCTCATCCCCAAAAATGAGTATCAGTAAAACTGAAGAATGCTCCTTGCCTTACTGGACACTAAATTGTAACAAAGAGCAATAACTCTGTAGTTAAGAGGTAGTCGGCCTTGAATTTGTTTCAATGCACATTCTCTTAGTATAACCAATATATACACCAAGGTTCATAATTATAGTTTTAGTGCAAACAAAGTTATGCTTATGACACAAAAAATCATCAAAGGGCAATAACTCTGTAACTGAGGGGTCAT